TTACAACTCGCATTTGCATGGGTTTAATGCATTGAATTTTTACATGTTTTGACATTATTGCTTCTTCGGACTGCGAAACTGTATCATGATGGATGTTGCTTCTCTTTAACACGGTTTTGCGGGAAAATTAACTCTATATAATCACTTCATCAGAAGAATTTTCTACAACTTTCTGCAATTTGGTATTGCCACTGCTTGTAAAAAAACTGTTTTGTTCAATGCAAATAAATTTAAAATAACAAAATTTGTTTTTTATTAGTACCTATTTTAGTAATAATCATCGATTTGGCTATTGTATTTTCTTTTTTTAATTTTTTGAGGGTTTTAACAAATTTTATATTATCATTTCGTCACATAATCATAAAAAAAAATGTCATACGAAAAAGCTTTTTTTCTGTTGTTTCTAAATACCCGATATCGATAATAATAGTTATTTTTGCTACAAATACCTAAAATACAGTTTTTGTCAACGAATCATTGCTGTTTCTGGACGAGGCGAAGCCGAGTCTGGAAGAGCAGATCAGTCTGAAACACGTTTTAGGTACGTGTTACAAACAACATTTTTTTGTTAAAGCTCCCAAAGATCAAATTCACACTTTTTATTAATTGAAAAAATTTTGCCACCATAGTAGAGTGCTTAACATAATCATTTAACGTACTAATTTATTGAGTCCGAAAAAGACTAATTTTTGGGACTTAGATGAGTTCCTAAAACAGCTGTTTAGACTCATTTTAGGAACTTTTTAGGATGCTTGCTATTTTCGGGAGCGTATAAAAAATCTTTTATAAAATACGTCTATATTTGCTTCAATTTTATGGTTTTGACTTACTAAACTAGGGTATGAGGGATTTAAGGAGGGTGGTTGAAGAGCTATTGTTTACCCATGCGGCCAACTGGCCACTGAATTATTCAGCTGAGCTACATAAACTAACTTTTACTCCAAACAACATATACTATTTTATTCGCAAACGATTCAGATAGAGAATAATTATCAAGTAAATGACCAAAATAATCAGGACGCTTTGCGATGAAATCATAATAAATAAAATAAACTCGTCAGTTTCGGAATTTGGGTTGAGATTTTCGAAAGTGTTGATTGATGTAACTAGTGAATAACTAGTGTTTATAAGTTTATAGTGCAAAATGATGAATGCTTATAATGACGAATGCTGATAATCTACACTGTGCCCCTCCAAAAAATGCTGAAGCAGCCAAAGAGACAAGAAAAAGACAACATTGGTAAATGTCATAGTACCTAAATGTCATGTAAAAGTGAAAAACGCTTAGGCGAAAAAACAGGTTTTTACCCCATGTCTGAAAGGTAAAAATTTTACTTGTGTCATTTAGTAATAAAAGCGTCTGACGTTTGCGGATAAAATAAATCTTTACAATTGAGGTTTCTTTATCTCTAAAGGCCCAAAAAGTTAATTGTTTCTATTGCACCATAAAATTCAAGCAAATACAGGGTGTTCCATTTTTATTGTTACAAATTTAAACAGGTGATAGAATATTCAATTTTAAGACAAAAGTTTCCTATGAACATGTATTGAAAAATGCTACGCAATGGAGTTACATTCCCTCAAATGGCTGCGTTTTTTAATGGTTTTTTTTCCAATATTTCAGAAATCATAGTAGATAAAATTACAAAATTGGGTACAACTGATTACCTTTATGCATCCAAACGAATTTAAAGATAAAATGTTAAAATTTTTACTCAGGGGCGTCCTAAACTGGGGGGATTTAGGGTAAAAAGTACCCTAACTATATTGGCTGTTGGTTCTTGCTACTTTCCGCCACAAAATTCTACATTCCATATTTTTTTACAAAAAAAAGCTATCTTGCGCTTTTTCGATACAACTTCCAGTTTTTGAGTAAAATTAGTTTACAATTTGTTTTACAGACCATAAAGAAGATAAAAACCAAAAATTTAATTCGTTTTACTGTTTAAGACGACCGTGATTAAAAATTTCGACAACTAATCTTTGAATTCGTTCAGGTGTTTAAATGTTATCAGCTGTACCAATTTTTGTAATTTTATCTATTTTTCAATAGTGGGAAAACTCCATTAAAGGGGGTGTAGCTCGCTTACAAAACATTTTTTGATATATGTTCATACGAAACTTTTGTCTTAAAATTGAATATTCTATCACCTGTTTAAATTTGTAACAATAAAAACGGAACACCCTGTATAGACAGAATTTAGACTAAAGTACTAAAGTACTGACAACTTTAGACTACTGAAACACAACATCACCAAAATCATTGAGAGATTGACAATAGGAAAATGGGAATAAATAAAATTATATTGCACTACAATAAATAATATTTGGCTTTGGTCACTTTGTAAAACAGTATAGTCTAAAGTTGTCACTGTCTGTTGTTTATATATTTACAAGTCAGTGCACGATCGTGAGTCAGTGTTTTGAAAATAAAAAGGTTTTCTTTCTACATATTATCATTATGTTACTAGTACTTTTCTCAAATAGGAGTACCTAGTTTTGGCTCTTTGGTATTTGTTTTATTTTTTAATTTCTTAAGAAAAAACCTATGAGCAACTGCATGTAATAAAGCAGTAAAGCACTAATGGTACGTAATTTCAAATAGTCTTTAAACTTGCGTTTAATAATTAAAGAGGTAATTAAAAGGCACTTTGCAAAAGTTTATTTTGTTTATATTTGTTTGTTTGTAAATTAGTTCGCGCCAATGGTTGAATGGTTTTATTTACATGAAGGCGCCTTGTATTTATTGACAAGTATAAGTCTTAAAGCTGTGTGGTCTTATACCTCCTATTAATTCACACAAGTTTGCTAAACTTAAGACAACGATTTTATTAAAAAGAAAATAAAAATTAACCGTTTTTATCCGCAAACGTTAGAAAAATGACCCTTTTATGATTAAATGACACAAGTAAAAGTTTTAACTTTCAGACATTGACTAAAAAAGTCTGTTTTTTAGCCAAATTGTTTTTATTTATACCATGACATTTACCAATGCTGTCTCTTTTGCTGCTTCTTCATTTTCTGCAGAGGTAGGTACATGACTGACATTTGACAATTAAACTTATATTTATTTGTTGTTAAATTTGTTAATTAAGCAATTTGTCTGTATTAGGAAATTTATTAAGTGAACTAAGTGTAATTATCGCTTTGATCTGCTGCCTACCCGTTATTATGCCTCAAATCACTATTTTTCAAAGTAAATAAGTCAAAATGACATAAATATGACAAGAGTAAGAAATGAGGTTATTAATATAAAGGTTGTTTTAGAGTTTACATTATGAAAATGACAGTACTGCCCGAAATTTTAATTCCGCAACTGTACAATGTTGTGTACAAAAATGAGGTTCTTGCTACAAAAACTTTGAAGAAAAAGGAGGTTTATACGGAAAAAAGTAATTTAGCAAAAGATACAAGTAGGTGTATTATGATGATTGGCAATAAATTTTGTGCAATTTATTGAAATGAGTTCAAAGTTGATGTATTTTATAAATTTTTCTTCAGGTTTAGTGTCAAAATTGTTACTTTTTCAACTCGTTCTTCAAAAACGATGCACAAGACACTAATTTAATTGCGTTCTTTCCGAGGTTCTTTCTCATTCATGTTTATTTTGTATTCTTGGCAATTTTTTGCTAAAAATTGAGAATGTTTAGCAAACCTGCATTACAAACTGCGTCTACATTTTAACAGGCTCTTTTTCTGACATATTGCTTGGAAGCTTTCCGTTTCCAAATTTATAAAAACTGTTAGCGGTACCGAATTGGTTTCTTCTTTGGTGTTTCGTCTCTAAATTTTCTTAGACGATTTTTTGTGTTGTTTAATGACATTGTTTTCAAATTAATTCGAAAAATCGGAACGGCCAACTTCCTTTATTAAAATTACCATGAATGAATTTACTACTGGTGCCAACGTTAAGACTGTTTGCATTTCCATTTAAAAAAAAAAACAGACTTTACCTAAGTTTCAATTTTAACACAAATTTAAAAATACTTAACATTTATAAATGGCCCTAAGTTGGTGTTATTAATTATGATCAATAATAGTAGTTATTCTACAGGTGTCATTGTAAAATGATTGCTACTCTGCGGCTACTTTTCGTCCCATTACTTTTATTTATTTCTTCATTAATTATTTAGTCATCTTGATACTTATTCTTATCTAAATAATTAATTTTAATGAAGTAGTGGTAGAAGCACTAGCAATTAACCAACCGTCTAATAGTGAAATAAGCCATGTCTTGGTGGACGAAGAGTGTCACCCAAACAAATGACTTCATTAGAGCCGTCGTTGTTTACAAATTGTCATTCATACATAATAATGAGAGTTAAGTATTCAGCGATCCGCAAGATGCCCGTAAAAAGCAGTACGATTAGCGTTACGCCCAGGCACCATGACGCATTCGGCAATTAATAAAAATGTAAAGCGTATAATGTTGTCCTGTTGAAGCTTCCGGATTTTGTAATATTAGATCTGCTGATGATCTGAAGAATGCTTGACAAAATAAATAAAAACAAGGGTGTATATTTTAAAACGGAATTCCGCGTGTACGCATATAAGACGTCTTTGACAGCGTGCGCCGATCGCCAGAAGGAGGGATTTCGTTCTCCATCTAAGGACAAGTGATCCTTATATGGGAACGGACGCCTCTAAATATGGTATTGGGCAGTCCTAAGTGTGTGTGTTTACTTCCCACTTTTACGCGACGGCCCGCTGCTAAAGTAGCCGTTGGATGGAGGGATACTCGATGCTGGAATGGTACCAACAGCACGTGGAGTTGTCGAAGAGGGTTTCAGGCCGCGTTTCAGGGGGTTCGCCGAAGACGACGGCCTGTAGGTCAAGTTACCTGCTCTTGTACTGGACATACGTCAAATTTTGTCGCCCATTGCAAGTTGTGTGTTAGAAGGAGAAGGGCATTTAGGGGATTTATGAGTTAAGGCGGCTGCGCACAGCCGTAGTGTGAGCATTGGCCGCTTGAGCGCGCTGGGCGGCGCAGTCAGTCGAGCTCTGGGTGCTATTGTGTGCTCAGCTGTGTTTGTGTGTACTAGTGCTGTATACACTAAGTGCGGTGTTGTTATTGTTGTCAAACTGTGGTGCGAAATGGAACCACCTGGCGGGAGGGATTCCCGATTCAACCTAGGTTACAGCATGAACCTGCTGTCAGGCGAGACGCCGCCAGAGATCTACGGCAACCCTGGCCTGGGGCGGCCCTCCACCAGCTTGCAGCAGCTGTCGCCGCGCCACACGATGGTGTCGAGCGCTTGCGGAGGGCGCGGCCTCAAAGGCGACATCTGCTACGACGATCGGGGGATGCCCTCGCAGGGCATGGGACTGGAGGCGTGCGGCGTCAACGACATATCCGAAGACACCTACAACACCCTCCAGCCTAAGAAATCGCCGCCGAGTAACGGCAAAAAGACCAAAGGCAGAGTCAAGATCAAGATGGAATACATAGAAAACAAGTTGCGGCGGTACACGACGTTCTCAAAGAGGAAGACTGGCATCATGAAGAAGGTGAGATAACCTCTCTACGTGATGGGCGCATGCACGTGAGCGATTGCGCGCGCACTGTTCCCAACCTCATAAAAAACACCAGCAGATATACATCTGCTAACAATTTTAAGAATTTTTGCCGAAAGGGCTCAGATATGAGGGCCACGATAAGCTCGGGTGATAGTCTGCGATGCAACAGGGGCGTCGCGACGCAACAGAGCGTCAGGCGCCGTAAGGCAGACCTGCAATGATCCAAGATTGTAACACGTGACCTGAGATAATTATGGGCACTGGCATTGTGGTACTGTTACATTGTTAAGACGCGAGCGCCGCGTACGCAATTCAAATTATAAACATATGTTGCTTTTGACAGCTAATACAAGAGATATCTCGCCGGTAATTACACCGCCGTGTAGTCCCTCAATGGTTTCGAAATGCTACAGCCGCCAGTACGATGCGTCTCGAAAAAACCGCAATGCTATTATAATCATCATTCTCGACGATTTTTAGGCCACAAATAGAAATTACTTTTTGCAAAATTATGCCTCACCGAATGTAATTGATAATATTATGATTCATTAAAATAATTAGAAATAGATTTTTCATTACTTTTATTACTGTCAAATCGACAAGGACCAAACACCAAAATTACGTTTTATTGAACTAAATGAGAGAATTTAGTACCCGAACCACGGGATGAACTAGACACGGATTTAATTACTTTTCAATTTACTGAAAACCGAATTGAAAACTGATATAGTGGAAATTCCCCAAGTCTAATTAAATTTAATTAAATAGCGACGAGATTTTGTTTTACTCATGCAGCATGATAATTTATGATACCCTCATATTAATTGAAAATAAAAAATATTAGCGAAGTTTGTAATTAAAAGTGTTTGTAAATACACTCAAAACACCTTTTTTATGCTTAGAATAATTTTTTTGTACCTAATAAAATTAGTTAACTAATATACTATTTTGCTAAACCAAAATAGCATTTTACTTTGTAACTTCGCAGGTAGGTAAAGAAACCCATTTTTCTAATAAAACTAATTTTCTATACTAAATCACATTGTACTCAAGCTTCTAGGTATGTATTTAAAATTAGGTGCGATAAAGTTGTGTATATTCCTGAAGCACACCTCGACGTATCGCATTTTTGTTATAAGAAAAACAAAATATGTAAATTGTTGCAACAGACTTTTGATCGTTAGTCAACACTTACAAAATGTAAAAGTCGTTAAACGGAAATCGCAACTGTACGAGAAAATTGTAATTTCTACAAATCTGCTTTAATTTTTTTTCTATTTTATAACTTGATTGCTACGTACATATTTATTTACAGATGTTACAACAGTAGCTCTCTATTAATTTTTTTCCCTGATTTATTTGTTTTACTTAAATTTTACTATTGTTTTTATTAATTTTAAGAAGGCTCAGTGGTGCGGTGCGACTCTTTTTTTGTATCTTTTAATCTTTTATCGTAACTTCTCAGTTTATAAGGTATAATTTTTTATGTATGTAGTTTATCAATATTGTATTTAACAAACTTGTTAATAAAGTTTTTTAATATCGTTGTATCTATTAATTATTATTTGTTATGACTGAAGGGCTAATTAGAGGAAATTTTTGCTTATTGTTCTTGGAAACGACTTTGTGCATGTGTTAATGTTGGTAGTAAAAAGAAATAAAAATATTAATTTAAAAAAATAATAATTTCTCTCACATTTACAAATTACAAATGTCGCAATTATGAGTCACAAAATTCTAAAACTGTAGTAAGTTTTTCTTAAAAATTGAAACATAATTAAGCGAAGTTAATAAACTCAACAAGTCAACAATTGAATTACCACATTTTTTTAATGTAATTCATTTATTTGTGTCACGTAATCATAATATAGTAACCAAAATGGAGAATATTCAAGATCTTAGCAGCATTTCATCTTACTTCTTTGACCTTTTCTTCTTTCAGTTATCATAAATGTTTCTGTCAAAACTGCTCAGTTTGAAGATAACATTTTACGTTTTTTGGCATGTTAGACGAGTATATCTGTTTATTTTAAATATTTTTCTCAGTACATATTTACATTTTTCTAATATTTCATTTTCAGAAATTAATTTATTTTAATTTTTTTATATCACTGCTTGATTTACTAATATTTTTAATACGTTTGTTGACCCATATTCTAAAAGGGAAGGCGCCTGTCTTTTTAAGCAGATCTGGTATTGCTTGATATGGCGACTCTCCAATTTCGGATAGCAATACACAAAAAGGTGCAATTTTCCAGTCTATTTTAAGCAAACCTATCTACAACTCGATTCATTCAAGTTTCAAGCGAATACTATTTTTAATTGGAATATCTTATACGCCTCAGATTTAATTTCACTACTTTGCATTTATTATTTTGTTTACATTTATTTTTGGTACAGTTGGAGACAAAATACTTTGGTCGTCAATGTCACTTGAGTGACATTAAATTGCAAAGCATCCTTTAGGACAGTTAACCTTATTTTTAGCTACTGTCAATCATAGTTGACAAGTTGTATGCACATATTTTTGATAGGAAAATATAATAGCTGTCAATAATTTGAAATTGTCATTCATTTTAACGTTAAAGCTTGAATTACATTAAAGTGTCACAAAACTGACGACCAAAGTATTTTGTCTCCAACTGTATGTACACTTTTCACAATCAAAAGTTTGAAACATAAAACTATTTTCTAGTTTTATCTATTACAAAGAAAATTATTAATTTTATTTTTGTAATGAATTTTTTAAGCACTTGTGCACCTCCGAAGAACGAATTGGCCCACAGCACTTTCTTCAACGGTGCTTGATGCGAACAAATATTTACTCAAATAGTCACCATTTAGTACAAATTAAGTGAGTCCATGGGAACTATCAATGTCTTCTATAAATGTGTAAATAGCATTTGATAACTTACTAAACATTTATTTAAACTCGGAGGGAATATCTCTGTTCTTTAAACATACAAAATGAAAAACATATAAATCGATTTGTAATATACCATCAATCACGTTTGGATTGTTTGTGCGTCCAGAATTATGCATGTGGGATGTTAAATCTCAAGATTCTTACGGCATCCGAGTTGGCAACCGTTCAAAGATTTAATTCTGTTCCTAGCGACGTAGAAATCGGAAAATTTTGTCCAAACTTGGACAACGCACCAGGAATTGATTTACAATATTAATCAAATGGCAATTTATTAAGATATATTGTCACTTTGTAATTTATGTGATAATAATAACAGCGGTTGGTAGGTTTATATGCATATAATTCTGGATATGGCTTTCAATCAATTTGATTAAACGGTTGTTTTTACAGATCCATTTGCATATTTTGTTAATTGATAGGTTTAGAGTAGTGCAATTAAGCTGCTTAGAGCATTTGACGTATCAAAGAATAGATCGAAGATAAATCGATAAGTTGGTGGTGATGACTTAAGTACGCAGATGTATCTTCAATAGAAGATTTGTGCAAATTAAGGTATACGTTTTTGTCGCAAGATGATAATAACTTTGCATTTGTGTCAACTAAATATAATCCTGAACTAGATAAAATCTATACATAACTCAGTTTGTAGGAGTTAAGCACTAGTCATAAAAACATCGCCTAAACCATGTTTCTTCTACTTTATTCTTGGTAATTTTCTCCCCCATAATTTCAACGTCAAATTGCAGATAACATCAGGAAATGTAATAATAACAACTTCACCTATTTTCTTAGGTCAGATCTGTCAAAATATTAAACAGCAATTCGGGTCACATTGAACTCGAAATTTTGTCTTTACCTGCTACTCTCGACTAATTATCGCTACGGGAGGTCCAAACGTGTTTTTAATTTTCTTTTTTTACTTTGTCAATTTTTCGATAAAATGCGTGTAATTCGCGTTAAATTTAATGGAGGTTCTGTCAAAAATTAACTGCTAAATTGCAGTACTTAGGCGTAAGCAATGAACCGTACGAATATTATAACCATATAATATTTATATCTATTACACGCCTATCTTTGTTGAAAAAAACAAATTGCTAAAGCGTTAATATTTATTCTTCAAATAATCCTCGCATTTTGCAAAAACGGTGAAAGTAGAGAGAATAAACATTCACTTTGGCAGTTTTGGACAAATTAGCGGGGGACGACATTTAACACAAAATACATTTTAAAAGTTCAAAGACATGCAATATTTGTCAATTTCTTGGTTGAGCTGACCTTTGAAAAATCAATAAGGAAATAAAACTCATAAATTTAAATTGAAAAATGGTTTTTAGCAAAAATTGGTTTCGTTCAATGATAATAATTGCAGGTGTAGAATATGCAGGCAGTTTGTGTTTACAAACCGATGTTTAATTAATTAGTAAAACCACTATGCTCCTGTAGGTTATTACACAAAATTAGCAAACCTAAAAAGTGAACATGTTAAATCAAAATTGTGATTTATGATAATTATAAATAACATTAATTAGAGTTACAATTTAGGATACAGCTTTCTTGTTTTCTCTTCTAAGAGCTCGTAGCAGAAAAACTTGTAAAATTATTTTTCCAACAGAAATAAAGAGTCAAAGTGCAAAATTTAAACTCTCCTAACTTCGAAATTTTTATAAATGGAATTTTTTTAACATTTCTTTCATGTTCCTGGTATCTTACCTTACATGGCATTTTTCTCTGGGGCGCGAGTTCTGGCGCAGCCTGTATGTGGTGATAAATTTCACTAAAGTTTTTGCATTTCAAAGATAAAACGAGTTTTTTAATAAATTTACATAAAAACTACTAGCGAGTGTATAAAATATAAACTTTGTGAGGTATGGTATTTAGTGTCTCCTTTGAAATTAATGACTATTTAAAACAGTAGCAGTTTTGACACCTAGGAGCACGATATTCATGGAATACAACATAGACAGAATTTTAAAAAGATGTCAACAAGACAGGTGATTAGGCTAGTTTTAGTTAAACTTTTGTTAGTAACTAAATGAAGCGTCTCCTGCCAATTAAAATAACCATTTTTGCAAAAATTCACCATTCACACGGTTTTTGCGTAAAGACCTTATACATAAACATGATAATATAAATCAATTCTATATATTATTTTGTCATTAAATTAGCCTCGTTATGTTACTTCGACGCACAAATTCTTCCCTAGCAATTAACCGAAGTCATTCCACACGTTTCTTGGCGAGCCGAGATGTACACATTATAAAAACCATCCCCGCAACAAACAATTATGAAAAATAAATTAATAGAGCCAGATCTTGATTGTTGAGTGTAATTAATATCGACCCCTCGCTCTCCGCTCTACAATAAAAACGATTTGTCATCAGTGTTAGTTCTTTTTTATTAATGTGTGAAACGAAGCAAAGCCCGACAATTAATCTTGAATTTAAAACAGGCTTTTTGTTTTTGAAAATGTCACTAGCACGAGACAGGAAATGAAAAAATTTTCTTTCTCACCACAGGACAATACCGAGCAGATTTCTATGACTTGATTGATTCCATACGATGCTCTAATCACAGTAATTTATAAAATTAAGGCTGATTATTGGATTGATGAATCTTGTAGAGGCTTTAGAAAAATGATAAGTCATTTGGACATGTGTTCAGGGAATGTGATGCCGTTTGGCTTGTCTTAGTCATCGTTCGTCACATTCAAAACGATGACCTTCGGAACATACAGTTTGATATGTTCAAATTACAGGTTATTAATATTGAGAATGGCTCTTGCTGTTTACAAGTCGGAACCATTGATTTGTCACTTACATGATATAAAATAGTCACTAATTTATTTTTAATAATTAAGATTTCAATTAAACAATCTTCCAAGTTCGTGATTTCTTTAACTACCGAAATCCCTCGAAAATTAATGGTAGAGAGGCTTTGCTACCCTCGCAACGGGTCATTTACAACGAAACGAGCAATTACCGGATCGTAGATACGCGAAAGACTGCATAAAGTGCTTTTTTCCCCAAGACAGTCGAGGAGGTCATCAAATTTTAAAGGCGCGACCGAGCAAAATGGGGTTTGATAATACTCTGCACCAACAAATTATTTATCTACTGGAAGAAGTGGCTTGTCGTTTTTTGTTTCACTTTGTTTATCTTTTACATCATCTCAAGATGTTAGTATAAACAACACCCTTCATATTACGCTTTAAGTGGTTTTTGTAAGCGTGTTTTATCAGTTTTTTGATACAATTAAGTTAAGGGCAACTTCTTATATTTTACACAATACGAATCTGAATTTTTAACTTTTTCTTGTTCAAAAAAAAAAAAAAGAAACGCAAGTTGTTTTTTTACTAATGTAGTTACAACTGGTCCAAACTTTCTAGATAACGTAGATTTTGCTACTACCTTCAAGGTTGTCGTTTAAAAAGCACTAGTGGCACCATTTTATCAAAATTTGAACTTCGTTCAAGTCATTTGGCAGCTAATATTAAGTATCCTAATTCACAACAGTTATTTATTTTTAAGATAAAGCTAATTTAAGCTTGGTTAGTACAATTGGATCTGACTGTTATAGGGTTACAAGCACCAATTCATCATTCATCATCAAACAGTAGAACTACATCATTAACAAATTTCTAGCATTAACTCTTGATTCGAAGTTTATACCAACATGTTTATTTCAATAAAAAAATAACTCCTTACTCTAAATCAACATATAGAATAATTTTGAGAGGTAAGAGTTTTTTCATGAGATTGCTTGTTAAATACTAGGTATAGTTTTAAAAGATTAGTAATTAATAAATTGTATTTAATGGAGTCGGAGTAAATTTACCACAAATAACTGTTCTTTGGTACACGTCTAATGTAATCAGCATAATAAACAGATTATGTTTTCTTAAAAGTGCTGAGGGCAAACCTGAGGTGCAGACATGCGTCGATTGCAGACCGCCCATGAAACTGGCCGTATAATGTATCAACTCTTTTCCTAAGACTGCTAATTGAAACATAGGATGATAGCCTTTATGTGTGGGCAGCAGCCGTTCGGGCTTCAAAGCTTCTTCTCCAATACAGGGTGATTCAGATAAGATAATGAGCCTGACGATCTGGCGATGCAACCCAAAAAACAAATTTCATTTACGTCTTGATCTAATTTTAATTGTGATTTGCATTTGCAATCCAAGTTGCTCATGTTGCTCTCACAGCGCTTTGACAAGCAATTTATGATTTATAAAAAAAACTGTTTGCCTACCTTTACTGTTTCATTTGTTCATACATTTTGTATTGGGTTTACACCGAAAAGACTTCTCCACTTTCTCTATCATTCCCTGAGAACTGAATGGCACTAATGAGCGTTCTCTGCACTAATGTCAGACTGACATAAGATGATAACTTGGATTCAACTTGTAAATCCTAATTTAAATTGGATCTAAGGCGTAAATGAAATTTGTATTTTGGGTTGCATCGCCAGATCGTCAGGCTCATTATCTTATCTGAATCGCCCTGTATATTTTTCTTGAAAAAATAATATAAATTGGTGCTTTAACTTAAGTGAAAAATTATTCATTTTTTTTCGCTTTTAAGAAGACAAGTCATGTTAAAGTTTAAGAGCTCTTTCGACCATTAATAAATTAATCGCTTTTATTGAATAAAAAGTTAAGTTAAAAGTTTAATCGTAGGATATTCTTACTTTTAACTTATAGTACACGAAGAGTACAAGTAAAATTACAAAAGAAGTAAAAACAAACAGAAAAAAGGAAAATAATAAAGAGTCTGCTTTCTTTTGAGTTATATATTTTTTTCAGGCCTACGAGCTGTCGACTCTCACCGGGACACAGGTGATGCTCCTGGTGGCGTCTGAGACGGGGCACGTGTACACCTTCGCCACCCGCAAACTCCAACCGATGATAACCAGCGAGGCTGGTAAAGCGCTGATTCAGACCTGTTTGAACTCCCCGGATCCTCCGGCAGGTTCGGCATCCGGTGACCAGCGAATGTCGGCCACCGGATTCGAGGAGACGGAACTTACCTACAACATCAGCGACGAGGACTCCAAAGTAAGACAAATGGTGTACGGTTCGCCGCATACACACACGCACGCGCATTCTTTAAGTGGCCAGGGGCACTATTCACACCTAGAGCAGAGCCACCTGGGCCTAGGCGGTTCACCGCAGCATGGGGGCTATTCGCAAGCCTGTCCTAGTCCGCTGCCGCCGCCGCACCAAGGCTACGGACACCCGCAACACCCGCATTCGCACTCGCACATGACGCACTCTCATCCTCAGCGGTAGACGGATGGGAGAGAACCCAAAAGGGGTGATTTTAGTCATGATTTAGGTTATTGTCACAATACGTTACTGTTATCACGTTCGGGACGACGCGCCGGGAAACGGTGGGATACCAAAGCCAACCCAAAGAAACATTGGGACTCTTTCTTTTGCCTAAACAATTTAAAAAAGACACTTCGTATCAGGCTTGTTTGTTTTCACGTTAACGTGGAAGTAGCCACTGTTTTTTGCATTTCAGGATCTCGGGAAATTGTGATAAAGTTGATGTGGAAGTTGGAGTTGAGTCATTTCAGACGCGCATTTTCGATTAGTGCAATTTTTTTAAATAACAAAAGCTGGAATAACTGAGAGTCTTGCTCGTTTTGGTATTAAGCTCAGGGAGCGGAGTAATTTCCTTTTATGTGTAAGCATTTGATGTTTATATAATTGGTATTAAATTTAAGAGGCTTAGCGTTGCTTTGCGACACCCTTGGTTTTATTGTTTTTAATGTTATGCTGATTTCGAGCAGATTGCTCAATAAGAATATAACTAAATGACTGATAGATTAAGTGGTCGTATGCTGTCATAAAATTTGAATCAGAAGCGCGTTTAAATTAATGCAAATCAAAATAATTTTAAATAGCCTGAAGCGTTCTATCCGACAAGGATTGCTATGTGTATTAATTTAGCATAAATTGGGCCAAAATTGTAACATCATTTACAACAAATCTAATAAGTTGAAAGATTAATCTTGTCTTGATTAACACTGTGCTAGTAAAATGTATCGACTTCTGAAATGGCCACAAGTTAAATGTAAATTGCTTATGAAAGGTTTCATAGTAAATTAGCCATCGGACTGATATTCACGGTCATAATTTTAACTTTGTCGGATTTTGTCGTGACTTCTTATCATAAGAAAGTCCCGCGGCATAATTTCCTTCCTAATAACGGTTGGTCAGTTACCATCTCAATTTCCTCGCTTTACACATTTGTGTACTTTGCTGATTAACGTTTTCATTACTCGCCTACCCTAAAGCCAAGAAATTTAATATTGCAAACGTCCAAACATAAATCTCAACGTAATGAAGGTTTCGAAATTTTCTTTCGTTATTTTTCTAGGTCTGAATTACGCCCATAAGAAACATATGTTCGCTTCGTTAACTGTTATATTCAAAGTAGACGCTCGATCGACGGCAGACGAGAGAGTTCCGATCATTGTTGTTGCGATGAGATAAAATTGACGCGTCGAGACGTCAAAACCAAAGCGACACATGATTTTTAACACCCAGTGCGTCGGATGAACTCCATCTTTTGCATTAAAAAAGTGAACGATGACCGACTTAACTTGAATAATTCATCTGAAAGCAAGACCTCACGCATCGGGACAGACGTGAGATTTATTTTGTTTTCCCACCGATGGGGCCAACAGCTGTTCCGGGAATCCGGAGGTAATAGCCAGGATTTTTCGCTAACGGTAGATGGCGCGTGCTATCCTGTTTTGCCATTGGCATTACTTCCTGCACCCGGAAACGGAAGTCTAGGTGTTGCGAGTGGCCCGTGCGTTGTAAATAAACAATTGGTAGTTTGATTAAAAAATGCGTTTCTGGTGTGTGTATGCGATCCTTTATGTTTGCGTCTTGTTTCTGCATGACGGTGTTATGTTGTAGTTGTTGCTTTATTTTACCATTGTTTCTTGCGGATTTATTTGCATCCCGAGAGGGGCGCGTTGAATAGATTTGAAATTTTGAAATCTTGCAATTGTAACCTTTGCTAAATACCCAAATAAGGTCATATAAATGCAAATGTATTTATTACTAAGTTTTTTTCGTGTAGTTTTGTAACCCAAATCGGCCCACGTACGTACGTGGGACTTTTTGTTTCCAACACCAGATCAAAAGTAACGCAAAAGGGCCAAAAGATGCACGCTATATACGAACTGAATTAACTCAGGGTATTTTTAATTCCGTCGAAGCGTATTACAAAGACGAAAAGGTCGACTTGCGATTCTCTGTGGTGAATATTCTCCAGGTGATTTTGAGGTCCAGTTTTTATTTGTTTACGATTAGATCATGTTAGCAAAGCAATTACGGCCCACCTGTATTTAAAACATTTACGAAATCCCATTGGTTGAGTAAAAGTGTGTGTGTAGGAGGTGCACCCATCTGCGTTGGAGGCTCGCTTATTTTTAGGTCGTTGGCCCCCCCAAGCAAATCCCCGATTTCACTTTTGAACCCACACGGGGCAAACATAATCTTCGGGGGTTGATTGAAATTTTGACACTACAATAGCTGCAGAAAAAAAGTATAATTGTCGTTATCGTTATTATTATTATTATCAAATAATGGTCCGAATGAAATGACGAGGCAGAAACGTGGACAATAAAAACCGCAGGTCAACAATGGGGCAGTATAATGTTTGTTGTTAACCGCCTTTTAATTTGAGGACCTCTTTCGTTTCGACGCTTGGATGATTGGCGTAACAAAATAGCTTTTTTTTAGTTATAGAATTTTCCCCCATGATGATGGGCTTGATTAGCGAGACGAGCCATAAATTTGAATTTACTCGACCAACGGGAAAATTTTCTTAGAATTTAATTATGCACGGTGGTGTCGAAATTATCAAAAGTCACTATTTTTCGAAAAGCTGTGAAAAAATTAATATTTGATATTGTGGAAAATCGCAAGTTTCCTTGACGGTGGGTGGCGATTTTTAGCATTCATTATATACCTATTAGACACCAGAGTCTCTAACTCGTAACTCTATATTAATGTTTTTTTGTACAAAGTTTTTAATTTTTAATTTTATGTAAAGTATTAAATTACATTCCAGCAAAGTTGATCTGTTTTTGAAGGCGCACATTGATGTGCACTGTTTATTTTTTATAAAAATCGTTAAGTGCCATTTTGAACATCAGATTCTGTACTATTGCACGAAAATCTTGAACACATTCAAATGAATAATTTAAGTCGTATTGTAGCATGATAGCTATAATGCAATTTTTTAAATCATCTAGTCCATGTAGAATAGGTGTCTTGTTCAAAATGGTAAATACTTTTAAGTTAGGTATTTATTATTTTATATTATGTTGTATTCGATGTAATATTTATCTTAATTTTTGTGATGTATAAAGCAACTAAAAATACTGAATGTGTGCCTCAAGACCGATTGTAACTAGTTAGTTTTTTAATTGAAAGCATGTTTTTTTAGATCGATATTTATGGTTGTTATTATTTATTTTTAGCTTTTTATGTTTTTAATACGAAATAAATTATGTTATTTTGAACCGCACAGATTGCAACCTTGTATTATCTACGTGCCGTTGGATTGATGTAAAAATTAGCTTAATTAGATTTTAAAAATGGTATACAGGTGATGCGGGGTTGCAAAACTTATTGCTTGGCATGACTGTTTTTTCTTTGTAAGGTGAGTGAATTGCGAGAAACTCGAGATTATTTTACAAATTGACTGTGTAATACCAGTGTGTCGATTGCATCGTACTTGTTCCGTAAATGTGATAATAAACATGTTTTTAATGTAATTTTGTGCCCTTTTGTAAATGGATTTCTGTCTCTCTCTCTTAGACTTATTACTGAAAAAAGCAAAAGATTGGATGTAGGAAATGTCATGATTTTCTCACATTGAATTACTATTCAGCACGGTGAAATGTTAGTCAATAATTAATCAGAGTCGACAAGTTTTTGAACCAGTCTGTACCTACTTGTCCGATTTACAAAAATCGTGTATGGGAACGGGAATGAGAGAACGAGACATAAAAATACAGATGTCACATAATCAATTTATTGGTTAAAAAGTTTCATACATAATTATTAAAGCCATGTCTCAGCCTAATCGTACAGGGATTGAGCAGCATCAAAATTTATGACTACTTAAAAACTACATAGTGCCTAATTAAAATTTGTAATTAGTGTCTTAAACTAAAGTAACATTATCAGAGTTGTCAATCATACATCAATACGAAATTATAATTACAAATATGAGTATGCTATAGCGGGGCTACCGAAGAGATAAAGGCGAATTTAAATTTAAAAGTATAAAAGATCAAAATCAGACATCGATCAAACATCATCAGTATCTATCTGAATATCTCGGATTGTTGGTTGTGTATAGGTACGGTTTTCTATTTTGATTCGGCTACCAAACAAAAACCATCTATCATGACCGAAACTTGCCTACCTATCCTATACGATAAATTAAGTTTAATATGGCACCGTAGAACTACAACTTAATCCGATGTTAGTTGCATATGACGAGTTCCTCACACCTGATGTCCAGCGGTGTTGGGCGTCGCCCACGTCTGTAACAGAAAACAGGAATCACCTTATTACTGACTATCTAGCGTATAATTGTGCCGCTACCGGAATTAGTTCTAGTTAAAGCTCATTCAATTAAGTGGTCATTTTAATTAAATTTGTTATTTTGAGAAACCAAATCGAACGCGTGTGCAAATTTATGCTCAAATTATGCCCAATTTAAATACGAAAAGGGATTGTTTGAACAAAACGGGCGTATGCCTCGAGCCAAGCTGACATAACACCAGCTGGTCCATCACCTTGATAGAAAATTATTTTTTCGTTCAATTTCAATATATTCATTTTAATGTTTAAATATTCATAAAAGTGGCCGAATTTCTCCGTTAATTACTCAATTGCACACTAATTTCCAAAAATTGCAGCTGCTTTAAATTTCTGTTCTATTTTGTAACAATCGGAGCCATTAGTAATAATCAGTAACGAGTGTTTTGAAGTATTTGTTTAAATGAAAAAAACAATTTTGTTGTATAAAATCTATACAGAATAAAATGTTGATCCCGCAAGCGTACCATGAAGCAGTAACAACTCACTGCTAAACAAACGGCAACTTAAAATTATTCGAACGCTTCGCACGTTTATCTTCCTGCAGCAGCGAATCGACCAACATTTCATTAGCAGTTAATTTAAAATTGTAAATAAACAGCAGTTTTACATTTTTGGACATACTTATCTTGTGTCAAATTAACAATTAAAATTAGGATCGAATTTATAAATTTGTAAAAAAACAATTTTAAGTAATTTAAATTCCATAAAAACATAATTAAATTAGAAGCCGTAAGTGAATTTTATTGCTTTTACATTACATTAAAACTAATGGAAATGTACGAAATGTTCTAAAGGGAGAGACATTTATTTTCAGATTTTCAGATGAATGTTGAATAAGAGAGCCTAAAGAGATGGGAGTGCCTACTTTAATTATAATGATGTATAAAGAATTTTAACCCTTACGGTGATGTTTTAAAATAAATGTATTTTATTTTAATTAAGTAATTTCGGCACTAGACTGGATTGGTGTATTAATGGAAATATAATTGACAAGGATAGGCTTTTTTTGTGGAGTGATTAAGTTGTGTTAAGTAATGATATCGAAAAGGCCGAGTTATTATGAAGTTGGTGAAAATGATTATCCGTTGGCTTTTGTGAAGTTATTTTGAATAAAAAATTGATAGTATATATCAAATCCGAAAGAACGCTCGCAGGTTTAAGACTAGCAGCCAGCATATTTTTTGACAGCGTATGACTAATTGGACTTTGTCAGTTATAAATTATTATGTATGTAATTTTGCAATCAGTTTTATGTCTGATACGGCGCGATAATTTACCACCGGGGCGTCAAAAGCATAAAACGTTTGATTGCATTCATTTTCCTTTCCATCATAAAACTAAGATTGTTAACACAGAGACATTACGCACGCACCTAATTGACTTGGACATAAAACACTGTCAATACTGCATATAAATCGTGTACTTAATTGCGCTTGTAACGATGCGAAAAAAATACTGAAATGAAATTTCGAGTAGGACAAAAAGTCTAAGAGAGACAGTCAAATCAAATGAGGCATAATAATGATTATCATAAATATCCAAATGACATGCGATACCTTTGAGTCCGTCCGCTCGTGATTTTCGACATCTACGCTGGCGCTGACCGAGTTGGCTGTGTCGGAGAGTGGGGGGCACGGGAGGTCACACCTGTTCGCGTTTCACCCCCTTGTGGGGTAGTTCTCCTGATTTCGGCGTTGGTGACCTGATCATGGGCTTTTTTTCGGCTTGTAATAACCCTAGATCAGGAGAATTCCAGTCCAGGAGACCTGTCACCGCCCCCAGAGCCCCTTTTGCAAGCAGGTGTCGCTGGGTCGATGGACGCAATAGCGCCGCGCGTTCTGTAAAAGAATGAAACACATATGTTGGGATTTTTCCTTTCCTTGTGATTTTTTCCTCAAAAATCACTTTCGAAAATCGAGCCTTTTGTCCCAAAAATGCAAATTGACACCATGGCATTATTTCAAAAATCTCCAATTTTAGACAAACTTTAAAGCAAAAAATGTTATTAGTAAAGAAAAAACAGGCATGCGATTATTTTGTACAGTTAGGTTTTTTGCAAACAATAATTGTGGGTACTTACATTTGGCGGCTCAGGACATGATGGATCGGAGCGCAAGAAGCACGGACGACGATCGCCGAAGAACTGTGGGGTCCCTAAGAGTCCCCCATGAGTCACGGAGTCGGTCGTCAGCGACCGGAGCCGAGCAAACGCCATACATGGTCCATACATGGGCACCATTCCATATATGGGTCGTGTATTGTTGCAAAATACTGGCTACTGGGCTTGGGACGGGATAGAAGAGCAAAAAAATATAGAGACGGCACGTGCTATTGTTTTCTGCTGCGGCTCATTTCGAAGAGGAATGATGGGCACACCGCGCAATTTAACGATTGCGAGAATTCGTTGGGGCTTTTTATGTGGGCATTTTCGGACCGATCAAATTTATCTCGCAACGGTTCGGAAATCAAATTCCACAATTTATACGGGATGATAGTGATATTTTTACGAACGCGTCTGCTCTCGATTTTTATTTTATTACATTGCTTCAGACTCTGTTTAAATCTGATCTTTTAGCTCCTTCAGAGGAAAATTTATAGCGCAGTTACAACGACGCATTGCGAAGTGAAAAGCACGCTTTTTTACCACACTCACCTAGAGTGCTACCATAAAATTCTCTCACAGTATTACAGATCCGGAATATATCCCATTGAAAATTTTTCATTAAAAACACAAATAACCGTTTTCTACTTTAAACGACAGGCTTAAAATCCAACGCATTTTTGTATTAAAAAAAATGAAAATGACAATAATTACACACGCTTTTCCAACAGTAGGTATAAGCTCCACCTCTTGTAACATGCATATTTACACTGGCTTTGTTTGCTCACCAGTGGCTTTCACCGAAAGCCGAGATTAGTGCGGGAATTAATATCCTTGTGTGTTACAACAGCAATTAAAACCAAAGTAGGATCGGTGAAATAAAAATATTAACAAATTTTTATTGCCCTGTTGTGTTTAAAATTTTGGAAGTAACTTTTATACAGCGTGTTTTAGAAATATTCCAAGTAAGATAAGATACCAGGAACAAGAAAAATCTTTAAAAAATTCTATCAGTCAAAAAATTTTGACATTTATTTTTTGATATTTGATTTTTTTTAATGTTCATTTAATGTTATTGATGATCTTGTATATGTTTTTTTTTATAATTCTTTAGTAAAGGTTTGCCAATAAACGCCACAAATAACGTTAAACGTAGTTACAATTTTGAATACAGTTTCCTTGTTTCCTTTTCTAACAGTCTGTAGCAAAAAAACTTTTTTAACAGAAATAATAGAGTTAAAGAGCAAAATTTAAACTTTCATAATATCGAAATTTGTATAGATTGAATTTTTTTTTAAATTTTTTCTATGTTCCTGATATCTTATCTTATACTGGCATTTATCTCTGGGGCGCGAGTTATGAAACACACTGTATAGGTTGTTTTAAATAAATATTAAGAATGATATTTGTTAGTGGATGCTCAATAATTTTGTAAAGACGTGTCTAATAATAGTCTTGTAATTAAACTACTGGGTTTTTATAATTATGTATTTAATTTATTAAGACATTAAGTTAAAATATTGTGTCATTGTGGAAATATTTGAATAATTAATACAAGGTATTTAAATTCCATCGAATATTTAATCGTCAACTTCCGATACAAACAGTAAATTTAAACTGCGTGTCCTAAGATGTAGAATTATTCAGAGGTGCTACTAAATATTGTGTTTATTAATTACTATTAATTAGGAGTATATACATACATTTTGACTTGAATAAATTGAGATTTTATTAAAAACTGTTCATGTTGTCATTGCGCCTGTTATCTATTACAGTCATCATGTTTTTTTTTCTGTGGATGTTTCATTCTGAAAATGAATAAATAATTGAATTTGATTTGCAAATCAGTTGGAGTTTACGACATCGGACGTCTAGAAAATCCATTAAAATACCGTAAAATTTTAATAAAAGTCGTCTCGCGAACCTGGAAGGAGGTTGAATCAACACCTTCCATCACAATCCGGTCTGATGTTTGGTTAACCAACAATCAACAATGGTGCTAACTGCAACAAATTTGACCATATTTAGTTCGACTCCACCCACCGACCATGTGTAAACACAAGCTGGCCATTTTTTGCTTTTGTGTCGTTCTCCATGATTTCTCGTTGCAAGAAACGTCAACGCCAAATACGTAACGGTGTGTCGCTCCTCTCGAAGTTATGCAAATCGACACCCGGAAGCAAGGAGCGAACCCGGAGCGCAGGTGAACACGCCGTCATACGCAGAAACCGATCATCCACCGCGACATTAATTTCGTCCACTTCCGAATTTTCGTCGCGTGTTTCATCAAACCGCATTTGCATCGTAATTGCATTATTAATTCGTTTCTTTAATCCGTTTTAGGACGGATTCATTATCATGCATATGCTGTTAAGTAGACGGTATGTGCGTAATTTTGCATTTTATGAATATCTATTATGCGTTCTCGTAACATCCACAATCATGGCCTCCTATTATTACGTCGTCCATAAACGAATTTTCATCTGAACGTGGCGACTGGTCCAGTTTGTAATTTTTTTTTACTTCGTTTACACCTGCAACTTGCGCAATTCTGAGCCGAAAGTAACCCAAAAAACACGGCGTTTTACTTCAAACATGCTGAGGGTGAGCGTGTTACGAAAACACGACACGCAGCTTGTGGCCTGCGGGGGCTCATCGAATTTAAGGGACACTTAATTTTTCACTTACATGTTCTTCTAATTGCTAATTGCCAGTCGCTGGTACAAACCTTTAATTTTATTTCTTGCTCATTTTCAAAGGCTTTCATTTGAATTTTAAATGGCTGAAAGTCTGATGACCACAAAACAAATCCAGAACTTTTTGTCGTCTTATTTTATTTTGCTCTTGGAATATTAGTTGAAATTGTGGTCTCTTGACTGGAGCGGGGTTCAATTATGTTCAATAAATAGCCGATTGTATCTCGTCTGTTGAGATCTAGCATATCTGGCTGGTATATCATGGATATCTGGATCTGGTAGCGATGGTAATCTGTGCGGTGCGTCGGCTTTCCTCGGCCAAAGTAATGGCCGGTTATACCACAATTACCCGAACAATGGCTATTATATTGTTATCGAGTTACTTGGCAAAAATATTGACTTATTATATGCAAGCATTATATCTATTGCAATCCTACGGTCGTGTAGGTGTACGGATACATCGTTTGGACATGTGCTACGAGCCGGCAAGGTTTTTTCCTGCTATTTATTTCACCGTTTCCGCATGATATATAGACGTGGATACATATGTACACTTGTCCACGCAACAAATGCAACTCCCTTGTGATATGTTGAACTGGCCAAGGATTATTTGAAAGGGATTTTTAGAGGGAACGGTCCGCATTCATTGCTCTAACACGCACACATTATTCTTGCGACTCCTTGAAGCACACCAGAGAAAGGCGGAACCTGAAACCGAGCTTTGTTCGGACGCGCACCTAAATCAAAGCTTCTCTTCGATAATTATTCATTTAACGGATTGATTTAACGACAAAATACTAAGTGGATCGAACCTAATTATACTATTTCGAAACGGTAGGAAATGGCAGAGTGAAAAAACAAAACGAGAATCTAAAACGGAAATGAGGTTTTAAAAATATAATCCGTACAATGCCAATGACTGATGTAAAGTCCGGTGAAATTACTTGCAAAAAGCATGTGGGTTTTTTGCATACAGGATGAGCTGAAGAGCTTACTAACGGCAACTAACTTCAATCCGATTGTCAGATCTGAGAGCTAAGAAAAGAAAAAAATGTAATTAGGTGAATTTTAACAATTTCAAAAGCAGAAGATCTCATTTTTTTTCATTACAAGATATTTAATATTTAACTCAGCAGAAGAACTGAAAGCTATAACGTGGGAGGAGATATTTGAAATTGAATAAATTTTTACTTATCATTTATGATAAACGAAGTTATGTTGGAAATAATATCTGTTAAAGCAATAAAATATATGGGTGTTTATATGTTAGACAACATAACAGCATAAGCTTTTGATAATCCTGCCTAAATCTTGGCAGTTTCTATTACTTCTTTTACATAACTTTACAATGGATAAAATCTATGACTAATCGCAGAATTATGTAAGTTTAATAAAATGGCCACCAAAGTGGATTAACAGTTTTTGCTTGAATTATAACGATTTGTCGCAAGTTTATAATTTATTTTACTATTATGTAAGAAATGTTTTGTTTTTAGTACAGTAATATTTGAAGCTGATTTTGCGAAATATTTAAACATGATTCTTTTAATGTTAATTTTGGGATATTGTCAATATTTGTAAAATTCGTCGAAAGTCGAATTTTAAGTCATTACACCTTTTACAAGGCGTGACCGGTGTGGATAATTTTGAATAATACCTTAATCATGTTAACATTTTTAATTCATTTAAGATTCAAGTAATGTGGTATAAATGCTACAACATTTCTAAACGTTGCTATTACTACGTAGTCAGTAAAAAATTCTTGTAACAATTCAAGTAAGGCTGACATTTTTTGTTTTTTTTTTCAATGATTTTAAGGGTAACGAACGAGACGCCTCTGAGTCTTCTTCGAAATCTTTTGGTAATTTTTCACCGTAGATTTGATTAAAAAATAAATACAATGACTATAAAATTTTTAATTGAAAAATTGGATAAGAAAAGAAAAAAGCATAATGGATGCAATAATTAAACGCGATACTAGATTTAATTAATCGTTTAATGGTTTTTCAATAAGATTGCACTTTTGTTGTATCAGATTCATTCGGTTTGATGATAATAGTTTAGCCCACACGATGTTATAAACACCTGTTGCGAAAAAAATAATGGCGTTAAAATTATTATTATTTACACTTATGAGACATCAATTGCGATTTAGCGCTAATAAGGTCCAATCTTGGTAGTCGTAAAACTCACATCAGGTACGAAGCTGCAAATATTTCACAGATGATTAGGCAGGAGACCAGCTGCAGGCTTCATTATGGAAGACAAACAGCCAGCGATGATATTAATGAAGACAATGTGTGGCAGTTTTTTTATTTCCAACACCTTCTTTCTCGAAAATAAAGCCATCCCAAAATTTTGACAATGAATTATCGCTGATTTAAAAATTGCAAGAAAACTAGAGCATTGGCGAAACCGAGAGACCTCTTTCGTGATAATTATTCGTTGTCGAATTGCCCATCAATCAAAAAACGAGCACAAAAACGCGATCGCCGTTTCATCGCGTCCGATTTCTACACTTGCACCAAACTTCTACAAGGAATTTCACACGATAAAAGCTCTCCTCTCGGCGCAATTTCCACGTCTAGAGGAATATTCGGCTAGAAATCGGGAATTAGCGCGGAATTTTCGGGGCACCCGTATTTGTTTTGTGCCCGGGACAAGTTTTCGATGGAACAATTTGATTTTGATGCGAATTGAAGGCTACTACAGCCCTTAAACTTTTCAGATGGTCCAGTGTCTGCGCTGACCTGAGGCCGGGTCAATACCCGAAGTGATCAAAGACCCCCGGCGCCAAAACACTTGACAGCAGTTCCGATCCATTTAGGTGGTGTCTCTCATCGTACTCGGTTCGACATGTATTATAATGAAATTATTTCACAGGTAACGTTGCCTCTTTCCTCCTTATGCAAACACGTGCGCTAATGGACCTAGAGGCGCTCATGTGGGAGACGGCTCCCATGAAACAGATTTGTTACCACCAGAAAAGCGTCAGTAATCGCGGAAAAGAGGAAACCAAGCCTGGGATAATTTTAAAAATTTTGTTTATATATTTTGAGGTACTCGAATCAAATAGTCTAATCTTTATTTCCGTCAACTTTGTGTTGGCTTTCTAAAATGTAAAAGTTGATGTGTGGATCAAGTCGATTTTGGTGAATGCGAAAGGTTTAAAACGTTCCGAAAATAAATGACGTTAATGCCATTAATGAGGCGTAACGGTGTGGTAAATAATCCGGGATATGGCACGTTAATTATCGCTAATCAATGCTCGAAAGCATTAAGAGATTATCCTCAGTTTCCTTCCGCCGTTTTTGGGCGAAGTCGCCATCAGGTGTTGAGAAATCGGCAGCCACCTGTCGGAATCGATCCCGCACTAGAGCGTGACGTTGTGATATTTACCGAAGCGTTTAAATGTAATATGTACAATTTTCATACATGACATACCATCGTAAACGAGAGGTTTATGACGATATTTCCGAACGATCGAATTGGCATCTTTGTAACGTAACAAATTGGCGAGAACGGCGCAATAAAAACGCAATTGTCATATTTCGAACGCAAACGCATATTCTTTAATTTGGGTAAAAAGCGGCGCGATCAAACTGTCACCAGTGTTCGCGTTTTGAAAAGTTCGGATAAAAAACGGGAGTCGGATCAGCGATTCCTTCACGTATGACTTGCATTATCCTTCCCGACGAGAAAAAGTCGTAATGATCAGGCCACGTATATCATATGACAGCATCGCCGACGTCGGCCAAACGGATAATTGGGAGATTCCCATAGCATATGTAATCGATTGGGCTTCCAATCGCCGCTCCGTACTGGCATCTTGATAATAATAATTATCGATTATGACCAAGGTATTCTCGACATGTTCCTCTTTTTTTACAGCCTATTAACACGGTTATTGTAAGGAAGACGTACTTGCACGTATGCTTCCTGGGAAGTCTGCCCATCAGTGATTTACAGTATACGGACGCAGAGTCTTCGAATATCTCTTAATGATCAACACGTACAGAATAATTAGCAGAACAAGGCCTTTTGGCGGAAAAGCCGAACGGTTCATTGGCAAAGAACCACAAGTAGGTATTTTGTAACACTTGAGTTTCACAGCACAGAACTACTCAGGGTTTCAAAAGTCAATTTAGAACACAAAGAGAAAAGGCGGTAGCATTATAGGTATAATGATAAAAGAAAATCCATGATTAGGATTATGCTTGTCTTTTATTTTTTGTTACTGACTAACTAAGTAAAGAAAGCTGACGTATGGCTCTACAATCTGTTCTATGTAGTAGTTCAGAAATTAGAAAGTTTTTATTTACTGGTTTTTCAAATAGCATAAGTTTAAAGTTGATGATCAAGACCAAGGTGTATAAAATTAATGAAAATATTTAACAAATCGTAAAAAAATTCGAAATGAGTCTTTTGGACTCAATAAAATAGTAGGAAAAATAGTTACATATTTTGAGTAGTAGTTATTGGCATATTTTTTCTACCTTTACTAAATAATTATAAAAAAACATATACAACATGATCAGTATTATTGAATAGACAGAAAAAATGTCAAATGTCAAAAAATAAATATCAAAATTTTTTGCCAGATAGAATTTTTTAAACATTTTTTTTCATGTTCCTGGTATCTTATCTTAGGTATTGACGTATCAACAAGAAATTACTCCCTAGGATTTAGGGATATTCGTGAATAGGTTGCCATAAATTTGATTAGGTTGGTTTTTGGTGACAAACAAAAGATATCGTAACTAGTGTCAAAATTTAGGTTAAGTCACCTGTCAGCTTGTAAGGAGATTTTAATTGATAGCTGACAGCAGGTTGACAGAAAACGTCAACCGTCAACAACAAGGGGTAACCAACCCTAGGCATTCAAAATTACTTCTGAAAATTCTAGTTACAAACAACATGATAATCGTAATTTTCCTAAAAGTTCAAATCCTAGGTGGTAATTTATTGTTGACAAATCTGTAGGACTTGAAATTTTTCTCTGGGGCGCGAGTTCTGACACACCCTGTATACAACATTATCAGTATCATTGCACATACATAAAAAAATGTCAAATGTTAAAAAATAAATGTCAAAATGTTTTCACAGATAGAATTTTTTAAACATTTTTTCCATGTACATGTTTCTGGTATCTTATCTTACTTGAAATTTTTCTCTGGGGCGCGAGTTCTGACACACTCTGTAGATTTAGATAGTTGTTGCATTTATTATACAGACACATTAAAAAAAACAGGAAACTAAATTTTTCCAAATGTAAATTCGGTTCTACTTGTCAATTGTCAACTTAATAATACCTATCAAAAATATTTCTAACAATGGCATTAAATTTATACCAACTTGTGTAATGCCGCATTTAAGTGATGTAGAGAAAGCCAGAATCGTCGATCATCTGGAAAATGCTAGGAAAATTATGAATTTAGCTGCAGAATTTAGTGTGCCATCAAAATACTTTTTAACCTATTTTTAATAAAACACGTTCACACCATCAAAAAATTGAAAAAAAAAATTTTTTTCACACTTACCGTTTTTTTGTTCGAATGTAGCTGTAAATTTGTAGTAATTCTGGTCATTCTAGTAACATATAACTTTTTTTGAAAGTTGTGTTGATTTTTGGTTTGTTGTTGGAACTGACTGTGTTTTTAACAATGTGTATATCTATTGCTGTATCATTGTTATAGAAGAAAGAACAAATGCAAGAAGAGTATCCCAGCAAAATTTCCATGATATAACGCGGTTTTTCTGTATCTCTCCCCATTTGGCTTAAGCGAGTTGCAGTCCGTGCAATAACACTATAATAGGCAAGCAAAGCCACGCTGTCTGCGATTTTCCATTGGAATCGTAAAACCCGTCTTTGTCAAATTTGGTATTGAATTCAACGTCGGCACACGCGTAAATCTATAGTTGCCGGCAAGCCGCGACTACTAATTACACGAATTAATTGTTATTTACTTTCCTCATTGTCATGCAACCGACTGATTTTATTAATTATTTAAGACTGCATGCAAGACGGATCGACTGATAAAGTGTCTGCACCATTTTTCCGCTAAATTCATTAAAGAGACGAGTTTTTATTATTGCAACTTCTTGTCAAAGCATTCTTACTAAAACTTAAACTGACTGAAAAGCTTGCATTAGTGGTGGTCTTTGTGCAAGTACTGGTCTAAAATCACCATTTTTTTTTCAGGATGACAACATGTCGGGGGGCGAATCTAGCGACAGTAGTGACGCCGACGCCCACGAGGATGAACCCGACGTCGGTTTTGCACCTTCATCGTCGAAAGCAGCGACCCCTCCTCCTTCCACGTCTTCACAACCCTCATCTACGTCTTCCAGCACGTCAACGACAGCACCATCGACGACAACGACAAAGTCGTCTGCGTCTCAACCCTCAATCATGTCTCCTCTGCTATACCAAACTCCTCAAGGTATGATGTATGCGACTCCGTCGAACGGAGGAGTCATCTTCAGTTTAGCCCAGACGGATTCTGCACACCCTCAGTTTATTACGATACCATTGTCGATGGTAGCGGCTAACGGCCAAGGAGAACTTGACCTGTCGAAACGGAAGTGACCGTCGAATAAGATTATTGGCACGTTGCGGGCTTCCGTCGACTTTGTTTCATATGTGCGCTTCAGTTTCCTTTTCCGGTTATCGAGGCGGACGGTTTCGTCGGGACGTGATGTGCCCGTTTCCGTATTCAAAAATCATGGAGCTTGGACGCGCATTTTTTTATTTGCTAATAAGCCGAAGAAGAGGCATATCTAGCAAGGGACACTTGACTTGTACTTTAAAGCAATAATTACTAAGACAGAATCGGTTTTCAATTTGTTATGTAGAAAATTTTATTCTGTTGCTCCATGACAAATAGGAGTGTCGAAAAATATTAATTAATTTATGTAGATATTTGACACCAAAGGCTATGGTGGAATGGATATTAACGTATTTTTCAAACTGCTACTTTCAGAAAAACGGCAAGGAAGAATCTACTGGAGCCGGATACTTAAGGCAAGTATTCACCCATTGGCATCTACATTTTTTCTATTCACATGAGTAATGTTGAATGGCCTATACAGATACAAATATTTTATTATGAAGAAATTGAAGACTGAAAAGTTGTTTATAACGTCACCAAATTACCAATAATAGTTATTTATTCTAAGAGTTTGAGTTTAAATCGGACGCATTATTTCACCGAGTGGATTATCATCTACGAGGTGGAATAAAGCGTCTCATTTACACTCAAACGAGTTGAATACAACATTTTATTCTTCGAATTAGACTCAATGAGGTTAAACTTTCTTTAAATCTGTTAAAAATAATCTGACGTTTCGTATTGAGAAATGCCAAACATTTGTCAAAACTTCCTTACACGGGAGAAAAACCGTAAATTTTGACAGTGTCGAAGAATAAAAGATTTTTCGTACTGTTTTTGTGGACGCAATTTATTCCCAAACAAAATACTAAATCAAAACTATCGCCATGCAAAATCTTTTGCCTACCATTCATTCCTAGACGATGAATAATTTTTTATCTGCAAATGTTATAAACACTTTCGGTTTCTTACTTTAAGATGCAATAATCCAGGTAAATATACAAGAAAATGCGCAAATATTACAATAACAAGTACACCGAAATTGGAAAAATGTTTTACAGGTTAAATGTTCCTTTCTGAAAAATTGTAATTACATTAAAGAAGCTTAAACATATAATAATGTTTTACTTTCTTTTGATGTAAATTGACTATTTTTTTCCAAACAGCAATGCTTTAGCAAACATGTGAATAAAGGTATACAATATAGGTATTAATAGTACTTTAATAATCGTGTAAAAACTATTTTGTGCTAATTTATATCCTATTTGACAAAAGTCATATTAGTTTTTTTTAACGATTCTTGCGAAAAATGTTTGTCGTTTTGTCATTGTCGTGCTTTTGATTTTATGTTTGTTACTGTAAAAAGTGACAATAATTCTCGCCAAATCGTACTTATTTATTTATTATAATATTATCCCAATTACTACTAGTTTCGTATTCAATTTAGACTGAAATTTGTTGGAACGACCGCTTTGATCTGGCGCTCATTCCAGCAATTTTATTTCTCTACTTGTGTTATAATGCTAGTCAATGCTAGTGCATAAATTTGTGTTTTTTTAGGTTGGTGTTACTAATAATACGTTGTTAGTATGATATACAAAAATGTTTGTCAGTTGGTTTCTGTCGGCATTTCCGTCAATCACCGAACATTCCAAAAAAAGGGCAATGTTTTTAGAACTACTGTCTTGTTAACTGCTGATGGTAACCCGACTGGAGATATTTTTGCAAAATTGTTGAAAACGTTTTTATTTATTAATTTATTGGATGCAGTTTTATAAATAAAGGTGCCTTTAGATAATGTACTTGTAACATATCTTTTTTGATATTTATCATATTTACATAATAAAAGTTATGCAAAGCAGTGCTCAAACTATCACGCCTTTTATTTTTGTATCCTTGTAAGCCTTAAACTGCCATCATGTAATAATAATGCATAAACAAATAGGAAAAAAATTGTTTTCATTGTATAACGAAAAGAATATCTGTATTTATATTTCGTGCCATATATATCTGCGAAAATAAAATTTGTTATTATGTTCTGTTTTTCTGCGTTCCTTTGCTCTTTCTCACTCACTCTCGACGAATTTCCTTACAGCTTCCATCATGTGTTTATTTTTACTTGCGACTGAAATAGTCAAACGTCTGCTGTACTAGTCTTAGATGTGTTTGGAATTAGATGTGCTTGCTCCGTAAAGAACATTTCCTTTCGGTTTATATTTTACACTTGCTCTATTTTTAGGAATCCGGCCTTTGCTGCAAAAATAAATTTCAGCTTGGACGTAATACACCGACATGATTTTTGTGTAATCTCACGTAACCGCTGTTTTTGGCTAGTGCGCTTTCCATTTATAGTAATAAACGAAACATGAGAATTCTGCGTTGTTGTGCGTAATTGGCGGAAGTGCCACATTATCACACATCGCATTCTCGTTAATAATAATTGTGTCACGGTGTTGATTGCTTAGAAATATTCAGTCTTCTTGCGTCGCGATGATTAGTGGAACCGTGCCGATGGTTCAGTGAGACCGTGAATGAATGCTAAATACCCTTAAAGAAGTGTTAATATTCTGCACCCGATACCATTTAAGAAATGATTCATTGCTTATTGTTATTAAATGTTATGCGGTGCATTTAATATAACAAATAAAATTTTATTTTACTTTGTCACACAGTCGCGAACGTGTTGGTATTAAGGACACGTATATAATTAAAAAATGTTTGTCATTTTATATATAACAATAATTGTATCCTTTATATGTGTTGACATTTAATTATTAGCTATTTTTCTATCGATGAAATTACGTGCCGACTTTGTCTCTGGTAAAATCGAAGTCTAATTAAGCCAGAAACCGGTGAATTTATTGGTAACATATAAAAGACGAGCTTTTTCATTAAAAACTTTGCAATTACGGCAGCTTTCTTATTTAATGAGCTCATTGGAAATCACTAAATGACTATGTTAATAAAAGAAACGAAAACTGCTACCAACTATGGTACTAGCACCTTTAACTCAGATTGTGCCATCATTACTGGCAAAATTTTGAACAATCCTTCCTAATTGGAAGACTTTTTCGAAAAATCCACTATTCTTTTGCGATGTGACATGATTTCACGATACGCGGAAATTTGCGTGCGTTGCCGTTTTTATCTCGACCAATGTCGCACAGGTGTTGCCCTATTGTTTATGTGAGTTTCATTGAGCGAATTTCTAAATAGGCACAATAATAGTTCCTATTAAAGACAATAAATACAAGGTAAAGAAGCCTGAAAGTAATTCTGAAGAGTTTTTCTTCGCATACCAGGCCTAGATAATCAGTGGAAGAGCGCAATTCTTGACTTTTGTAACTTGGAGGTGTCTTGTTTCACCTCGATCCATTTTGTCTTGTTCTCTCCATATCGTACAGCGGGTGATGAATAACAATCGATTTTATCCTTTTGCGACTTTGACTACATCTTGTTGGTATTTACACATTTAGAAATTTCAAGAGAATTTGTCGAGATGCTTGTGTATTGAAAAAAATTCTCTTCAACACGCGTTATGCCAAGATATACTTAAATTTTCCTGAACATAACAGCTGCTTATTACAGATCCAAAAGATATTTATATTCTCCCATATTTGCTATTACTGGAACGCCAAACAGCCAGCCGTATTTTCAGGGTATGTATTTTCAAACTGAGAAGTTGCTATTTTTTGTCTCACTGAACTGAGCATTTTTTCGCTTCTTTCCGGTCAAAGGTGCAAAATACATCATTAAGACTCACGCCTCTGTACTTAAATTAGGTAGTCACAGGTCTTTTGTTGTCTTGAAAGTGCTCTGACAGGACCGCATTAAATCAGGCTTTATTTTTTTCAATTCTTTGTTGTAATAACCGTTAAATAATAAAGTTCCACACCGGCGTCACGCAAAGTTATCGTTGCAAGATCAAATTGTACCCCTTTTAACTTGACTCTCAAACGTCAATCACCAGTTTTCCTGAATATGAAATGATCAGCAAAATTATAGATCTTAGATCAAGGCAACAAGCCTGTGATCCGTTGCGGCCATCATCAAACATAAATACTCGATGCGATCTTCTCGGTGTCCTTTAAAACACATTAATCAAAAAATCCGACATTTACATTGTTACAGACATCAACAAATCATCCTGATGGCTTTCGAACACGGGGAAAAAATTGGTAGCGTATGTTCATCAAAAGTGCGGTGATGCGTGTAGATTTCGGAATTCCATTACCATATTGGTTTTGTTAAGACATAATAAGCGAGGAATGACATCTTATTTAAGCAAATGTGTCAGTTTTCGGGCCTTCCAACTATGGTCCACTTTTGGCAATTATTTTATAATTAGGGGTAGTTAAGATGCCTTCGAAGGGTCGTTATCAATAAACCGCTTGCGTGCAGATATGCAAAGGTGTTAGGATGCGAAGAACGCGCGTTCCAGCTTAGGAAATATCCTGCCGGAAGTGCCATATGTGGATAGCAACCACCTCAAATGACGTCTCTGTCCACGATTGTTATCGTCAAAGATTCGCCAATTAATTTAATTAGTTATGACAAACAATTTCATACATGATTAAAATATATTCACTTTTATTTTTAATCCAAGAAAAATTGGTATTTTTTAAGCCCACTTTCTCGATTTTATTTATTTCTATAAATGTGCTAAGACCTACATAAAAATTCGCAGATAAAGCACACTTTTTTGCTTATTTTTAATTCAATAGCCTTCGAATCTTTGCCAACATTTGTAAGATTCACATAAGATGTGAGCGTTTTGTAGATTAAAACATAATCTATTACGCGACTTTACTGGAACTTTTTCCATGCGTAGGTGAAAAAACGTTGTACTCAGTCCAATTACATCCTAAAATAGAAAACAAACAATTTTAGTAGGTAATCTAAAAAATTAAAACGGCAAAAGTTCATCAAAAATTTATGCAACGAGTACTTTCCCGCCGACCATAATTTTTTAAAGCTGCATCTAATGAACAGACAGATTTTACTAACTCTGTTTAATTTAATTTGTATGTTGACATAAATTTAATATAATCTACTTTCTACTTTTTCTTTAATGTCTGTTTTAGTAGAAATATGTGGGTAAGCGGTTCACTTCAATAAAATAACTTTTAGAAGCGGTTATTTATTTCTAATTGGAACAAAGTACGAATCTTGAACTGCATTTAAGATTTATAATTTTAGTTATTTTATTGTATTATTTTCATTTTATTTTTATTTTATTTTTTATTCCATGTAAGAAAACTCTGATTCCTTACTGTTCCAAGTTCCAACATATTACATAAGAGAATTTCAAGTCAATACTGAATAGGGTTTTTTCTAAATAATTAAAAAAAATGCAGTAATAAGAATATTTACTGCAAATATTGGAAAAACACTTCAGTCATAAACAGTTTATTTGATAAAAGAGTTATTAATTATTGTTATTACTGATAGTGTGATGGATACAGTATGTACTGTGAGCAGTTTTTTTAAATAGTTTTAGAGAAAGAGATAAATCGGAAATACTTCATACTTTTGTAAAAATGAAATTTTTACTATTATATTACTTTTTTTATTGTATTTTAGTCGATCATCTTTATACGTCCCCAAATGAGGGCGTAAATTGGTTTTTAAGGCACAGATCTGTCAAAAATTTGGCAAGCAACGGTTGGTTTAATTATTCAAACAATGGTACCATAACTTGTCATATTTTTTCACATACAATTTTTTTAATTTATGGAGAATCAGTTTTCCCCGAGCAGTTTCAAATTCTTGTAAAGTTTCTTCTGAATAAACGCTTTCTGCTTCAGAAACGTTCATTTCGCAAAATAAACGAAAACAAACCTTAACATCAAAATAGCTAACTGTCTACACAACACTAAAATTTGCATGGGCACAAATTCTTCTAAATATTTATTTGAATCTTTTAGAAATTATAAAATAGAATAAAACGTTGTATGTACCACGGGCATAATTGTCGATTAATGCTCTCGGGCATTTAAAAGCCCTCGTTCCTCGGGCTTTAAACAGGCCCTCAGGCCATAATCTCCTAATTGTAGGTACCCTTAATACATAAATAACTATTCTTAAAGTTTCGTAGAATCTTTTAATTAATTATTAGTTAATTTGTAATACAAAGGTATATATTACATTGATTGTCGAGAAATTTTGAACTTTGAATCTAATAAAGTTTTTTGTATCTTTTGCTGACAGCGTGATTTAAATCGTTTGTGGCTGGAAGCGCCGCTGCCCATAGTGCAAATATTGCAGATTTATGGCGTTATTTATTTGCATTTCCCCTCGCCACATAATAATAAATGATTGCAAGCGTAGTTGCCACGTTCCTTAACAAATTTAAGAAATCTTAAAACACGTGGCGGGGATTCCTCATGGGGTAATTGCTCTCATCCATCTCGAATTCCAAGTGCATCCACCTCAAAAACAGTAAAACGCGCGCCGCCCAACAGCGTTCCCGTCGTTTCTAAAATTCAATTTATAAAGTCCAACCGAACACAAATCTAAAGTGGTAAATATGTTATTTCTGCGCACAGTCGGCTAGAAGAACACGAGTATGGGATGCCTCGAAGGGAATAACTATTACAGATATGCAACAACCGCAAAGCCATATATCTCCACTGTATCACAACTTACTAGTTTTCGCACTCTCCCGTCCTGGTCAGGCATGCACCGGCCACGACAGCCAAAGTAATTAACAAGGATCGAGCTCGTCCTGCAGGACAAGCTATCCACAACTGCAAATGAGAAGATTTTTTTCCACACAAATTCGAATTAATCAAGACAAGTTGTAGTTTTTTTAGGCGGCGGAATATACTTGAAGAACTTAAAAATCCGAAAGACTTCTCGTTCGAGCATTGCTTCGTTTTGCATATTAATATCATTTGCTGATTTTAATGATAATCGACAATAATTAACTCTAAGTTGTTTGCGAAATTACGCTACCGTCGGCTCGGATTGCAAGGTTATTAGTTCGTTAAATATTTCATTCCGAATAGTAAATACAAGTCATAGAAACAAAGCGGAAATTAATGACCAACGTCATTCTTTGATATATGCTAATAAACAAAATCCACCGGCTTGAAGGTTCTGCTTTCAGTAAGATCGAACTGGATCGATATGTAAATTTTGTACCAATTTGAGCCTTGTTTCGTCCTACTGTACCATTTAAACTGTAGGGACGGATACAATATTGTATACATGTGTTTTTTAAATGCAAAAAGTGTTAACTTAAACACCTGTCTTGTTTAATTAATAGAAACTGGGCCTATACTATGGAAAAATAAAAAGCCCTAAGGCTTATGTTATAACGTTGAATACGCTCACTAATTGACTCTAATTAGAAACAGGAGACCCCATCATTTATTACAAATTCATTGAACAATATACCATACTATAATAATCTAGGCTCATCTTCATCACCGGTTCATATACCTAACGATAAAACGAAAATTTATAACATCAAATATTTGATTAAAAGTAAATATATTAATGGGAAATAATTGTATGTTGAAATTATTTTATAATTAGGTACATCTATTATAATTTTAATATTTTGCGATGCCAGCGAATTGTTCTATGCAACTGTTATAACTATATAGCAGTTGTGGTTGCATACAAGAGTCAACAACAAACATTAGGTTCTTTATCAAGGCCTAACTTTCAATTAATAGTAATAACAATAAACTGAAATTTACAATTTTAATTAGATATTTTAATTAAATTACTTTATTTAGCTATCGAATGGCATTAATTTGAGGCGTTTATATAATGTGATATCTTCTAAAAGTAATTTAGTTCAATAAAAGCATAATTGAGTAACCTACGTTTTTCCATATTAGACAAGAATTGGCGTGCCTACTTTTGAACGGTTTGCATAAAAAGCCAATTAAAAAATCTTTTTCTTCCTACAAATATCACGTCTTCCAAAATATTTATCTACAACCAATAAATCTACCTCGAAAATTGATGGAGGATGAATCCAAATTTGGGCAGATGTGTTATTCATCTTTATTCGTTATGTTTAATATTTTTTTGTCAAAATGCAAACACTGTAATCCAATTGACCTGAAATAGATGTAAACAGAAATAAGAGCAAGTGAATAATTCAAAAATGCGCGACTGAGCGTGTAATTACAATTACGAGAAATAGCTTTTCAGTATTTATATTGTTTTATTCAAATCTTGACACATTTAATATTTTATAACTGTAAAAGGCAGTCAGAAATAATCGAACTAGTGATTTAGCCCGTTATATTATACATGTTGTATGTATGTACATACATGAAAGTATACAATATAAACATTTAAAGTGCGCAAGTCATAAGCAGGTGCTCAACCCCGCAACTATACAAAACTAACCCTTTCAGAGCTTTAGTAAGTGCGTGTACTTTAACAAATGAAAACGCTAAAAGCATTTTCTGGGCTTAATAAATTTTCTTGGTATAGTTTTTTGTTTCGGGTAAGGTGTTTGTTTTTGTTTCATTGATTGAAAGAGAAACTTGGAATTTCAAATTTCATTAAAGCATTTCGCGTAGACTTAACTTTGGTTACTTAGTAAAGAATAATAGTATTGGCAATAAGCGAATAGAAGATACTTTTGCCATTAAACTTCTCTCTTGTCGTTGATAATAGCAGTTTAAACTCGACTCCTTTGACAAACTTCAAGCTATTAGATCTTGGAAACAGTGTAAATTGAATACCTTTGTTTGATTGTAATCTCTGAATATTTAGAAAATTTGATCTACTTGATTTATCAAAATTAGTCGTAATGTCTCTGCGGGTGTAATTAATTAGCCACTATGAAAAATTTAATAACATATAACCCCCATTGTGCATTATCGATTTATATTTTATCATACCGTTATAACAAATGTAATTTATTTTTACTGAAAGCACATGTCTATCGATTGAGCATAAAACCGCGTCACTCACAACAAATGGTGTCCACAGACAATGATTCAAGAAACTTATTATTAATGCAAACTGCTCGTAATTGCGATACATTCAATATTGTTGTGAATAATTCACTCAAATCTATCGAATATAATAGTGTACGTAATTTCAATTTTTGATCCAGAGTTCCAGAAATAGTACTTCTTATAGTTAGTTATACGTCATAATTAAGCACTAGACGATAGTCATCGTCTGTCGTGATCCGCACACTTTATTTTAATATTTTCCTTTTTCATGTAGTCCTTGAACTTAGATATGCAAATCCGAATCGCGGGCAAACCCTCACTATCAACATCCTTATTTCCATAACAAACGAATATTTTTAAGGCATGGGCTGCAGCGCTGCAAAAAATTTAACAGTCGAGCCTTTAGATGGCAATAAAGTAACAGAATTATCTAACGGTAACGCGGAAACGAGAAAAATTTCGATTCCCAGGAGCGTCTCAGACGTACCACCACTAGAAGGAGAGGACCCACAGACTGAGATTTTAGTTGAAACTGCCACTGTTAATAATATACAAAAAGGAGGTTTGGAAACACAAACTAGACAATTCTCTTGTCATGTTGCCATTTCTAGCAAATGGACTATCATTTGAAATCGCATTTCAAGACGAGGGAGAAGAGAGTATCATTAAAAAACATCCACCGAAGAGATTTCAGCGGTTGGAGGAACAACAAACCAGTCCGACTACGACTTTGGTCAAACTCCAGGAAAAACTCGACGAAGCTGAAATTAGACGACAGCAGGTAATTGACTAGACTTGCATGACTGGCAGTTCAAACATATTTAGATGTTATATTTTTTAACAGTCAGTAATTAGATAGGCTTGCATGATATTTTCGTTACGTGTTTTACCTTTTTATAAACGTCAAAGGTGATTTTTTTACACAAAATGAACAAATTTCTAGTTCAATGCTGCCTTTATATAAAAGTGTAATAAAAGTGATTGGTTTTTAGAATATAGCAGTTTTGTTGATAAACTACCCCTGTATTTAATGTACAGAAGAATGAACTTTTTTATAGTTAGTGTCACTGACCTGTATTTTTTTGTCCAATTTGAAATTTAGACTTGTGTTCATTCAGGGGTATCGAATAAAAATGAAATTTCTTGGTCATAAATACTGGTTAATAATAAATCAGTACCAGAGACCGAGCTGTTATTGCAATGAAAAGGTCGAGACCTTTACTTATTGATACTTTATAGGTTGCGGCGAATTGACTTATCGATTTGTACAATTATAATTGCTTTATTTTTGTTGAAAAGCCGTGATATTTGCATCTTTGGTAATTTGAAATTTTGTTTGTAGATTTTGCAACAGCGAGTTCAGTCGGCTAAGTTTAGAAACATTTTGAAAAAACAGTCGAGTGTGTCTTCACAAGATGAAGATCCTGGTCATTTGAAGGTGCCTCCGGATATACCGCACCCGGCAAATCCATACGATGTTTCATATATTTAGAATTGTTTCACATTTTTTGGGGTGGTATTTTATTTGCACTTGATTGATTACCGGGATTTATAAGTAAATTTGAAAAAAATTTGGACTAACCGAGGATTTAAAAAAGTGCGTACTAAATTGACATATAATTGTATTTTAATTTAGAAAGTATCATAAGGGAGCTAGAAGAATAGATTGTAAAATTATTTCTAGCTTAATTTGCGAGCGTTTGTGGAGAAGGTCCGATAGAGACAAACGAAAACTTGCAGTTCCTCCTTAAACGCTCGAGTACTTAAAACTAACATCCAAAACATCAAGTAAAGCTTGTAGTCTATTTTAATTTAGCTTTATTATCTCATTTAGTTTATACAGCTTCATTAACATTATATTTATAATACCCGTAACTTTTTTAGTGATTTAATGGGAATTTTAATAAAATGTCTTTATTATATTAGTATATAAAACAACATTTTATTTATTAACATCATTTACAAACCACTATTTATATCGGGAATGGTAAATATTACAAAAGTCTCGTTCCTTGTGGTTTTATTTTATAATAAATTGTACCTAATGTGCGTCGATAGTTACATTGAAAGTCCCATTGGGTCGTTATTAAAATCGTCCAAAAAAAAAGTCGATGGGAATCAAGGGGCCGCCAAGGTGGCCGCTTGTTTCCTTTACAATGCCACTTTGGGAACCTCATGTTGTCTTTAGTACACCAATCACGATGATTTATTAAATACGGTGAGAATGGGATCAAAGCAAATTTGCGTCTTACTTAATACCTGTATCAAATATCACTTCTAGTTTGGCACTGGAGCAAAAATCGATGAAAACAAAAACAGCTTGTTTGTATTTAATAAATCTTCGTGAAAAGTCATTTTGTCTGATGAAATGATTATACAATAAAACTAAATTTCTTAAACGAAATAACAAATAATTGAATTAATATAATTCCGTCATGTTTTAAATTTGTTCATAGTACAAACAATTCGATGAAATTTGGGTCAATCAAGGGCCAAGAGAAAACATCCAGGTGTATGGGAGCGTAACATCGAGATGATTAGAGATTGTCAAAGTACATATGTTTTTTTCCAATAAATAACACGAATTAATATTGCAATGGAAATTGGAATTTATTCACAGAGCAGAGTTGACTCATGGATAACATCTATGTAATATGATCGTTGCGATAATTTGGCACATTGTTCTTGTATCATCATCATCGGGATGGGAAGAAAATTATTGTATTGTATATTCGCTGATTATTGCTTCTAAACATAATCGCTATACATTGAGGCGCTACGAAGCTCCAGACAGGTCCCGGTGCTGTTTCCTGAACTGAATAAATAATACAGTTGACAGTGAGCAGGCACAACACGTCAATCGACAAGGAGAAAATAGGATTTTTGAAGGTAATGATGTGTATTATTTGTATTATTTCTTCGTTTCAGTTTTACTGGACCGTCGTTGGGTAAAAGACAAAGTCTTGCTAATGTTAGTATGAAGTTAGGCAAGTATGTAGTGACGACGATTCCTGGTCCTGCCAGTTCTTCCCGTCAGATGTGGGATGTGGAAGACAGCCGTCAGCCCGTCGATTAATGCTATGGATGTCCAAAGATTGGTCTTGCCACGAACAAATAAGACTAAATCTAACACACAGCCTCTATATTATGTATAAATATCTTTTTTGTTATTAAACCTACCATGTCAGTCCTCACGCACGTTTTTAGAACACGGTTTGAGCGGTATACAATTACAAATATAAAAACATCTAGAAATAGTCCGGGGAGTTCGTTGCGGATCCCTCGAGCGTCGGTCTGCCCGCGAAAATCCACTTTGCTTCTGCACAAACATCGGAAATGGCCCTTTTAACGGCCAAAGTACATCCGCAATTCCATCGCCACTTCCTCAACGTTAATTGTAAAAGCCTCGATTCATGGCGGCGCGGTTCCTATTGTGCCATTTACACTGGAGGATTCTGAGGTACGTTCGCCGAAAACTGGCGTTGCACAATGCGTAGCACACCGGGTTGATGGTAGAGTTAATGTAGCACAAGTAGTAAAAGAAATCCCACAGCTGTGGCGGGATGCGGGCACTCGACGCCGTTACCGGTTTTAACAGCACCAAAACGTTATACGGCGTCCACGTGATGATAAAAGTGAGCAGAATCGCAGACAGGGTCTTTGCTGCTTTCTTATCGGCCTTCTTCTCTTGCGTTTTCTTCTTCTTCTTGCCTTGGTTTTTCGTCGCATTGGCTAGCAGCGTTTTTCCGGCCAGTTGTTTGGGAATAATTTTGGCATTGAGCGGTATTCGAATGTCTGGCATGGCTGACGGTCGCCGGTTCAGATGATTCGCGTGCAACGTGTTCATCGAGTAGTCCACCTCGGGATGCGATCGCGTGCGAACGTCCTCCGGGATCATCTTGATGGAGGCCGCTTCCGAACAACCGGTGCCTTCTCCAGGATCGCCAGGCAAGCGAATCAAGATCGTATAAACGCTATCGCTTGAAACCGAACGACCTGCCAAACGGTTGCCCGTCGGCAAGCTCCTGGAGTCCCTCGGCGCTAGCCGAGTTGGGGTCATATTGGCCTGAGTGTGTGGTAATTCGCGTTGTGTCGACAATGTGCTGACGTACGGGTCCCTACCGGAACAAGTTCAAGAGTTACAATCAAATAATACGATAAAATGCATTCGCTAAAACCGTTTTATCGATGGAGATTCTTTATCGCTATTATAAAATAAGCACGATCTATAGAAAAATCTATACGATCGGCTTGAGAAAAAAAGGGAATTAGCACTCGCTATTATTTTTAAAAAGATAACACTAAAATGTATATGCAAAGTTGTATTTACAACTCATTTCTTTATTTTCTTTTAGTCCATTATTCATTTTAATACACAATATTTTGAAAAAGCTAGTATTTTTTTTATCTCAAAGAATCCGTGCGAACTGACATTTCGGACGAGATTATCAAAATTTTTTATTTAAGTACTTTGCTTGTTTCTTAGTGTTTCTTTCTACTCATTCATTCTATGTTAATAAACTTTTCAGTTTTTGATTCTAAGAATTGGATTATGATTCTTAAAATAAGCAATGTTAATTTTTTTTACCTTTTAGTATCTTTTAATCAAAACCACAATTGTAAAATAATGAAGTCTGAAGAACCGGTGTTACACTTAAAAGAATAAATTAAATAGACATTAGACACCGAAAACTTAAGTTTTCCATTAAACAAACAAGTTTTTCTTACCTGATGACGTTTAAAGAAGTGCACCTCGACACCGAGCTTTGTAAAGGCGTATCCAAAGACACCGGAGTGATGCAGCCTTGCCCTTGTTCACTGGGACTTTCTTCTTCTGTATCGCTGTCTTCCCTTCCAGAGTGCCACCACGCCACACACCACGCTCTTATCCTCCATATTCCCGCCAACCAACCTCCTTTTTGCTGTACAAAAAAAAATTGAGTTGATTTACGCAAGTGTTGATTTCTTTTCGAAGCCTTATCATTATAAATGTGATTTGCAAGCAAGACGGAATCAATTTGATCAATTTCCTATTCGATTTAGCGGTGATGCTTTAACGTTGGAGATTTTATTCTATCTATTTATCATGCCGTGTTCTTTTTTAAATATTTATTATTTGTGGCTGTTGCATCTAAATGGCATATATAATATGAAACTTAATTAAATATAACAACGCGCATGATAACTATAAGCATTTCATTGCGGTCAATAGAATGACAGCTTCCGGTTGATATAGCTTCACACACACACGCAGATAATGTTATTTACAATTAGACCTCGATTCAATTGTTAACCCAAGTATGTCGTAGTCATTGTACCGCACCTAATAGAAGTAGAAAGATCTATTTTAGCCATAGATTTTAATAAAGAATTTCGTGTTTTTGTTGATGAAACCGGAAGTGGGGTAAATTTAGTTCGCAATGTGATGATTGAAGGTGTTAGTAGCAGTTGCTGGGAGCGTTTTATTAGATTTGTCTTACTAACCGGTCGTTTCCGTCGATGATGATCGACGCAGACTGTACTGTGCATATAAACAGAATCTGTATCGGCACCCGTTGAAGACTCAGATCGAGGTCTTCGCCAGTCTTCTAAATCCACCGTCGAACAGGCATTATTTGCTTCATCACTGCACACGAATACACTGTATGAACATAATCAAGTGATTTGTTAAAAAGTTTCCTTTCATACATTTACTAACACCGAACATCTATAAAAGGAACCTTCGGGGCGTTTGATTAATAGACATAAGACAAAAATTTACAGCTACGAAAGGAGCCTCACTGAAGTTTAGATCTATCGGGAATGGGATGTAACTAGTCGAGTAGGTTGTTAGAGAACTAAATTGCTGTTGATTTGCTTTAATAACTCTTCTACGATTAGTTGTCCAACGCAATTATAAATAGATCGAAAATGAGGAAGATTGCAATCATGAAAGTTTTTCATATAAAATTGAACTTGTTGCAGGTTGGCTTAATTTTATGACTACAATAATTAACCGTAGTTTACTAACTTTGAAATTATGCGTAACTTTTGCAAAAGTTAAACTATTTATATGGAAATTTCACATTACTAAATGGAAAATCAAAACTTTTTGCATGTGAATTTAAGGTCCATTGACGAGAGGGCATACATGAAATGAAAAGTTAAATTACTATCACAAAAACTAGTTGGATATTTTAAACCCATTTTTATTGCCCCAAAGACTCTAGGGTGCAAGTTGGGAAGTATTGTGTCGGCTTGGCATGCTGAAAGAGTTACTAGAGGATTTAAGATGTTTGTTTGGGAGAGTAAAGTCAAATGAGAATGTAGATGTTAATCAATATAAATTTATCCAAGTGGTGTCTGTGCCGTTATAATTAATGTGCGTGATAAAACTGTATAAATAAAGCTTCTCCGGCTTCACAAAATCAGTTGCATACCTACTGAGTTAATTAGTTGGAAAATTAATTGGACAAAAAGTTCACATTATTTGTAATTTGATAAGGGAGTGCAAAATCTTTGAATGCATAAACTGAGATGAGTGGATAATAAGGCTTAGATCACCATTAAATAGGAGAAGATGTAAAATTAGCACAATATACAATGAGGAATTAATTATAGTGGGACTTTGAATAACCGCCCGTTTTAGACTCCAATTTCTACGTGGAACTAATTAGCCTGCAAATTGAACGTATTTTATTGTAAGCAGATCAAGAATTTATTAAAGCACATGTGCGAAGTTTGGGCTTTTTGTTTCAATGCGGCTAGACTGCAATTTTGGCGGAGGCGCCGGGACACTAGAGCAAAAATACTCAACAAAATAAACACATTTTTCTAACTTACTTGAATTTATAGAATTTAAAATTTTGCGATAGAAAGCATTAATTTCGTAACTCTTATATTAATTTTTTTTGTAAAAAAGTGTCTTTAGGGAAAATAGTACTGCATGCTTAAAATCATGCATGAAGTGCAATTTAACTAAATTTATTCGTTTTTGTATTAAAAAAATATTATTCTACGATTGAAAGAGACGGCACAGAAAGGCGAGTTAGGGAAGAGATGAGTTCTAAGGTCGGTTTTGTCTAAATAAACCCTTTTGTCGTCCGACAAAGTTTAAACAAAACCAATCCCTACCTGGAATTACTCCGTTTGCTGCTATCTTTTTTGCCCGCTTGTAGGTTGGGTAAGTCCTTCTGCCTCTTTTCCGTTTCCCGCCATATACGCCAATATAGAAAGCACATAACGGTGACGGGAACGTAGAAAGCGGCAATAGCTGTTCCGAAAGTGATGTAATGGTTGGTTTCGATGAATTGAATATAGCATTCGTTTTCAGGTACAGTCCGTTCGCCTTCGATATATGGCCAGCTATAGATCCAGGGTGGCCACAACAGCAAACTAATACCCCAAGCGCATCTGAAAGGAGATTCGATTCCTTTTTATATATAGGATGGAGACGTTATTATGGCTACGAGCACAGGTCACTGAATAATTCCAGCACTTGAGCTGATTCAACCCCTGTTCTAGTCCGACACCCCACCCGATGCATTTTGCGGTTAGCTTTGAGCAACCTACGGAAAATATTATTCCGGTTCTTTTCCGCACCGCAATTTGCACACAATTGCAGATTCTGTAATAAAATGACAGACGGATTTGTTCACGACTGTTACAATCTAATAATTCCACACTTCGATATTTTATACGGTTGGACTTTATAGACGTAATAAAATTTGTGCAGTGATGATGGTCAAAAAACTTACGCTATCATGATGGCTGCTCTATTGGTGGTTCTTTTGGCACGGTAAGTGAGAGGTCTGGTCACCGAAAAATAGCGGTCAAAGCTGATGATGAGTAAGTTGAGTACCGAGGCATTACTAGCGAGATAATCAAGAGCCAGCCATGTGTCGCATACGAGGGGTCCCAGAGGCCAGTAGCCCAGAAGAGTGGACACGGTAAACAGAGGCATGGAAATTAGACCAATAGCAAAGTCGGCCACAGCCAAGGAGAAGAGGAAGTAGTTGCTTATAGTCTGCAGTTGCTTGTCGATCTTGAAGGAAATCATCACCATTATGTTGCCTACCACTGTTACCACAGACAGGATTCCGGCTGTCGGACCAAAACTCATACATTCAAATCGAAAATTTTATTATGAAGGTTACCTATGGTACCAATAAAGACGACTTGGGTAATGGAATAGGTGGCCTCGTGCGGAGCGTAGGTGACAGATGTGTTCTCCGTCGACGACGTGTTCATGTTGTCACGAGGACCTGCAGGCTGGACGCCGCATGTTGCTCCGCCCCTTCTAGATTAATAAAATAATGCCAACATTCAGCATAATATGACTGAACATGTAAAGCGTTCAAACAAAGCAACACCATTGTTTTACAGCATGCAAGACATCACCGTCAAATGAATTTAATGTTTGTTAAATTTTGATATTTCGATTACAAATTCACGATTAGAGTAATTGGAACTGATTGTAATTATGTGGAAACGCTATTTGATACCCTATCTCAACGCAATGGAATTGGAAAATGCATCCCTAAATAGTCATTAATAAAACATTGCACCTGTTTAGGTTACAGTTACTGATTGACATTTAAAGCCTGACGAGCACCTCTTCACAGTCCGCATTGTTTGCTTGAAACACCTCCTTCACAAACTGAGTTGCAACATTTGTGTAAGTACAAATTTTTGTTTTTTATTAAACGCAATCTATACTTGAAAGCAGCTTTGCGAAACTATTAAGTATATAAATTCCTAAATCTAGTGAGGCACCTTTGTTAATAGCTTCAACTAATTGAAGTTGATAGTTAAGTTCTATAATTAATGCTGATATGAACCTACTTTAACAAAGCCTGAATATTTGATTTGTGTAATTAGTTTCAGGATAAAACTTTAAGGAGATTTATTTTAGAACCGTCGCCGTCGTTAGGTAATCTACAATATTTTTTTATTGTATAGATCAACTCTGCATATTGAAAAACCTTTTGATTGTATAAGATATAATTAAAAGTTTCAAATGACTAACCAGTTTCGAGTTTCCTTCAAAATCGCAAAGGGGCTTCATTTCTATCCAGTCTTTGTTATTATTATTCGTTCTTCCTGGACTGATACGGTGCGGTCATTTCAGTGTTATCTAGACAAAAGTGAATCTTCTCTCTATTGGTGAACAACAAAAGAAAATAAGACAAATATTATTTTCGAACCTTCAAACTTTTTCAATTCCAAAGTTAAAAAGTTTGCTCTTTCAGACAATGCTGAGTCGTTTTAATTTGATTACAAAATTTTTAACTGCGTCTTATGATAAGCATATTATTACTTAAGTAGCACTCAAACTTAGAAATTGCAAGCTGTTGCTTCTATTTAAACAGATAATTTTTAACAAATTTTCGTTGCTAAAATAATTAAAAAAAATCAATTTTTGTTTGAAAATTTTATTTTTTCCTAGTCTTCTATAATGAACAAGAGCAAACTTTTGATCCACAAATTGGCGTTGATCTTGTTTAAAAATTGCAATCTGGTTTTAATTTGTAGCTTCTTTTTGGTGTTTGCTTCGTGTTCAGCTTCCTTTGATATTTCCCGCTTTTCCTCTAATTGTTTTTACTTTAAAATATCTCGGATCGATAATACGTCGTGTGCAGTCTTGTACAGGAGAAGGGTAATTGCATTTTGTCCCTTTCCGTTGCATGTTTTAATACTTTCCGAGTAAATTTTCTCCGATAATTTTTAGCAGAACCACTTGATGTTTTCTGAGGTGTTATTAGAGGGTGATAGTGATTCTTTCTAAATGGGCTGACGTTCGATATCCTCTCGACACATTTCGAGAAGAACGTATAAGATTACATCATGTCCTCACATCCCACGATCAAATTATAATAATGACAAATCCTCACCAGTTTGAAAATGGTATTTTGAGTTGTTCAATGGCACACATATGGCGATAACAACATTCTGCAACAGATGTCTGTTTGATGACGCCACCCCCGAGTACTTAGGATATGGGACTTGGCTTTTATAACGTTAAAGTTAAATAGTTTGTAAAAATTTAATCCAACTTATAAGGAAGATAAATCCTCTTCGGGAGTCAGATCATCCCATAATTGTATTCCATTAAAAATATTGAGATAAATTATGCAAATTAGAAAATTCTTATATAAAACTAAAGCTTATATTATCGCCCGAGTGGAATAAAAATTCTCTTTAAGTTGCTCAGCTCAGACGAAGTTGAGCCGCATCGCCCTCAGCTAATATCGCGTGCTTGAACTTGCGAGCCAAAGGCAGAGACGCTGAACAAAACATAAGATAAATACTATAGCCACTTGAAGGTATAAATGCAATTGAAAAAAATTTATATATAAAAGGTCACTAAGTGGACGCCTCTGTCGCAACTTGTTGATCTCCTGCACTTTATTATAGCAAAGCTCTGAAAAAAATTTCGACGCCTACCGCCGATTAATCGCCACCCGACGCTTCCAACTTCACATAAAATCCCTCAACCACTTATGCTCGTAAAAAATGCATATAATTTATGACGACGGACGCTAAAACCGTCATCGACCTATTAAAGGAAATTTCCTAGAATTTAATTATTGCACCACATCTTTCATTAAACTACTGTCCTTGTACCAGAAAGTTTACGAGTTCGGAAGCTGAAAAAATCGTCACCCAGACTGTATATACCTGGGCAACACCCTCGGAAAAACCGATCAAGGTTCGGAACTAATACTGACGCCTCTCAAAATAATTTAGTTTCAAAGGGAGGTGTACACAATCATATTACTAGACATACCACCACTTAATATGTGGCTAACCGCACTCAAATCAGATTTTCTAGTATCGATAGAATAAAAACCGCATTTGCTTTCAAGATCACGAAATGCACTTCAAAGATTTCTTTTTTTTACCACCCGACATTAAAAAAGAAACTTTTTCAATAGAAAGGAAACTTACATTTTTAATGCACCGATGACGAAGCAGAGGAAATTGCTTTTATGCAAAAATGTTTTCTACGAGTATAGTTTGTTGTTATTATAGGTGCTCTATAATCTAAAGGCATCTAACTACGCAAACGGAAGTAAGGCCAGTAAATTACTGCTATCGAAGGAATTATACTACTGCGCTATTGATATGTGACGGCATTTTTGGTTATTAATTGTAAACAAAAGAGGCTAACTAAACACGTACTAATTAATTGGTTTCAAGTTACAACATTTTCATATTCAAACATATTTGTGCAAGTATCAAAAAACAACCAATCTCATTCCCGGTAAAAACCGGCGTTTCAAATTCCGGAAAATCAATAGATTTCGATGAGTTGAAACGTGTTTGTATGAAAGGAGGAAGTAGCGAGTTTGTGTGTACTCCAAACACTTATAACTCATTACGAGCTCGACGCAGACTGAACTTCCCCAAAACAACTAACAGTCTAACTTTTTTTAATTCAAGTTGACTGGGAAAATGCAGCCAGTGTGGTTTAAACCCGACATATTCCAGCCATAAAATATTGATGCATGTCCTAACCAATAATTGGCTCCCTAAAGGCCAATTTTTCACTGAAAGTTTAATTTTAAACTCTAAACTAGTGCAATAAATTGCACGAGTTTGTTTGTTTTAACCCAGTCCGATTAATTTAGTAAAATAGTAAAAAGTGCTTTCCTGATAAAAGCTTGATACAAATGTTTGACGTTCTTTACAACCCGAAGCTCGTGTAATACAAGCGCTGGCAAATAAAATTTACAAACAGGAGCGCTTTATGCAGACTGGTGCAGGGGAGATTTATGACCGGAGTTCATTTTTGTGCTTTTCGTCCGATGAAACGGTTAAACTTGCTGTCGAATTGCTGTTTTCTTGAATAAAGCTCATAATCGGAGCTTTCATTACCCCACTCTTCGACGCATCGAGTAAAGTCCTCTCTATGGCGGTATTGTTCCAGTGACGTCTATAAGCACTGTTGCTATTTTCCAGTGGTATCGTGGCATTTATGCAGTTTCTTCACGGTTGCTGCTCTGACAATGGCGGAGATATTCGAAGTGACCCAGTTTAAATTAAATGCACCATCCCGGAGTCGATATCTAAACGCTCCTTGCGCCTCGACGCCTCAAACTCCATTATTACGTTTACGCTTACACTAGTCACGAACTGAAAGAACATCAAATACGAATCACGTGCATAAACGAGCAGTGACAGACTTTCATGATCTACAATCTCCTCTCCGAGTGCTAAAGACGATTTTAGCCCGCAATCAACTCGAGGACCGACCATCATTTAAATAAATTTGAAATTAGCTCAAAGTGTTCGGCGAAAAAATATACAGAATTTTTTGTTACTGGCTTTGAATGACGACACATCAATCTATCAAAGATGTTCGGGCTTCCAGAAGTTCCACACTTCCCATTAATATCAGTCGTAGACGATGAATTTTAATTAGCATGTTTTAGGCGAGGAATTTTGCTTAGTGCTTCATCTCAACTTCCACTTGAACTGCTACTGTGGTTTAATATGGAATATAAGATCACACCCTTCGTTATACCTACATAACTGTTTGATCAACTGAATCGAAGCTGTTTGGATTCAGTTCACAAACACAAAATAACGTAATAATGTTCTTTAGTTTGCATTGCTGACTCTTATTCTACAAAAATTTACTATTTAACTAATTTTACAATGTTTTAACTACCGCTAGCAGTTGTGAGAATTAAATGAAATGCACTATTAATATGCAGAAACTACACAAACACTTTGAGCTTTGATGATTTGAGTGTAACGAAAACATCTGCAACTTTAAAAATTTCCAAAACATTTAGTTTAAAAATTGTTAAAATAAGATATAAAATCCTATTTATTTACCTACAGATTTGCTTTAAATAATATTCAGATCGAAAAAAATCCTTGGTTTTAGAAGAATTTTTCCATGCTCTCATGCATTGCACACATTTTTTATGAAGCTTTAATTTTCATCAAAACAATTTTTTGTACTACGTCTAAGAGTGAAAATCTTTTATTTACAAACTCTTGTGATCAGTAAAATAGTTAATGATGGATAATTAGCACATGTAACGACACGTGCTTCAAATTTGCTTGAAAGTTAGTCACGTGGTTGCAACCATCTGTGACTAATAAAGTAAAAATTCAAATATTCATTATTTATTTTTTAACAAGTAACACAAATGCAAAATTTATTTTAAAGGTGTTTCTAATATTTTGTTGTAAAGCTTTTTTCTGCTGATTCGGCTTGAGTTTTCTTGCTCTTATTTTTTAATCTTTTTTTCTTATTTCTTAATTTTCTTTTCTGTTTATAAGTAGTAGATATAATTTAAGATATTTACATATTTTATATTATCAATTTTCTTTATAAAAATATGCTTCTCTAGTTTCAATTCATTTATTTATTTCTTTCACTGTACAATTGTATATTTTCTGCCTTATTTCGCTCGTTGTTTTCAAATCTTGTCAACCTTTTTCTTATACGATTGGTTATTTTGTCTCAGACCATTTCCACGATTTGAGTACCGAAAGTGAAAAGTTGCATATTTTCTGGAACGGTCTTGAAATCTGAAAATAATTAACTGAATGCTTAAGAATTTATATTTTTGAACTTAAACTTTCGTGTAAATTATGGGGTTTTGTATGATTCAACTCAACCAAAGTTTATGTACTCGTGGGATCATGATTCTCTTCTTGTGCAAACCCAATTTGATAAAAGTTGTAGCATTCGTGCCGGCGTTAGAATGCAGTTGTCATCAGTGCGTTTTCAGCAGGATTGATTATAGAGAAACATGAAACTTGGAAAATAAAAGCAATCATTTTTAGAAGAAGTATGTAACGTCGTTATCTTCTGCTGTAAATTACTTTTCGAAGTCGAAGAAAAATGAATACGGTTGTGTCCGATCCTGAAAATATGGGCCAAGACACGGTCGATGCCCGTCTGCGGTCCACCGGAATGATGACCCGACAATTTAGTTATAACTTAATAACCAAAAGTCCTCCACGATCTACAAATTTGCATCCCGCCGTTCATATTTACATAGTAATATATGCACCCGTTCGTCTTTCTCTTGTTGAACACAGCGTATGTTAACATTTTCCACAGATGTGTCGTAACAATCCTGCTACTGACAAGTCATAAGTCAGATGAGCAACCGGAACAATTCCAACAAATTAAAGTCTTTCGATAAGTCGAGACATGGGTGGAAAGCGACCGCCACCCTCGGTTGTTTAGTAATTTATACGATTGAAAACCACCACTTAATATTACTTAAGTTTATGTTGTTCACGAATCGAATAACTGCGCTTTGTTTATAGGAAATCTGGTCGCGACAAGCTGCGCCATGTGGGTCAGAGCTTTTAGTGCAAGCAATCGACTCTCAAGATTGATCATGACATGTGATATATTTTACTACCTATTATGCCATCTGATATCCTGTTTATTCTGGATTGATTAGATAAGATAAGGACGAAAGCTCCACTTTCAACGAACAAGGAAAAACTTAAAAAAATCTCACTTTACAGTCCAAACAAACATCAACTTGTCGATTTGTAAAATATCTTATTTTCTTGTTAATTTATTCTGTTAGTGAATTAAAGAAAAATTCATTACACTTGCATCAAATTAATTCTGAAGGATATTTACCCCACAGATGTTCATTACAAGCTTTTCAGAAAGAACTCTGTTACGAGAAAAACTTCCGGAACTTATGCAAATCGCAGTGTCTCTAAATAGAGAAAAATTGCTTTCTGTTTACCCTTTGGATGCATTCTTTAAGCACAAATAAAGTAAATAAACAACTGAACATTGGTACATTTCACGACACGTGACACGAATACAATTAAGTTTGTTTGTCTAAAAAATGTGAGAAATTTGATTAGGTGCAAAAACATCATTTTTAAGTCCAGACAGTCTTTATAGATCGCAGTTGGCACAGTTGAGATACAACGTAAATAACTCCACCTAGTCCTAGACTAAAGCATCATCCTCTTAATGCTGTTAATTAAAAATTTGAAGATTAAACTGAAATTTGATGATTTAGCCAGGATTTAGTTTTAATTGCCAGCCTAGTTATTATCGCAGGTTAAGGACCTTTTCCATATCTGGCCTATTCAGATTTAGTTGGCCATAAACCAGACAATTATCACCCGAATTGCGCAAATTGATCGAAAGTGAAGATGAAAGGACATAAAGTTGTTATATTTCTTAAGCGGCAATCATCATCTGATTTAACTTTTATCACAGCGCGGCGGGTGGTTTTTCAGCAGATTGCTACAAATGATTATTAATTCGGTAATGGGTCTCGCGGCGAAGAGGAACTCACTTACACATTGAAGCAACGTAAATGAATGAGTTCATTAATAATTACTCGTGAAAATGATTGCTTTAAACGATGCACTCGTCGAAGAAGGCATTTTCCTCCCTGGGTCGAAAATCGAAAAAACGGTCGCTTTAAATGACAGGTGACACAGTTCCGCTCCGGAGCCAAAATCCGGCAAGTTATGGATGGAAGTCTCAATTTCCTCGCGAGGATAAACACCGAATAAGAAGCGGGAAGTGCAGCTGAGGTCTTCGCAGGCAAAAGCCGTGCAATTAGATGATAAAAAGGGAAAGATGCGACGATCCGGGCAATTAGAGCCCGGCTAGATCGATGCAGCATGCAAGAGGCTCACCTCAGCGGTTACATCTCGCCTGGCCATGTCTCATCGTCAACGAGCACATCACACACAGACTCCTGGGGCTCCTGCAAGGTGCAGCTGGCTCCATAGGCGTGGACTGTCCGGGTTGGCGCCTATGGAGCAGTCATTCCACCCCCACCCAAACACACCCCAGGACGCGCATGGCGTTCATTGATTTTAGACCGAGACGCGAGCCCCGCTTTCATGGATGTTATTTTGATATAGTATCGTGTTATGGGGCCTCTGTTATTGCGATGCCTGCTTAATTTCGCAATGATGACGAGAGATCTATGCACCCATCGGACGTGATACTGGAAACCGCTCCGGGACTCCGGCAGAGCGCAAACATAGAGCACCACTTGTCCAACTTTATGCCTTTTTTAGCGGCCCGAGCACTCTCCAAACCTGAAAAGAATGAAATCCCGCGGAAACTCGACACATTATACTAAAACGTGAGCAATTCACGATTCTTTTAAAGCGGCATCTATGCAAATGACGCCCACCTACGAGTGAAAAGCAAAAAATATCACTCTTTGAAATAAGGTTTAATTATTAAACAATCTTTATTACGACGACAACATTGAGAGAAATTTTCATTTACTCGAGTTTTTTTTCTCGACCTTTTCCCTACTACATGTACGCACGCTAAAAATTCAATAAACTTTTTCTTCCAAATGTCGAAAGACAAAAAGTGCTTTGTATTCATCGTAAGTAAAAAGCTAAAAACGACGAATCATATTGCAAACACATATACTCTTCAAACAAAATGTAATGATAATGATTTTTTGTTATTCTATAAAGCTCAAAATTAGATGTTATATTTGTTTAACAATTTCAATGACGGCTCTTACCGTATTTATAAAAGATTTCGGTTATTCCGAAACGGAACTCTTCTGCAATAACCGTATAAACCGATAAGAAAAATCAAAAGTTACACCAAAACTTGCGGACAAATCAAGAAAACTGATAACATCGCCCAATATCTTAATTTGAAAAGTTTCAAATCAACAAATGACGACATTATAGCTTATCAAAGAACGACGCTTATTAGGGTAGTAACTATTAAATTTTTGCGAACATTTCGTTTTCTTTGTTTTTATAGTGACATAACGTTTTTATTATTTATAATTTAAAACTTTACTTGTTTAATAATAAAAAAGCAATACAAATTGCTAGTAGCTTGAACTAGATAATAAAAGAGATTCTTAAGATGAAAAATTAAATAATTGAGGGCTCAAGCAAAAGAAGGTTCTGTTTAGCACAGTTTACAAATATTTAGTTGATGTAAGGACTATTAGTTCCACGACAGACAAGGAACCTCACTTATTAATGAATTCTGAATCCTTCTAGTTTCCTACTTGGGGTGAAGTCCAATAGTCTATTTTTTTAGAAAAAAATAATAATTTAATTTTTTTTAGGATTTTGTTAATAAAATATTATTTAAAAGTTTTTTTTTCAACGATATAAAACATTTTAAACCTTTTTTTTGTATTCTTTCTTAGGTAAGTTAAAAATGTAAATCAACTAAATCTAGTCAAGTTATTGCAAATTTGTTTAATGTTTTTACGTGTCACAAAAATTAAGCCTCCAATTCTGGGTCTTAAATAAAACAATTTGCTCACTCCGGTAAAACTACCCATTAGGCAGCAATAGTTAACGAGTATTGCACTCAGGAGCAGGCTTTCACACTACCGCATGACCCAGTTCCAACCTTCCTCAAATGAAACAATTTTGATAACAATTTAAGCCTTGCAAATAATTTGACGTTGTATTTCGAGTGGCAGAGACAGGACCCACCTGTTTTCCACTATTACAGTTTATAATTTCAGCTTACGCGTTTATTTTGCGACGCCAAAATTCCATTTTCAGAGTGAAAAGCTGAAAATTATGTCATCTCATTACAGTCACCGGTCCAGATAATTAAATTTGCACACCAGCCAGGTCTGGCCTTGAACGAAAACTTGACCATAAATTTTCCACCTAAAATGTTCCATCCGTGATTCCGCTCCCGTGATGGGCGGTATTTATCTTTATTTATTTAATGAAGACATTCGACCGGGGCCCAACAATCGTACCAACAGAGAGAAAAACGCTAAAGTTTCGCCGTTTTGGGAGTAAATCTTACGACGGAGCTTTTTCCCCCGTACTAAAGCTCCAGTTTGATTAGAATCATTGGGTGAATACTGACGGTTTCACACTGTGTGGCATTTTGTTCTGAAATTATATAGACTTAATACAAACGTCTTGATTTAGCAACATTAGTTTGTTGTATAATATAGTTGACAGGCTTGGTACCGATAGTAGCCTTGAATGTATTGTAAGCTCCAAAGAGAAACCCTCCAATGTTATCTACACCCTTTGTATGTACTCATTTTGTTGAGATCAATCGGCATTTATTGAAGTAGGCTGCATCACAGACATTAGTTTCCTTATTTCAATTGCCACGACTTTCGTTATATAGGTGCACAAAAATACATTTTCAACACAATATTTTTATATGCTTAAAACAATACAATAATAATGATACGATTTTAGCACGTCGTTATAGAAGCACTACAAAGTAAATCTTAATAAAGTATTAAAACAAACTAACCACCAATGCCTTAATTTCTTTTTTTAAATATCTAATGATTTTTTTGAGTTCTGGTAATTAAAAAATACGTTTTAGCAAATGTTTTTTTTGTTAAATTCCTTATAGTTTTTTTACATATTGTTAGTTATTTTGTAATGCTGTTTTATTTTTTTGTTTGTTTCAAATTAACAAATAGTTTTTAATTTCGTAATAGAAATAAATAATTCTAAAAAACACTCAATATAATTTTGTAATGATATAGCTTAGGCAACACAAAATACACCAAAATAATTTTTCGCTCCTGCCATCTACGAAATCTATTTCAAACCAAACTTGACATAACTGCCGTTCGCAAAATTCCAATGGTAAAGAAATTCTAGAAAAATCTTCAGAATTGTAGAATAAAAGATCCTTAAAATCATAGACCATTCTTCAAAGCAAATTACTGGAAGTTTCATCGGATTTTGTGAAACGAAAATAGTTTCATTCATTATTTTTTTAATTTACCGAATACTATTCACTGGAAAAAGGCGCTTGTTTTATTAAACCTGCAATTTTCAGGTAAAATATTTAATATTTAGCGCAAATTTGCTTTTCTGCTTATTTATTAAAGCGATAACTTTGGTTTGTATGTATTACAGGCGGGATCAACGTTTTTCTGGTGTCCGCACACTTAACCTAAAACACAATGGCTAAATGGGGCGAGGGTGACCCACGATGGATTGTGGAAGAGCGACCAGACGCAACAAATGTCAATAATTGGCACTGGACCGAAAAAAATGCGGGTCCATGGTCAGTGGAACGAATAAAAGAGTTATTTAAAGATGTTCCAGTAAAATCTGACTTAGCAGACATTCATTTCACAGAAGTAGATAAGTGTGAAGGGGAAGCTTCTGCTAACAATCGGAAAGGCAAACTTATATTCTTTTATGAGTGGGATTTGAGTATTAAGTGGATAGGAAAGTTGAAAGATAGTAGCAACAAGTACTCTGGGAAGATTAAAATACCCAATCTTTCTGAGGAAAATGATGTCTCAGAGTTGGATGTAAGTCAGGTTTAGATTTTTACTGTTTTAACAGAATTTTTGAATTATTTTGCTTGGAGTTTTAATTTTACTTGAAAATTAATTGAAAGATTTTTTGATTCAGATCAAGGTCAGTGTGAAAGATTCAGACGAGGAGGGCGACAAGTTGAAGGAAATAATGTTGAAATCCGGTAAAGATGTAGTGCGGCAACAACTATCCAAATACATTTCAAGTTTAAAAGAAGAATTTTCAAAAGGCATGATTTTACCAAAAAAAGATGAAGTCAAACCTGACGCTGTTAAAAATCTTTCAAGTGGTTTTAACAAGAAAATCAACATGACACCAATCGTCAGCGAAAATAACAAACAAGTCGGTCTTAAACTGGACGTAACAACGATAAACATCACTCAACAGTTTCAATGTACAGCACAAGAATTTTATGACGCGTTAACAAAAATTGAAATGGTGACAGCGTTTACTAGAGCTCATGTAAAAATGGATGCCACAAAAGGTGGTAAATTCGAATTTTTCAATGGAAATATTATTGGTCAATTTGATGAATTGATACAAGGGAAAAAAATTGTACAACAGTGGAGGTATAAACAGTGGCCTGAAGGACACTACTCTACTGTTACTTTCAACATTAATGAAAAGGTATATTGATTATTTGTTGTGTTTGTTTTATTTATATTTTTTTAGAGCGATCACACGGAAGTCAATGTGGTACAAACTGGAGTACCGTCTGGTGAAGCAGAAGTGACTAAAGAGAACTGGCAGAGGTACTATTGGGACTCCATCAAGCGGGCGTTTGGTTTTGGAGCCTTCATTCAATGTTAAAGCGAGTTGTACATTTTTAGAACCAATTATTTTTATAGTTACGAATCAGCTACTTTTTACTGTATAGAGTCTATACTTAATTTTTAATTTATTTGAAAAGCTTCAAGAACATTTTGTTACAATGTATTTGCAAAATTGCTGTGGGAACGAATAAAATTTAAACACAACAGTTTTTTATTCAACCTCCCGCCAACGTATTACGCATGCAAGTGCATCAGCTTTATCGATCTTGTACCACGTGACATTTCCGCAGAACTGTCACTGTCACTCGTAAAATAAAACTTATTTTTTTGGAAAAAATGAATTCAAATAAAGTCGTAATTAAGTTAAAAATTCGCAGATACGACACAGGTAATTGAATAAAAAAAATTATTTCCATTCATCACAATTCTTTAGCATTCCCTGAAATAACTGAAAAAATTATTGAAGTGGATCCAGATTTGGAATATAATGCTTTAAAGAAGGAAATTCAAGATATTTGTGAGGTCGGACCCGAGGATAACAAAGTTATCAAGCTGAGACGTGATGATGAGGTCTTGGTACCTCTCTCATTTTTATTGGAATCAAATGATCCTGACAAGTAATGAAAAGTTTACGAAAATAGTTATTTGCATATAAATGTTTTTAGATACTTTTACATTGATATATGCAAGATTAATTATGCTAGTAAGTAGACCATGCCTTCAGTTAAAATTTATGATCAGAGAAGCCTGTGATTAACTCTTGAACATTTGTCGCCAACCTAACTATAAAATCATGGGCCACTTTGATTGCAAATTTAATCGTCAAGGCTGCTAAGGAGATCAAGGAGAAACTGAATCATTTTCAATGATTTTTTTATCTTGTATAATCTTTTTTCATGCAGATAAGGCCACAGCCAGCCTCCTCCAAGACGCATACATCGATTCCGTGTGCCAAAAACTACGCAATATGGAATCACGGATTGTCAAAGCCGAGTTGTTGCTACCACAGTTGGAGTGGAGGAGACAAGCACATATGGAAGAAACTGTCGATTCATTGTCAAATAGGGTGTCTTTTCTGAACAGGAGATTTGATGAATTGTTACCAGCTCAGTGGAGGTCAAAAATGCCACAAACTATGGCATAAATCCTTTTCTTCCATCTTTAAAAATTGAAATGTAGGGGTTAGTTATGCCTTATACCTTTGGCACACGTTTGTGCTATTTTGTGTGATTTAAAGTTTGGCTGTTCTTCCTCGTTATAGGTACAACTTCGATCCAATCTACTATTCCTCGAATTAGTGATACAGTAATTATTTATTATTAAAAAAATGCGGCCAGGCTGAGGCCGGAGCCTGTTAATCCTGTAATAAGATATTTATAGTATTGTTAGAATATAAGTTGGAGTCATAACTAATAAATTTAAAGAATTACCTATAAATTTTTTTCTTAAATAAAACACGTTACGTGAAGTAATTTTATTTTCAAAGAAGAAACTGTAAAAATACAAGTTTAGGTAATTTTTTCACATAATATACAGGGTGTTTCAGAGCTCGCGCCCTGGAGAAAAATGGTAAAAGATACCAAGAGGCAAGAACAAGTTAAATGTTAAAAAAAATCTGGGAGTTTAAATTTAGCATTTTGACTTTTTTTATTTCTGTCGGAAAAATAACTTTCCAGTTTTTTTTTGGTACAGGCTAATAAAAAAGGAAACAAGGAACTGTATCTTAAATTGTAACTATGTTTAACGTTATTTGTGGCTTTTGTTGGCAACATGATTGTACCTTTACTAAACAATTCCATATTTCTGTTGACAAAAAAAGTTAAAAATTTTAACGCGGAGTGTAGGTATATAAAAACAACAAGAAAAAAATCATAATAATATTTATTTAACATTGTACTTTTCAGAATCTTTTATATAATATTCTAACACATTGAGATCACAGTCATTTTTATTTTTATTCTTATTAGAACTAAAAATTAAAAAAAAATTAATCCTGACAGTGAAAATCAAACCGTTCGTGTAGTTTGGAAAATGCTAATGAGAGTGAACACACAAAATAAAAATATTATTTAACTAAATATGTAGTTAGTCTTAATGCATTCTAATACTGTCGAAAAAAAACAGCGCAATTTTCAAAACAACTTTTTACGGGTTGCCTTCGTATACTTGCGCTTCTTAGCAGGTGGTTCCATACTAGGAGTGGAATGTAGAGGGACTTTGGGATTCATCGCTTTCGCCCTCTCTAATCTCTCCGTGAAGGTTTCCTCGGACGGCGCTTGATACTCCTCCAACATTTCGTGAAGTCTATCTTTATTTAAAACTTTGATTTGGAAAGTGTCATTAGACAACTTTCCCGGTTTGGCCCCAGTGATCTCGATGTTAAGAGTATTGGCTAACTGTAAAGTCGCTACAAAAAACCTGGTGACTTCCGTCGCGTTTTTCCCTTGGACTATATCCCTAAATAGTTGTTGTTCCCCGACTTCAAGTGGGTCCATTATTTTCGAGCCGTATTCGTGGATGTTGAAGTCTGATTTGTTTTCCAAATTCTTTAATATAGGGACTATACTAGATCGCCATTCACGGACGTTTCTACGAGAAATTTCTTCCTGATCTAAATCAAAGGCTATGGGGATGTCGTTGGAAGTTGATGGAAGAAAGTCTGGAGTTTCTTTAGGTACTTGTGGTTCAGGAATGGGGGAGAGCGGCGGGGGCAACGATGGGTCAATGCTGATGTCTTCAGTATCGGATGTTTCTTGATCACTTTCGGGAAAACCATGAAATGGTTCACCATCTGATTCGGATTCTGATTCCTCGGATTCTGACATGTCTTGAGCAATAATTCCTGTAGCAACAAGAAATATTTGAAAAAATTAAAATCAAATACATCATATAATTAATTACCTTCATTATCTGATAGTTTATACTGCAAACGTAAAAACTTTTCAAATTTTCTATAACTGACCGTTAGTCCTGTTGCCAACTTCGCCAATTTTTTTTCTAACCTTTTAGAAATCCGTTGCATTTTTTGTCTCTTGATTTTATCTTCTTTTTCCTTTACAAAAAATTAATTATTGTTTTATTTTTTAATTATGGAAAACTCACCTCACGATCTAAAGAAAACCGTTTTTTACTAAACCTACAACCTGTAATAATTGCAGAAGATCCCAAACATAACGCATTATTGGTCACTGGAGACTCCGATTCTTGTTTAAATTCTGATATTTTTGGAGATGATAACACTGGAACTGGTGTTGAAGTGTTGGTGAGATTATCATTTGAAATAACATCAGTAGTTTCAACCCCAGTGTCAGCTGTTAGTGTAGTACTATCCAGAGTCGCATTTGATTCGTTAATTTGATCTTCATCTTCATAAAAAGCTGAATCTTGACTACATGATTTGCTTCTAGTTTCCAAAGTTCGACTCATTTGATCCAAATCATTAGACTCTTCAGATTCATGATTGGCAAGAGAGTTACAAGGACTGGGACAATTTTCCGATATTGAGCTTATATTGTCATCATCAAATAATGAATCTGCAAAACTTACTCTCCTTAGTTTATCCTTTAACACACTAAAAGGCAACCTCTCTAAACAAACAATGCTTTCTTTCAATTGTAAATGTTGTTCTTTTGTCAAATGATTATGACTTTCTGTAAATTTGTTTATATAATCATTCAAATCTTTTGAGTAAGAATTTTGTGGTTCATTGCTTGGGATCGAGTTTTCTTGTAAAAAATCGTTGATAACGTGAGTGTCAACCCTCATACTAGTTACGCAATTATACTCGTCTGTTAGTAGTTTCTCTTTTTCTAAATCAAAAATGTCTTGAACAAGAGAAGCAGAATGAAACTGGTCATATCTTCCAACATAATCATTATCTTCTGTATAAACTGAGTCATTTGGCAAAAATAAGTTTTTCCTTATTGTTAATCTATGAGAAGTGTTATCTAATTGTTTATTATTACACTTCTCCCACTCTTTGGTCAAATCAGTGGTTTCATAATTCTGATTCAAATAATCAAGATTTTCAACATTTCCACATGAGAAATTATTGACCAAACTGTTTGTTTGTGTTTCAACCAAATTTGTTTTTCTTTTACGTTTATATTTTCGTTTCATTTCTTCCAATTTCGCAAGTTCTTGCTCCTTGTCTGCGTTACTGAAAAATTAGGTCAACAAAAGGTAAACACTTGAAAATTTTGCTCACTCCTGATGACTAATCATACGTTTCTGGTAATCAAAAATGATATTCCATAACAATTCTACTTTCTTGCTGTAGAGATCACTAGTACTTTGTAGTAGAAGCGCAGCTTCCGCGAAATTAATATTAAATATGCCATTCTCAAGGTAATTATCCGATTCGCTAACTTTAACTAACAAATCCTTTAAAACCTACAAAAGAATGGCATAACACTTGCTGGATGTTTATGAAGTCTTCATACCTGGCTGAGGTCAGATTCAACAGTTGGCTTTTTTAACATTTGTGCTACTATTTTAATCAGCTCACTTATCTTTGAATTAGGTGAAAAACAGTTACTTTCTATCACGTTTTGTTCCATCATCCCTTCCACAATTTGGCGGACGCTTCAGTTTGAGACTCTAGGGGGCCAAATGGCTTGAAAAGTTTTTAATCCAATGGGGGGGTCTCACTTAAGCCTTGCATAACATAAATCAGGCGTATGTAGCAGTCTTAAGTACAAACTTTGAGAAATCTGAGAAAATTCGGAAAGTGAGAACATATTTGTCAACACAAACTAGCGTGCATATGCGCAGTCGAGGTTGACATAAAATGACAGACGTCAACTTAGGCGCTAAATTTGAAATTGTGAGATTTATTACAAACACCAGAGACATAAAACGTTTATTTTTGCAAACATTGATTATAATAAAATTTACGGCAGGAAGTCTGTGTTTAAAAAGCAATATTCGTAAAAGTGAGACAAATTAAAATTACTAAATCAGGAAATGCAGTTCATTCACTCTGTTAATTGCTCTAATGAACTTTATGTTGTGTGAATGAAGTTCACGTAGCTTAAGTTTATTTTAAAATTTATTGCCCAGTTTCGGTTTTCGAATGATCAAAGCCGATTTCGACCGAACTCACTTTCGGCGTTATCCGCATGTGCAACATCCGTTGACAAATCCCAGTGATCGTTTTCGATTGAATCCAAAACAAACAGAATCTCCTCTGTTCATGTGAACATTTGTAAAATAATTGTGACTCTCATTGAAATTCGTGAAAAATGGGGCTTGGAGGCTGTTACGCCATCTTAAAATACCTCTTGGTGTTGCTGAATTTGATATTTGCGGTAAGAATTTGAGATAAATCAAGATGCCATTTTGTCATTTTTCATAACAAACGCGAATCAATAAATGACGGGTTGATTTTTTTCTTGTAAAACATTACTCTTTTCGTGCTCTTTAACAAAGTTTTTTTAAAAATTCATGTAAGGAAGCACTTCCGCCATTGTAGGAGTTTAGTTGGTGTCCGATTTGGGCTGAAATCGTGGGTTTTTTCTCTATTATTATACCACGGAAGTTGCTGTTCAATTTTTTTCAGGTGCATTAGTTAAATTAGGTTTTTATTCGTGATTGTTCGCGTTTTGTTTTTTTTTTTGCACGGAAACCGTACTCGTGTCATTAATTTTTAATTTTTTTATATTGATGAAAAAGCTAAATTATTGTCCCATTTTTTTAAACAAGGTTATGAAAAAATGTGTTGAAAGTTTAATTAAAATAAAATATTGTGGGACGATGATTCCATATTAAATTCGTCATGATTTAAAATTAAAACTCACCTAATATGCTATAACCGCTTCCAAGGAATTACTTAACCACTTTTTTGCTGCTTTGAAATTATTAAGTTGTCTTAATCAAAGCTTAATGATAGGGGACGCTATTTGCTAAGAACACCTCACGTGGTTTTGTAATGTAAATACCCGATATATGCCGACGAATTACCATTTCAAATATTCAGATTATTATTACAATAAGTCATCGACACCAACGCCTAGGTAGTCATATCTAATTTTATTTATTAATTTAACTCCTAATCACATACCTGCAAGAAATTAATGCATGGTTGAAATGTTATGGCTCCAAATGTGGGAGCTTTCACACATTTTCTATTTTTGCTCTTGCAAGGACAAGGAATGGTTTTACGGAAGGAAAAAATTAACTTTTGTCAGTTGCAGACACAACACATGATAAGAAAATATTTTTATCCAGATGCTAATAATAGCTTGGAATTCTTTGTAATTGCTTTCTGTTAAAACACATGGGAGTTTGAAAATCCAAAACAGCCACCAAATAACTTGTTACGAAATTTTTGTACTTCCGGAATTGAATAGTGCATTTTGCATCATTCTGTTATCTTATACTTAATGATGCAAATATTTTATTGTTTTTGTTTGTTAAATTTGATTATTTATGGCATTATTACAACATTCCTATCTGAATCATGATAATTGTTTGAAAAATAGCAGGTGTTTTTCTTTGTATTAATGCAGAATGTAATCGTTTAATGGAAATTTTTATGTCGATAGGTTGTATCAAATACCTGATTTATCCAATCAAAATAAAATGAATTTTTGATACAATCAGCCATGGGGGCGTTTGGTGTAAACGTTTTTAACGTTCCAAAACACAGTTTTCTCTTCATTAATTGAGAAATATTGCAGTCTAATTGGTTATGCTCAATTTACAGCGACGATATATTAGGTGTGTGAAATGTGAATCATAATAATTGTTTACTTGGCCGAAAGAATCAACAGAAAATGGTTCATTGAAATGGAGCCAACCAAAATTACTCATCGACTGCCAAAATAAACTTTTTATTCGCAATGAAAGTGACTTTATGAAAATGACCTGTTCATATTAACCTTTGATGTAAATGTCTTCAATAAGGTTTCGCACAAAATAAAGCAATTTGCGCTTTTTCGTAGTTGTTGGGGATCGCCGGCACGGTCTTCTCAATATGGATGCTCGTGGACCCTTCATTCTCCCTATCGCTCACTCAAGATTACATCATTTCGGTCGTAATAATCCTCATCGCTTCAGTTCTCCTCCTCGTCGTGGCCATGTTTGGCATAATTGGCGCCCTGAAAGAGAGCCAGTGTGCCCTAACGACCTTTTTCTGTCTCCTGCTAATCATTTTCGTAGCTGAAGTTTCAGCCGGAGTTTGGGTCCACATCAACCGAGACAGCCTCAAACTTCAAATTAAAAACGCTGTTGAACTCACTGTGGAACAGGAATACTACACCAGTGACAATCGCAAGGCTATTTTTGATACTTTTCAGCAAAAAGTAAGAGATTTTTGTAATTGTTGTGCAAATAATCAGTTTTGCATTTCAGTTACAATGTTGCGGTGCCAAGGCGGCTAGTGACTGGATCGGAAATAAGAAAGTCGTACTTACGGTAACGTCAGGTCAGGAGAATTATAGCATTCCCATGAGTTGCTGTCGCGAAGGAACCACAATGGAGGATTGCAAAAAAGCGACGTTAAATATTAAACCGACAAGCTCAATTGATTATACAGCTATCTACGATAAAGGCTGCTATTACGCCATTATGGCCAAGTTGGAAGAACTATCTTGGGTTTTGATCGTCGGGATCGTCCTAGCGGTGATACAGATTTTGGGCTTGATTTTTGCTCTAGTTCTTGCATTTGCCGTTAACCGATCTAACAGATACAAAGCCTAAGATTGAAACGTGTTGGATATTTCAAATACGTACAAATGAAAATCATTTCGATATTTTCTTCTACAAATTTATTTTCGGATCAAGAGTTTATATTAAAATGCAGAAGAATCGCACATATTTTTGATTGTGTACAAATTGTATATCCTTAAACTTCAAGTGTTGTAACATGTGTGCCATATATTGTGACCGCCGTTTTTGTACAAAACGGTCGATTGAAGCTCATTTTAATTCGAGTAACAGGAACATTGTCCAAATTTTACAATGGTTGTTTTGTGGGAAAACGCGCGGATTTGTAACTTAGCTTTACCTCTAGATATAGTTTGGTGGACAACCTTTCGAAGCACTGTACCTAAAATATATTTTCTTAAAAGGAAATTTATTCGACATGCACTCAGCATTTATTCATGACATTTAACTTTAGACTGATATTTATTTTCATTTTTCGAATGTCCAATAATCTCTTATTTACTGCCTCTAAAATTTAGTTGACGATTTAGACGAGAGCATTCCATTTTGATGAATGCTGTTTATCTTAGAAATCCTAGCATGCCAGTGTTGAATACATAGCATAGATAGTGTAGAGTTGCCAAAATGTTTTAAGTTCTGATGTGAATAATCAGTATTGTAGTGTAATTTTTTTATTACAAACAGTTGTGTGCCAAAAGTAAACTTTCTTTTTCAAATTTGTCATTACAGAGTTGCGAATTTGGTTATATATTTTATCAAATATTTAAGAAAAATGATTTGTTACCATACCATTTCGAAAGCCATAGTCAGTGGTCGTGATAGAAGTGAAAAAACGAGCCAAGGAATTGTCAGTACTAATGTTAATTAGATTTTATTCAAGTTAATGCTATTTAAATGGTATATTGTATAAGCCTCGTGCGTGATTCATTTCAGATTTCAAGGCATTTGTTTAGTTTCAGCATTGTAAATTCATATAATTAATGGAATAATAAGATGTGTTTTAGCTTATTTTGTTAATAAAGAAATACAACCAAAGGATTTGCGTTTCAGTCAAAAAAATCATATATTAGAAATGTTTTATTATCCAGTTAACCAATAAAATTACAAGAAGTATGTTCTTGGTTTGCGGACAGAGAAGCGATTCATCGATTTGTGTTGAATTCTCTTGGGCAATGGGAAGCGAATCTTTGAATCATGGAACTGTTTCACTTGAGGCCTCCTTGTATTTGCCGCTTTAACTTCTTCCACTTTAATAATCTAAAAGATCAACGTGTATCAACCAATTTGAGTACATCTTCTCGAAATTTACCTGAATTGAATGAGCTCGCGCACGATGACGCGCCCCCATATCCCTGTAACATTGCGTTACAGCCCCAGAGACGCTCAAATCCCGGTATTCCCTGTACATATTATGGGTACCAGACCGCGAGTCATACCGGAGCCAAATTCCAAAGTTCTTGATTTTAGTCGGAGTTTTTTCGGGAATTAGCTTCACCGACACTATTTCACCGGTTGACTTTTTGAACTTCTTCAACTGTCTCAAGAAATACCAAAAGCGAGATTTTGCCACGATGAGGTCTGGGGCGAAAATCCTCATACGGTATAGAGGCGTGTTGGTTTCTTTTTCAGTGGGCAGCTTGCGCCCAATAACTTCATATTCTCTCAACTAGAAAAAAGAAAAGAATAGGTGACATGGTTATACACGTGTGTTGTGAAAACATGTAGGAAATATAGGCTTTCGGCATACATTGCGGCAAACCAATTAAAATTTATAGTATAAAAGATGAATTGTTACTGTTCTCATACATAAAAGTGCTGAAAATGAGTTAAATTTAATAAAAATGAAAACCAACCTCTCCTTTAGCCTTCATGGCTGCGATTCTTCGACGAAAAGGAAACGGAAACTAATCTTAGGGGAAAATAAAAGTTACTAAATGTCTTTAACTAGGTTATGCAACGCAATATGCAAGAGGGAATGCAACACAAAATACACATTCAAAATGATAAAAGACAACACTTTTTGTATTTAATAAAAAATAAATACATATAATGCAGAATGTAGCACATATGAAACAAAATGTGGTTTTTGCAGTAATAAATTTACAATTTGTTTTATTATTTGAAACAAACATATTAAATAATACCGAGGATTTTTTGTTCATTTGTTGTAAAAACAACGTTTTACAAAATTTTATACAAGAGAAAGTATTGTTAAAACTCTTTTGTTGACTACAAGCTTATTTATATTTTGTTTGATGATGATAATTTAAAATTTTAAAATGACCTGACCTTTAGCTCCAAGTTTACATTCGCTGCCGATTATTTCAAAAGTAAATTTAAAAACAACGTCATTGTATTGAATGCGTGAGTTCTAACAAAGAAAAAGTGCAAATTTAGATTGACTTCTCAAAGTGATTAATTCCGGTCGTATTTAAACAAGACAAGCAAGACAAAACACTTAATTGGTAAATTGCTGTTGATAACTGAAAATTTTCCAACAGTTTTCGGCAATTCGTCGCAATGGTCTCGAAAGAAATCGTTTTATTATTAGTGTTTGCCCACCTGGCGCTTTGCAGTATTTTAATTATTGCACCGTCACCACCTCAGCCCCCAAAACCTAACGAAGTCGCTAAAATGGCTCGGTATATTTTACGTAATTCAGGTACCTAAATAAAGTTTTTGTTATCAAAGTTCACTAATATAAAAACTGCTGTGTAACGCAAAAATTTGTTACAGACTGGGTCTCAATCGCGACTACATCGACCCAAAAAGCCATACAAGGCTACCCCTTTGTATCTCTAAAATCAGTCAGTGACGGCCCTATGTCAAACAGTACGGGAATCCCATATCTATACATGACAGACCTCGATGTTTCAGGGCAAGATATCAATGTAAGTGACTTTTTTTTTAATCGCTCACTAATCAGAAAAACTGTAGAAAGACAACAAGTGCACAATTATGGCATCTCTTGCTGAATTAGATTATTGCAAACAGAAAGATTTCGATCCCCAGGACCCACGATGTGCCAAACTCATTATTACGGGAAAAATGCTCAAGGTATAGCATATAGCTACGCCAAAAAATGAGAAACTGACTAAAGCAATAATTATTTGAACAAAGGGATCGTATGGCGATTTGATCTCGAAGTAAACAACCTCAGGCAGTGGCAACCAGCCCCTAGCCTCAGAGACGCTCAAGACCCGGCATAAATCGTCAGTGGGTACTAATAGCTTAAATACGGTCGCTTTGTTGAGATAATTTATGGCTTTAATCAATTTCTCATTTTTCTATACGCGACTGAACGTAAAAATTTTAGGTTGATAAATCCAGTCCAGAGTATCAATTTGGGGAAAATGCACTTTTCTCTAAACATCCGTCGATGAAATGGTGGCCAAAAGGTGTGATTGTTTTTTTTTAACAATTATTGATTAATTGTTTTCAGATCATGATTTTTATGTTTCTAAAGTCGACATTGAACAAATCGCAGTACTTGATTTCTTTGGCGGGATCAAGTATGTTTCAAAAGAAGATTATTTTAACGCAAACGATAGAATCCTTGATGATATTCTCTTCAGTAATGTGGAATTTATCGAAATGTCAGCGTAAAAAATACAATACACAGCCGAATTTTATTTAAATATTCTTACATTTTTTCAAGAATGTTTTTCTCTTACATCACATTCTAATCGCAATAAAAATTACAAATAGTAATATTAAAAAATACGAATAAGTGAAAAATCTATCTTTACTTAACGCATCTGAAATTACATAAATATAGAAAATGTATTTGCAAAAACTCCAGAACAGTCTTTAATTCTCTAAACTCCTAGAACAGAGATTTTGCGATGTCCTCCTTCTCCAGTGCATATTACTATCTTGGTTCAAATTACTATTAACAATAACACTAGTGGCGGCATTTTGTACCGTTTTCAATTCCGTATAAGTGTTATTATTCGGTAAATCGCCATCTACGTTAAAATTAATATTAGTCGGTTTGACGGAAATCACATCTTTTAAAGTATCATTAACTTTAAGATTCGTAAGATTCGTGTAATTTGGAGGCAATTTAAATTTGATATTTTTTATAATTGCGTGTTTTTTATGCTCAAAAGAAGTCTCATAATGGATAGGTCTAGAATAGGGCGATAGGATATTCTGACAAATTTCTGTGGAAGTCGGCTCGGCGACTTTCCGGATTATGTTGCGAGACGGAGGCGAGTGAGGCGATAAAATCTTCTGACAAATATTCACAGATTCGGCCAAATCGTACGGTTTTGACACGTTCGGAATTAGGTCGTAGTCACAATCCCTGAAGGAAAAAAAACATAAAAACAAATCAAAACTCTTTATCTTACCTGTGAATGTTGTAATTATTTTTAAAAGCACTAGTCTTGAATGCAAGCTTCAAAGGCCCGTTAATTACGGTTCCGGTTCGATTATTCGTTGACTTGGTTTTGCAAGCCGGCGATGCTGTTATCACATTAATCGCATTGGGATTATCTATCGGTTTACTGGGCTTGACGAGTAATTGTTTGACGGTGGCTGTAACAGGCTCCGCTTTTTTACCCGGATGTGTGTTTTTCACATGCCGGTATAGATTATCTTTACGCCTAAAACTAGTGTTGCAAATACTACAATTATAAGCTTTCGTTTCTACAAAATCGATTGTTATCAAACAAAATCAACAAATTCGTCTGTACCTAAATGGATAAGTTGGTGACGTTGCAAATCTTTATTATTAACAAAAGCTCTTGAGCAAGTGCTACATTCAAAAGGTCGTACTCGCAAATGAGATCGGCGATGGACAGTCAATGCCCATTTCAATTTAAATCTTTTTCCGCATTGGTCACACATGTGAGTTTTTTCATCTGAAATAAATATAAATAAAAAAACTTTAAATAATTATTGTCTTAATTTACTTGAATGTGTGATCAGATGTTTGTTTAAATTCGACGTATTGTTGAAACTGATGTTGCACACCCGACAAGAGTATGGTTTTTCGCCACGATGGATCAAAGTATGGATTTTGAGCGATTCTTTGCTACGGAATGCTTTACCACATTCAGAACACATGTATGGTTTAATTGAAGAATGTAAAACACTGTGGCGCTTTAATTTGCTTCTTTCGCTAAAAGATTTCTGACAGACGTTACAAGTAAACGGTTTGGTTCCTGAATGTTTTAAAATATGAACGTCTAGATGTGATTTAGTAATGAAATCTTTTGAGCATAAATTACACTGGAAAGGTTTTCTTTCTACAATAATAAATTGTAACACATTGTTGCGCTCGTCTAACAAATAACTTACGTCCTGTACAGTAGGTGTGATATTTAATATGCGACTTTGTAGCAAATTTTTTATTACAAATGTTGCATTTATACTGAGTGGGATCTTTAAGAATGGTCACGTGATTTGGTATGGAAACATTTCCAAATAAATTTTTATTCGGCGCAGTTTTAGCTGTTTTGTTCTTACTAGTTTTTTGCGGTGTTGGTTGTTTAATATCATCTTTCGTTTGAACATCCCCATTTTGAACTATAGGACAAATCGGTGTTTTCTTAGCCGTGCCATTACACGTTATCACTCCAGTGTGACTCTCACACTTGATAACGCTTGAAGATTCTTGTTCTTTTTCAATTCTACATGATGGGGCCTCTATTTTGTTTACATTTTCTATTTTACACTGTTGACATTTCTCCTCGTCGAGAAGAAGACACACACGGCATTTCTCATGACCGCAAGAATCTCTTACCAGTCTGTTGGCAGCCCCGTTCGATGCTTTTTTGCATTGTGGGCAAACTATTCCAAACATTGCCAATAAAATTAAGGTTAGATACTACATAAAACACTCAAAGATCACATTTTTCGCTACAATACGAGGAGTTTAGATTTATAGTCTTAAATGGGACACTAAAATTCCTGTTTAGTGCCTTAAAATATGTTCATGAATAAAAAATTCTTTTTGACAATGGTAAGACAAATGGCGGCCGAATTTTGAACTACCTCTGTCAACTTCGAATTTGTTAAGTTATTTCATTACTTACAGTAATAAAAAAACTTGTCTATTTCTCTTTACAGTCACCATATTTATACAATTAAGAATTACGCTTTAATTATGTAACCACAAATGGACTTTGTTTATTTTAAAAAAGTAGTTCTAATGTCTCGTTTTTTGTCCGAACTTTTTTGCGTTGTCTCACCCTTTTATCAGAATTAGAATACAGCCGAATTAAGAAACAAAAATTCGAAATTATATCCTATTTTATTAAAAAACGATTTTTTTCAATCAATCTCGATAATACTCTGTTTACAAAACCACTGTTCCTTGTTCTCGTAATAATTAATGACGACCTCGGGACACCTCACGTTAACCTGGCTTGCGGGTACTAAATCTGCTTCCTTGCAATTTTTCCACATCATGAGAAACATAAGCTCGCCACTTGCATCAGTAGCACCAACAATTTTATCAGGCTCAAGGCCCCTGTCAAAGCCGCGAGCTCTGTTATCTTCCGTAATATTTTTTCTTTTATTAACTTTTTCGTTTTCTTCAGGGTCCACTTTAGGAATGACTTCAAATTGCGCTTCATAGGCTGCTATTAAGTCAGGACAGTCTAAATTTTCCTCAGGTTCCCAAGTATTGTCTTGCCTAAAAACTGTTTATTCTACCATCACTGTAATATGAGGTACAATACTAACTCTGAATATCCCTTCCATTTTAAAAGATACTCGACTTTTCCGTTTAGCGTGCGTTTATCAAGGATCTTCTCAACTGAATATTCCTCATGGTCGTTAGTTTCTTCATTGATGTCTTTCAATTTTGAAGATTGTCCATTCTCAATTATGACCTCATAATCTTCATCATCTTCACTCAACTTGTACTTATGGAGAGATTTCCTCTCACTTCTTCTTGTAAGAGTTGTATTTTCATCATCACTGTCATCTTCTTTCTTGTGTATAATTGGTCTCTCCGGAAGTTCCTCATTCGGTATAATGATTAGTTTACTATTGCCCAATTCTTCTTTCAATTCCTTAGTATTTTCAACACGTTTTAGAATAAATACTTTTTTTGTACGGTCACATTTTCCCATTTTGAAACCAATAGTCTGCAAAGGAACGTCGGGATATAATGAATAAATATAATCATTAATTTGGTCAATGTTCCAATTGAGACCAAAAACTGCAGGTTCCTGCGTAAACCCTAGAAGAACACAATATACACACTACTCAAGAATCTAATTTTCCTACCATAACCCATTGCAGTCAGTTGGTCAATTTCAGTTCTAGACGGAAAAATCTCTATTTTTGGGTAGCGTATAAGCAGGACTGGTCTTTTAACATCCATTGCCTTCCGGCCTCGCTCATAACTTGTTGCACTTGCTGAATGCAGAAAAAAATTAATTTTATTTTCACCAACTTGGAATTACACTTACTATCGGAAGTATCGGATAAACAACTGTAATAAAAAAAAACATTTATTTTCAATAAAATGTTATCTAATGTTTTTGTACACTTACTCCATTTTCGGTTGATTTGCCCAAAAACACTCAAATGGGACTTTGTGAGGTTATGAAATCTTTGTGTCTTTGCAAGAAAAAACTGGTCAATATTGTAGTTATTCTAAATTCTTTTCCACGTATTATAGACTAACGAAACGACAATAATTACAATAAAAATCGATTTCGATAATTTACGGTTTTTGTTTATTGCTGAGTTTTTTTATATTGCGTCGGTATTGGTATCCCTGTCGTGTAGCGATTTATGGATTTTTTTACAACCAATCAAAAAGCAGCATTTGAGGGATTGTCCAATCAGGCAGTTAAATAAATTTAGCTTATCTCGACCTTTTCCGAAAGTATACGATCGGTCGGTCATTCGATTTCCAGGTGGAGTTTGTTGTGTGTGTTGAATCAAGTGGTTTTAGGAAATTTTGCAAGTTGTCTTAACTTTTTTATTTATTTTAACTTCAACTCAATTTTAATTTAACAATCAGTTTTGTGAGTTTGGAAAGTGTTTTCCAAGATGCGTCGAGACGGTGAAGACTCCAATGTAAGTCTTGTTTGTCATGGCGGTCGCGTCTATAATTTGACCCAAATGAGTCAATTATTAGATATTCATTTGGAATTGGTTATAGGATAACAAACCGGAACCGGAACAGTATCGCAAACTATTTATCGGCGGCTTGGATTACAGAACAACGGATGAGTCTTTGAAAAAGCACTTTGAGAAATGGGGAGAAATCGTCGATGTTGTTGTTATGAAAGATCCAACAACAAAACGGTCGCGTGGTTTTGGGTTCATTACGTATTCGAGGGCTCATATGGTCGATGACGCCCAGAATGATCGCCCCCATAAGGTTGACGGGCGTGTTGTTGAACCCAAACGAGCTGTCCCACGACAGGACATTGGTAGACCTGAAGCGGGGGCCACTGTCAAAAAATTGTTCGTGGGGGGCTTAAAGGATGACGTAGAAGAGGAAGATTTAAGAGATTACTTCAAAACTTATGGTACCATATTGTCCTGTACCATTGTTACTGATAAAGACACGGGAAAGAAACGCGGATTTGGCTTTATTGAATTTGAGGATTATGACCCTGTAGATAAAATTTGTTGTAAGTTCCACTCTTATTTCTATTAAAAAAATCAATATCGTTTGGTATTTAGTATATCGCCACCACCAAATTCGCGGGAAGCACATAGACGTTAAAAAAGCCCTCAGTAAAGCAGAGATGGACCGGGCGAATCAAGGGGGCGGCAATATGGGCGGTGGAGGCGGCCCTCGCGGAGGTCGTGGTGGAGGACGGGGCAACTACGGAGGCGGAGGCGGTAGTAACTGGAATCGAGGAGGTCCTAGTGGCGACTGGAATAACTCTCAAGGTGGTTACAACAGCGGTAATTCTTGGGGCAACAACCCTTGGGATAACCAGTCAGGCAACAACTGGGGCGGTCCTCAGAGTTCCGGTTACAATTCTGGTGGAAACTGGAGCGGTTCCAATGATAATTATAGTGGTGGTTATCAGCAGAATTACGGAGGCGGCCCCGTGCGTAACAACTACCAACAGAACCGTCCGGCCCCTTACAGTAAGTAGAAATTCCGTTTGGTGGATTTTCGTCGTTTCTAACTTTATTTTTTTGTGTTTGTTGTGTCTGTTAAGAATCGTTAAAGGCAATTGATAGCAGGAAGAAAATGGATTAATAATTACACATACACACACAGACTGTTGGTGAGTTCATCATGTATTTAAATTTAGTCGTAATTTATGATTATTTGGGAATTTCATTGAGTTTTTTTTGTGACTGAATAACAACTGTGGGACATTCCGTTGGATTGTATTTGTGTATTGTGACTAGTAATTTTTTGCTTGATATTGTTTGCGTTGTTGTGTATGTATGTTATCAAAAAATTACATGTCATAATGGCTAATACAATTGAATTACGACTAAGTTTTCAACTGAACTTGCCAAGTTTAAATTTTTACAAAATTACGGTATAAAATTATAAAATAATGAAAAAAGCTGATATCCCACAGGTGCTCAGTTGGGGCAATTTAGTTGCAAATACTAACATCTCTTTATTATTAACATGCTTAATGGGGTACTTGCATGATATTTTTGTAATATTTTGTAACTTTACACTTCTCAAATAGTTGCGTAGACAAAGGAAACAATACATACAACAAAAACTAATAATGCATGAAGAGATTTGAGAAGCGTTTGTCGTTCGTGTAATTATTTTCCTCATTAACTTAAAATTTACTAAAATTCTCATTTTCTTCCAATTTACCGTTTTTATTTCGTTGAGTGCTTCATTCTCTAGTGTGGCGTTCCCCTTGAGCTCGCTTAATTTCACTGCATGTTGATCCACCGATGGATATCGGCTTTGGATATTACTTTCGCTCGTGTTTCCTGCATGAATCTCGTAGTGTAGTCTTTATATTTTGTATTGAAATTTGTTGAGAAGGGGTAAAATATGTGTTTTTCTTTTCAAGATAATCCTGGCGGCGGATATGGAGGCAATTATGGCAATCAAAACGGTGGAAATATGGGCGGTCCAGGCAACAGGAGATACAATAACATGTAAGTGCAACTGGGCAACGCTGCTAAAACAGTGCCAGGTGTACATATGTTTCATATCCGAATCCTCAAAAAAGCATATAGCATATAACAGTTATATTTATAAAATGTAGTTCACCACCGGAATATTAACACGTTTCTGTGAGAATATAAAATTTTTGGTTTGGCAATTTTCTTATTGCCAATTCAGAAATTACCTTACGAACATTTTGAGGTGTTGTTAGTGATCTTTTGTGTATTAATTATGTTCATTGGTCATGAATTGGTGTCCAGGAATCTTTATAGCGTTACGACGCCACTATGTTAGGTCACTATTACTAGATATAGGTTACTTATTTATATTGACTTGTGTACTTTGATTATTTATTAAAGTTCATAAAATTATTAAAGGTAGTATTTTTCATATTTTACTTTAAGAGGATAGGTTAGAACTAACCTTTCGAGTTTGTATCAAGATGGACAATGGATTTGTATACAATTTGTATTTGGAAAAGAGCAGGTCTGAATATAGGATTGACTGTAGGAAGAAAAAAGTTTAGTGTAGAATGACTTTGCAGTGATATATCTGTGTAAGCAAGCAGGTTAATGTATAGGTATGTATAGTTTTAGATACGTTTTAGGATGTAAAATCTCACTATTTAGCTCAGGTTTCTTTTACATGCTTAAGGCAAGGTCTACCATGCAAGAACCGACATATTCTATCTTGTAACAAGACATAGGTTACCATAATAGTGTGTCGTTTACAATATGAATGTAACAAGTAGAAAGCTAACCTGGGTTAGGTAGACACTAATTTTGTCATTTCATTCACATCAAAATCAAAACCCTAAAAGATCTGCACACACTTGTCATGACGCAGACCTTTCCCCTACTTATTTGTCCCGCCATTTCAATTTACTTTCAATTTTTAACACGCACTTTTTTTCACGTTTTTATGACGATATTAATTCACTTTTGTTTTTTGGGGGTCCAGTTCGGTTCGGTGACTGCCGAAAGGTTGACAAATATCCGGTGAGTATTGAAGCGACGTGTAAGTAAAGTGTGAATGTCGAGTGAGTGCTTTTTTGTTTTATTTTAGACAAATAAATTATTATTAGTAATTTCAAGTGTTTTATTTTCCCTCCTCTGGAAGAATTCCAATAGGATCGTTCATGCGTAACGTACACTTGATTGGTTTTCTTCATCAGCATTTCATTTGTTCTATTGTTGCAATATTTCCGATATACTTTTATTATTTTGTGGAAAACACGGAGAGTTACACTCAAAAACACAACAAGTATAAATTAAGTGGAGGGTCAATTTTTAAAGGGATAAAATGATGCGCGGGAACCTCCACCTGGTGAGGTAATCTGGTCTTTTGTGAATATAGTCTGCACGCTCCGTTTACCTCGATGATTGTTGAGCACGATATTTATATAACGATAACCACAATAAAAGATCTTCTGTTTAATAGCACAACTTATCATTTCTCAATTTTTATTTACATTAAAACTGACTAGAAGGACACTAAACGAATACATTACAAAATATCTATTTCTTCAGCGGCACCTTGGCTACTTTCGCCTTTTTTGTATACGGAAATACTATCAGTATTTGTGGATTGCAGAACTGGAAATTGCGTTTGCAATACTGGCGATACGTGAAAACAGGGGCCATCCAAACAAACCGGACAGAGGGTCCCAGGGAAAGCTCCTAATAATTTCCTGAAAATTAATGAAAATCAAGTATCACGCACTTGATGGAGAGATTAAATTAAATAATAGTAAAATAAAAATTAATGGGAGGATTTACTCAACAGGGTGGAAAAACAGGGGGTTTATTTTATTTCAGTGATTAGACCTTATCACAGAAGGGTGAATGTAGATCGTTTGATAAGCTAACGGGAGATTTAAGTGCGACTCATCTTGAATTAGTTCAAAAGAAATGTATACATAGTAGGGTTCTTTAATTATTTATTTTGTTTAATTAGTAATGAATTATGTAACTACCAAATTTATCAAAAATTCTACTAAAATGAGTATTTTAATATTGTTTTAAACCCGGAATATCATATATAATTTTCAACAGAATTTATTGAAACATAAAGTTTTTCAGTTTTTTTTGTTTATTTGCTTTATGCTAACGTATGTAATAATTCTCAAATATTGCAGCAATGCTAGTGTAAATAAAAATTACAATAAACTTTTAAATGAGAGTAGTTGTTTGGTCAAGAATTTGTTAACTCACCTGTAGTGGTGGTCTATATGCGCCTTCTCGATCCTTTTGTCCTTTGCTCTGCGATTTTGGAACCAAATTTTGATCTGGGTCTCTGAAAGCTTGAGCGCTTCCGCCAATTCGCATCTCCGTCCTCTGCTGATATATTCCGATCTTTGGTACTCAATTTCAAGCCTCAGTGTTTGTTCGCTACTGAAAGTCGTCCTTTGCCTCCTGGGTCTCCCCTCTTTGCGTCTCCGTCTCGCTACTGAAAATTTTCCCGATTCGATTAAGTTCCGCTACGGTCAATTTACTAAAAGATCGGTGGGTATTTAATGGCATATGGCGTCTGTATCGGGGCTTCTCATTTCCGTCAATCACAGCATATGTCGTCCTGTTGAGGTTCACACGAGCCCCACTTCCTGATATGATTACAAGAATAAAAGTAAAAATAATTTCGCTGGGAATTTGTGCTTGGCACAAGAGAAAAATACGCAAAGAAACTCGTCTCTAAGCTGGAGAATTCGCACCCACGATGTAAACTTTAGCTTGAGAGGGATTTGTCGAACGAAAAATAGATATTGCACGGGCATTGTTATCGCAATATTAAAGCCTCTTGTAATCGTATTACCGTCATTCAAATATTTGATTCAGTGGAACACATTTTGAGGATAAATGCAGCATTCGGGATGCTACTAAACAGGGGATATAATAATTATGAAACCATAAACACATGTTGTCTGCCTAATTGATCATTATGATGGGGCGGGTGGTGGGAAATCAATTATTGGAGGACCCACACCGGGCCAGTTCCCACAATAAATTTAAATAATTTCAGACAAAACGATCATTTTGGGGGCTGAAGGTATGAAATATTTAATTTGAATGGTCTTGGGGCTCACGCGAGTCCTCGGACTCCGGGACGGCACATGTCTCATCCCACCCCCACTTCGCGCCAAAGCTGTCGCATTCAGGTCTGCTCAACTGTACTGTTGTAATCTCATCATAATAATATTTTACATTTCATATTGTGTTGGACTTATTCTCCGGATTCGGCACTCTGGCTGTTGTGAGAGAACAGACTTAATAAAATGCGGTGTATTTACAAGGGTGTGAAAATTCGCCCCGATAGAAATGAGAGCTGTTTCAGTCGGACCTGACACAATTTTGCACAAAATAATGATTAATATTTTTTTATCAAAAACACTGCAAATAATAGATAAAATTTCACACCACTAACACCGATTTTTATTCCTCACGGCAATGAGCTTTTTGTTTATTTCCTGAAATCGTAATAATGTGTTAACTCATAAATAATTATAGTATTTCATGCCCGCCGTCCTTAACAATTATTCATGCAGAGCATTAACTGAAAAAATTGTTATTTCTTGAATGTAGTTGTGTAATTAATTTTGTTATTTACAGATACTAGCGCATTTACTATAGTAGAAAAATATTACCATTACACTTCTCAAGGGAGTAAAAGGTTCCTATAGCTTTTTCAAATCAATTTTTAGCAAAAATTTTTACTCTTTGTGTGATGCAATTTGGAATCATGTATCTTTGTCTAACATGTTTTCTATAAAGTTCTTTTTTATCTTATTTATACCACTATTTAAAAAATAGTGTTAAAAACACTACATGTGGTTTCGAATTAACAAGCAAAAGTTTATAGGGTGTTAGATTACAACATTTTTGTAACTTGTATCCTTACCGAGAAAAAATTCGTCTTACTCTTAACTCGTTATCACAATGTTTATGTTTTGAATAAATGTACAAAACACACTTGGAAAATGTTTTTTTTTTGAATAAAACATTGATATGCAACTTAGAAATTGGACCTAAAGCTCAGTTACGGAAACTTCTTTGACTATTTTCAACGACCCACTGATAATTATATTTTTTTCTCAGTAACGGTGCGAATTATGGAAAACTTTATTAAAAAACTTTTTTTGTCTGCATGTCATTGTTTAACATCCCAAAAAAATTTGTCTTTTATTTATAAACCATCCTGTATTTTTGTGCTAATAATAAAGTTCCTCTTTTTAAATTTAATGTTGTAGTAAATCAAAATTTACATTCTAATAATAATTATTTGTTGTGAAGTTTTTCATTTAATATAAAAACCAATTTCAGGTGTTGTCATAAATGTTGCGGCAGTTTGATAAATGTGTAAATAATGCACATATGGTCTATCATTAATCAGTTAATTTTACCACCAGCGGAATAGCAATTTATGATCTACGTCGAGTACAGGGTGTTTACAGTCTTAGAGTCGAAATTTGACCTAATAATAGAGGAGTACTGAAATACTGTAACCGAGAAAAAAACTCACACAATTGTTATTATCAAGAATGTTATTTAACTCCACACGGTTTGGGGGTCACTGGAATTATTTCCTTGTTCAGATAAAATTGTATTGTTGCAACCATCGCCGTCTCCATAGAAATAATCCTTTTCTCGCCTGGGCATTTTTTGAGTTTAAGTGATTCCCGTTGGCGCTTTAATCTGGGGAAAATTTTTGACAAATCCAGTTTTTTAGCTTAAAGGGTTCAATCTCATAATATTCTCCCTGGCGTATCTAGTTTTGTTGTATCCTTCCTTCCCAGCATTTATTAATTGCGTTATGTTTCGTTAATAATTAAAAATTATTCAGTTTTTCCTTAGTAATCCCCGTAACTAAGAAAAAATCGGAATCACTGCCCCAATGCATTTTTTACGAAATACCCAGGCGGGATATTGATACATTTGATTAAGGAGGCGGGGGTTGCAACAGATAAAAAAATCGTATCCATGACAATGAAAGAGAAAAGTCACTTCATAGTTTTGACACTGTCACCATTTGATTTGCTTTTGCAAAATTCGAAGATCTTCTGTTTAATCGTTTTCAGCGAATGGTTTCCAATAGGTTTGATTCGTTTTTCTTAATTTTTCTCCAAATTTATGAACATAAAATATTAAAATAATAAATTGGTTGTCGTTATTATGATTTACGGTGAAACCCAAGGTAATGATACTAATGGCCATTGTTGCAGCCGAAGCAGCAGTTCTCAAACAAATAGTGTAAAATGAATAATTTCCTTTAACAACTTTTTTGTTTTATATAGCGTATTAGTTTTCTTTTACCGTGAATATCATCTCATTTAAATTTCAACCTCAAGACTGTAAACACCCTGTATACAGGGTGAATATAAAGTGTGGAACCAAACGTTTTTTTTAATCATTTGCCTCTAGAAAATAGTAATTAATATAAATTAAAGTACCTAATATAAAAATTTAATCGTATTTGAGAAACAAAATTTGTTTTGTTTTTGAGTTATGCGATTTTTCTTTGAAGAAATTGTATATAAAATAGATAGTTGTAATCCTTATTAGATATAACCTTCATGAGAAAAATGGTTTTATAATGGGTTGCCAAAAATTAAAGATTTTGTAGAACTCAAAAACAAAAGAAAATTTCGAAAAATTTTATTCTTGATAAAACATCACAATTTTATAGTAATTTATTATTTATCAATTAGTTTTTCTAAAATATAAATAGTTTAAACAAAAAGCGATTAGTTCTATATGTTTTATTCACCTGATATATACAGAGTGGGCCAGAACTCGCGCCAAAAACTGCCATGTAAGGTACACTTGAGTGCAAAAAAAACGCAAATTGTCAAAAACAATATATTTTTTTTTTTTTCAAAAACAATATTGTCTATTTTTTCAGGGATTTACATTGTGTGAAAAAGGTTGTTCCCGAAAAGGTTAGAAAACTATCAAAAGAAATGACGTATTTGGTGGTTTTGCCAGAGCAGTGTCACAGTCAGTGTTAAAAAAACGTAATGAAAAACATGGAAAAACTTGATAGAAGTTTGGAATGACAATTATGAAATTGTGAATTGTGACAAAAACAACGTCAAAAAACTGGCATTTATTAACAGGCCAAATTACATTACAAAAAAAATCAATTTGCGTTTTTTTTTGCACTCAAGTGTACCATACCAGGAACATGGAAAAAATGTTTAAAAAATTCTATCTATAAAAAATTCGAAGTTATGAGAGTATAAATTTTGCACTTTGCTATATTTATTTCTGTTGGAAAAATAATTTTCCAAGATTTTTTGCTACAGGCCATCAGAAGAGGAAGCTGTGTCCTATTGTAATTCTGTTTAATGTTATTTATGATTTTTATTGGCAAAATTTTTGTATTATGATTTAAAGGCATTTGTTTTTATTTTACTACAATATTTTTTAAGTAAGTTTTTCTTTTTTATTTTGTTTTATTTTGGCACATTAATTTTTTTTTCCTACGACTAATTTCAGAAAGGAAAGTGGCCAATTACCTCCCTTATCTGTAAAAATTATAATAAAAAGATATGCAACCTCTCAGGGAGGTAAAAATTTTACCTCCCGCATAGAAACATATTGCTAATTTAATGGCGAAATTAAGATATCTAGAGAAACTGTTAGTTTCTAAGTTTTTCTTGCTGGATCGTAGGAAAAATTATATGTATTACACTGGTAGAAAGTGCCTTCTCCTCCCTGGGTGGTCACTGTCTTTGATAAGCCTCGGGCAGTAAAAGAAAAGATACACTTTCCTCCCTTGTAATACAAATAAATACATATTAATTAACTGGATTAACGTTTTGTGACCATAGAATTTTTTAATTTTTTTATGTCGTCATGATATTCAAAAGCTTTACGTTCTAGCTGAGACACCATGAATAATATCTATTTTTTAGATTTTATATGTTTTGTATTGTAAAAACAGTTTTCTTTCCAATTTTCATGTTTTTAGTGAAATCTCATGTTTTCAATCTCTTTTAAACAAATTCCTAAGTTTGTTGCACTTTTAATCCTCGTACATATTTTTACAATTGCTAATAATTTAACACATATTTCGTGTAAAATTTCTTTTTCCTTAGAATATTTGTCAAAATTGGTTGTACCAATCTTAAGAAAAATTTTATAAACGATAATATTCATTCATTCAATTTATTATTATGTCCCAAAAATACCATCGATATTAATTATCCTTTTATGTCACTCGTTCATAGCGCGACCTTTCATTCAACACCAAAAAAAAAAGGAATTTTCTTACAGAAAGCAGACAGTCCCGCGGCGGCAGCCGCCGTCAAATGCGTCTCGTTTCCTGGAGGCAGCAAAAAAGGCAACGGTGTTGCAAGTATCGGTACTGGTGTAATTAATTCATGAATTTCTCTCTTCGTTTCTTCACACTGCCGTTCATCTTCTCGTTTTTCTAAATGTCCATAAATTCGTTGAAAAAAATCGCGAGGTGAAGAGGGTTGTGTTGTCTTCGGCTTCGTTGTCATCACGAATTCAAGTGCGTTATAAATTTCTGAAGGGACTGAGAGCTTTAGCGCGTGTTCGGGGGCGGGTTTTTGATCAAGGGCGGTGCCGATGACGGCCAACCGAAGGGCGGTTTTGTAACACGTTTGGCCTCTTAACACTTGCAAATGCATTATTCCATCAACCCTAAATTGATTGCTGATTGAGGAAGTAAACTATCGATGGGACAATGGGCTGTTGTTAGGACAACAAGGGTGATGGGTAAACATTACCCAGGGAATTACCACGATTACGAAAAGATTATTGTGGTCGTGAGGGGGATAGGATACCGGATTAAAACTTAAAATTTCCTTATGAGAGTCATACAAGGTTTCCTTTCTCTACCTTTTCACTAATCTCTGTTATTAAACGGAAAATGTATGATTTTTTAAGCATTTTGACAATTTTTTTATTCATTGCTCTTTGAGAAAACATTTTTTTTTCGGGTTAGACCACTGGGAAAAATCATTTTTAACTTTGTCTATTTAATTACATATTTGTTGATTTTTTTCAAATATTTAATTTTAATCCGATTTTTGGGTCATTTTCATTCCATATCAACTCGGCTTTTTTAAACAGCTCCAATTTATGTTTTTTTTTCAAAAAATTTTAGTGTTTTTGTATTTCAAAAGCCGTATAAAATTTTCATAAAACTCTTCTTGGACCCATTCTGATCTCAAAAATTCAGTTGATCCTCTTTTTGGCCGTATTTTTTTTGTTTATTGATTTTTTGAGTGTATACATGGACAAGTAGGATTTTTTTGGTTTCTATACAGGGTGTTCGTTTTTCGAACTCCACTATGGCAATCTCAGTTGTTATAACAGATGCGAGAAAACTACATTTTTGGTGCATTCGAGCATCTTTTATTGTGTTCTTTTGCTTTGCGAAGAATAAATTCTAGTTCATCACGTTGTTTCTACTTCAAAACCTTTGTTTTTAAGTAGGTAAGCTTGACGGAAATGTGCCTTCCAGATCCAAATTCAATTGAACTGTCAAAATTTAGTTTGTTACTTAAAATTGTTGGCGTTTTTTCCAAAGCACTTTTCGCAAAAACGCATGTTCTTAATTTTGATCAGCATGTAAAATTTGACCATATCGTGTTACATCGTTGTAACCAGGAACAAGAAAACTTTTCAAAAATACAGAAATCAAATATGGCGTCCATACATATAAGAAAATCCAAAGTTTGGTGTTGTAACTCTGATATCAAGAGCGCCATGGAAAATACGATGACAGATTGGGATCCTTGTAGGAAAGTGCCTTAAGAACGTCCGAGTTAAAAACGTCTAGGTCTTTTAGTTTTCGCTTGAAAAAATGAAAACAAAAATTACAAATTTCTGTTTTTTTTTTTTAATTCAGAAAGTAAAAATGACATATTAAATTTTCTTTCAGATTATTGTTCAGCATAAAATTCCCAGCTTTTTGCTAATTTAACCGACCTCGTACCTGTTATAATAACTGAAATCCCCATGGTGGAGCTCGCAAAACACCCTGTATATTAATATATATCGGTAATTGTTATTTTGTGGTATTTTTACAAAAATATCTTTGCTTACTTAGCAACAATTGTTATTATTTTTCCAAGATTTTATGTCACATAATTATGTATTACAAGCAAATAAATAAATAAAATTTTAATTTTTGCTTAGATATGATTGGTTTGCTAGTTGGGAACCATTTAAAATGGGCGGAGCATTAATCTTAATCTTTATGATGGACTATAATAACTTTAATGGCTATTTTTCAGTGCTGTAACCAGTATCTACCTGATCTACCTACTTTTAGTGTACTTAATGAATGACAAATAAAAAAGCATTAATGAATGATAGAAGTTGGTCAATGTTTGTTTTTTAAACCAGATTGTGACGTGTTTGGGCAGTTTTTTAATTTATTTGAAGTTTATACTTATGTATCCCTGTGCATAATTAACTTAAAATTACTGAAAAATGTATTTTGATCCAAGTCTGATTATAAAAAAGACAATATTTTTGTTTATGTATCACGTAATTGTGCAAACAGCTTAATAAATTATGTAAACTGTTAATTGGCACATTGTATAATAAAAATACTAAACCTAAAAAGAGATTAGAACACCTAAATGATCAACCATAGTGCTAAACGGGAATCTGGTGGTATTTACAAAATCGTAGCTAAACAAAAATTGATATAATAGGTACGACGTACTATGCAAATTAACCAACTGCTTACGTTTATATAGAGAGGGGCACAAACTGGTAGCAAACAGTTCCAAGTGAGACGCCTATCGCGTCTCAGCCAATCTTTGTGAAAAGTTAATATCAACCAGTATTATTTTATTGCTTGACATCGCATAAACTCAAGGTAATATTGTTAAATTTTGTTGATTAATAAATTTGGTACAATAATTTTTCAATTACTCAAAATTTGAATAAAGCAATTTATGAGATTTTTTTGTGTTTTCACAATAAATTTCACCAATGAAACAGTTAGAATTTTCTTCATTTGAGAATTATGTCATTGACATCACTACCTGTGCGTGTTGATAATTACAATATTAATGGCATTATGCCATTCAAAAACAATTAAATTATATGTACACAATTAGCCAACGCCTGTAAGATGAGAAGTTTTATCGGTTTCTAAATCTAAATTAAACTAAATGAATTAAAAGGTTATTTGTTTTATCTATCAGTTGCACCACTGAAACAAAGTGGCGTTTTTCACTTTCTTTTATTTCTAATAAGAGAAAGCATTCTGTAGGAGTGCCAAGAATAATCTGATGAAAATACAGGATTGGTCTATGCCGTAACTAAAAGTTTTAGGACCAGGATGTAGTGCATTTATTTATTATGCATTGACTAGTGGCCCAAAAGGCTCATTTTCCTATTAGGGCCTCTTCACGTGCAGCTATCATTCTATTCCTGCTCTTTTAATTGTGTCGATTATGAATATAAATTGAGCAATGTGTGAAAATCGCGTTACATTTAATTCGTGTCTTATTATTCTTTGTTTCCGTTATGTAAGAGTTTTAATAGGAAAATAATTGGCAATAGATTTTTAATCAGTGGTAAAGTTTCTTGGGAATTTAGACCGCACACAAATGTTGCAACTCATAGTTTAATATAGGAAAATTTTTGTAAAGTTTTTGTATCGTTTAAGTCACTGACCTGAAATGAGCTTTAATTTAAAAGCAGAAAAAGCTTTTTATCATACTAATCTGATCGACATGCTGATAAACATTTGTGTCGTCTAATTCTTATTCATTTTGAGATAAAAGCGCTGAAAGCTGGCTTTTTTCAAAAGTGTCATCAAACTCTTAATTGCTCTTAATGGAGAGACTTCGAGTTGAATTTTCACAAAAAATGTGTTTTGAATACTGGAATACTCATCAAATTCGCCGGCAATTAAAAGATTTATTATTCATGAGATATCATGCGATAATGGGGCATACTTTTCTATTTTTTTTTAATTGACAAATTTCCAAATTGACAGTTTTATAGGTGTCACAGACCTTGAGGTTTTTTCTTATATTTCAGAAAATGACTCGATTGGTTTGCTTTCTTCTTTGTTACATTTTTGTAATAAGCGTTAATTCCTACCGCCTCCCAACCAGCGTACTACCAACAAATTACAAACTCCAAATCCTCTCTCACCTTGGAGGCCCAAACAAATTTGATTTCGAAGGAAAAGTAACAATTCAGGTACGTTTTTGTGCTTGTTTTTATTCATTTACTGTAGCGTTTCTAACCTTGTGTCCCCTAAAAATACCTTTATTGCATTAACATTCAAAGCACTTTTCAATTTTACGGATATTGGCAACATTGACCTACATTAATAACTATTTCAGCTAACTTGCCATGAACCAACACATAATATCACTCTACATGCGAGTAATCTGACAATTATCGATGACCAAGTAACTGTTGAAGATGTTTCGAGTTCGAAACCCAAGTCCCTTAAAGTCAAAATTGTGGAACTAGATCCTGGGAATGAGTTTCTCATTGTTAATTTAGAAGAGCAACTCCAGAAGGATCACAATTATCAACTTTTCATCCCTTATAAAGCTATCCTCGATGATGGGTTAAAAGGTTTTTACAGGAGTAGTTACACTGATGAGAAAACGAAAGAAAAAAGATGGCTCGGAGTTACACAATTTGAAGCAATCAGTGCCAGAAGGGCATTCCCTTGTTTTGACGAACCAGGAATGAAAGCAACTTTCGACATTACTTTAGGTCGCAGAGCTCACTTAAATTCAATCAGCAACATGCCATTGATTGAGTCACAACCAATGTAATGGGATTTTTGCATTTACATTTTTTTTTCAAAATTTTGTTCCAGTAAGGAGAAGGAGGGTTATTTTTGGGATAAATACCAACCTTCGGTCCCCATGTCGACCTATTTGGTTGCATTCATGATCTCCGATTTCGGATACAAAATGTCGGAACCGTCCCAAAAAAATAACGTGACTTTCAAAATTTGGGCCAAAAGAGACTCTTTGGATCAAGTGGATTATGCAAGAGAAGTTGGACCTAAAGTTTTGGAATATTATGAGGATTTCTTTGATATTAAATATCCTCTCCCCAAACAAGATATGGTTGCTATTCCCGATTTCAGTGCCGGTGCTATGGAAAACTGGGGTCTGATCACTTATCGTGAAGCTCTTCTACTTTTTGACCCCAAAGTTACTTCTCTGACCAACCAACAACGCATCGCTAACGTCATTGCCCACGAATTGGCCCATCAATGGTTCGGCAATTTGGTCACAATGAAATGGTGGACTGACTTATGGTTAAATGAAGGTTTTGCCACTTACATGGCAAGTCGTGCGACTGAACACCTCTATCCTGAATGGAAATCCTTCGAAGACGATGCTGTTAACAACATTTTGAGCGTTTTCTCCTTCGATTCTCTTCGAACTTCGCATCCGGTGTCGGTCCCAATAGGACATCCGAACCAAATCGATGAAATCTTCGATACGATTTCCTACAAAAAGGGTTCTTTCTTGATCCGGATGATGTCACTGTTTCTCGGTGACGAAACTTTGAGAAAAGGTGTGAGTAATTATTTGAAGAAGCATAAGTATGCGAATGCCGAACAAGACGACCTATGGGAATCCCTGACTGAGGAAGCACACAAAAATGGCGCACTTCCGAAAAACTTGACTGTGAAGACAGTTATGGATACTTGGACTGTCCAAACCGGATATCCGGTGATTACTGTTACTAGGGATTATAATAAAAATACGGCTGATATCGCACAAGAAAGATTTTTGAAAGATGAAATTAGGCAAAAGTCGGAAAGTGGTTGTTGGTGGATTCCACTGACTTACACTGATGCCAAAGAACATTCTTTTGATTCAACTAAACCAAAAATGTGGTTGTCGTGTGATCAGAATGTCACAACAATTGGGAATTTGCCGAGTAAAGATTCATGGATTTTGTTCAATATGAAACTTGCAGGACTCTACAAAGTTAATTACGACGAACATAATTGGAAATTATTAACAGAAACTTTAAACAGTGCAAATCACCATGAAATTCCAGTTTTGAATAAAGTCCAACTGATTGATGATTCGTTTGATTTGGGGTGGACCGGCAATATTAAATATGATGTTGTTTTTAACTTATTGGCTTATCTTAAATCAGAGGAAGCTTATTTGCCATGGAAAACAGCTTTAACTAATATTCATTCTCTGAATCGGCAATTGAAGAAAAGCGTAATTTATGGCGATTTCAAGGTAAGTACGAATTTCTTCAGTGAGGTATACCTTGCTTACTGAATTGGTAGAAACTAGAAATAGGAGAGAATTTCAAATACTCGATTCTGATTGGATACTCGGGTACTAGACCGATAAACATCCAATTGGAGTTAAGTATTTCCCCTACTTTACCTTTCTCTACAATGTGGATGAAGATTACATGAGAATTCTTGTAGAACTACATGAAAAAATTAGTTCATCCAATTTACGAGAAAATTGGAGGACTCAATGTCCCGGAGACCAAATCTGGTCAACTCGATGCTGTTAAACATCAAGTTTTGATTGACAAATGGGCTTGTAAGTTCGATGTTGCCAATTGTGTGGCTGATGCTACTGATTTATTCCATAAATATCAGAAAAATCCAGAAGACAAACATATGTAAAGATAAATTTTTTCGCTTGCTCTTAAAAAACTAGGTATATTTTAGTATATCGAAAGAAATGAGGAGTGTTATTTTCTGCACAGCTATCAGAAATGGAGGAGAGAAAGAATGGGACTTTTTGTGGCAACAGTACAAAAAATCCAACGTCGCTTCTGAACAAAACACCATTTTGAGTGCCTTGGGTTGCACAAGAGAGCTTTGGTTGTTGAATCGTTTCCTGGAATGGTCGATTACTCCAAATTCGGGTATCAGGAAACAGGACAGTTCTTCTGTTTTCAGTGCTGTTGCCGGTAATAATGTTGGTTATTACGTGGCCAAACATTTTTTAAATACTAGGATTAAGGATATATACAATTAGTGAGTATATTTGATTTTTTTTACAGTTAAAGTCTAAAGTAACGGGTTTTTAGTTTGTCACAAAATGGTCGTAGATTGTCACGGTATTTGTCGTCGATTGCTGCCCAAACAACTGCGGAAAGTGACTACAAAGAGGTGGGTAATGTTAATTTTTACCCATGTATTAAAAGTGAGTTTTTTAGCTGCAAAACTTCGTAAAAGACAACCAGATGTACCTTAAAGAAATAAAACACGGCGTGGAGCAAAGTTTGGAGACGGCGAAATTGAATGTTCAGTGGCAACATAAACACTTTGATGAGATTTCGAATTTGTTTAAGAAGTTTTCGCAAGAAAAGACAGATTGAAAACAAAGATTTATTAACTAATTAACTTTTTTAAATACAGTTATCCTACAAAAAATATATTTTATAAAACATGTACTTAAGAAAGCAGCTTAATTTGTTTTAATTGTTAATCGAATGTATTTTAAATTAAAGAAAAACCGTTCTATATGCGCTGTTTGTTCTTTGTAAAATGAAGGAATGGTGTGTATGTAATATTGAGGACCCCTTACCACGTTTAATATTTTGTTTCTATCTAATATCACGAATTTTATGATATAGGCATATCGTACCTACCGATCTAGTCTACATTATAATACTGGTCAAAATTTTCACTTTCATTGGAATCAATTCAAATAATTGCACGATCATGTTGTGTGAACTTGCAACCAGAAGCAATTTATACAATTCAGTAACACCAATAAGTTAATAATTCCACCCAGCTTTACAAAAAATGTAACACTGCGTAAATACGATTTTCAAGCATTTAGTCCAATAAGGGACAATTTCCCTTTCGACACTACTAACGGCTAATAAAAATATACAGAATGGACCAATTAACTGGTCAAGTCCAATTTGTATAAATTTTGTGATTGTATACTGTTTCTTCAGTATTAACACTAGACAATTTTTAAATAAATAAAATGAATCGCCAAATTCCAACAAGACGTTCGAAATTTTTATTGAACAATGTTACAGGGTGTTTCACAACATTGATCATTACAAAACTCGCGATAAATTCCAACTTCAAAGGCAAAAAGAATGGTGTTATCACAACGATTTGATTACAATAATTTCAGCTTTCTGTGCCGCCAAATAGATGCAAGGTCGTATCATTTAACAATATATTCATGCTGAAAAAAATTAATAATTAATTATATCCGTTTTATTTGGTGACATGTTACAATTACATTAAAAATATTTTTCGGTTTTTCAGCATTTGCATAAAATTGCGTAACTCAAAACGAACACCCCGAACATTTTAAAAAGACTAGATAATTTTTCTATACTGAAGCAAAAAACAATATTGCGAGACAATTATTAGATCATTTAGGAAGTAAAGTAGCGTAACAAGAGTATAACAGAATTACAGATCAATTTATAGTAGTATATTATAAAGATTCTTTGAATATCACATTCAGTTAGTCAATGGGTTTTTGTACTTCCTAAATAATTGATTCTTACCTAACAGTGCTTCAACGAAAAAATTAATCTAAAGGTATATCAGTTATTTTTGAATAGAACAGCAAGTAGGGCGTTGACGTCGAGTTGGGTTTATAAGACAACTCTTCTTTAAACTCTTGACTCGTAATTGGTTTGACGCTTTCATCATCACACTCCAACCACATATCCTCGGACCCGTTAAAAAAATCCTGTTCGTTCTTCCGAGGATACGAGTTAACAACGTTCTCCACGACATTTTTATTTATTTTAACACCACAACAATCCATACTTTTGCACATCCTCACACCATTCATCACACTTTTCGACAAAATACTTTTATTCTCACTGAGAGACCCTATCGTCCTCGGTTTGAAATACTTCAAAATATTCAACGACTTCTCGCTGCTGCTCGCCGACAAGCTTCCCTTGGGCATATTCCTGGAGCACTCCGCGTAGTCCTCAAAATGATCGGAGGCTTTCACATAAGCGATGTAGTGCCCCGACGCCATGGAAGCCCCCAGATGCATAATAACGCAACACAGGCGGTACCGATGCGGTGGCGTCTCATCCTCCTCGACGTTACAACACGATTCGCAAAAACACGCCATTTCCAGCGGCGTCGGGAGGTAAGTGTTGACTTTCTGCACTCCTGCGGAAGACGTGGTGAAACGCTTGAGTTGCAGAACCATAATGTTGGGCAATTTCTCGAAAAGGACGTCGCGACTAGCCTCGTTGTATCGCTGGCACTTCTCACAGAGATATTTATTCGCGTCGCACAATTTCTCACTGGTCACACACGCTTTTCGGTAGATTTCACTGGCGGTGTCCGGCTCGAATTCGGTGTCTTTGACGGAAATAGGGACCGGAATATCGTAGAAAGGCTCCTTGCGCTCGGTCACACTCTCACACTCGAGACACTTGGTGCGTCGAAGGGTCACACCCTCAAAATCCTCCGCGACGAAATTATACCCTAGCTTTTTTTTCGCGATGTTATCGCCGCCCCCGTCGACCGAACACGCGTCTTCCGTGTCGGTGACACTAGAACCGTTCACTTGCTCTTCACTAATGGCCTCTTTCGCATTCTTTTCCTTCTTCTTATGGGTGATTTTCCACGAGCGACGGACGCTCCAAATTTTGCTACTGTTGGGGGAAGGAATGATCTCAGTTTCAGTCAACAAATCGGGGTTTTGCTGCACTTGTTGCGTTAACAAGTCACATGTCTCTCTTATGTTATCTAATAAGTAAACAAGCAGCTCATGGGCGTCTTGTTGGTGGTTACCTTCAAAAATCGAATTTGCCTCCCTAATTGCTTGCAAAAGTGCAACAGGTTGATAGGCGTCGTTCGATTCTTTCACTTCCAAGTTGTGCATTGTTACGTAAAGCTCATGGAGCTTCTCAGTGACAATTTGGACTTTTGATTTGGGTATAATGTCAGAAGTACTGAGGGAGAGTAAATCTTTACTGCTGGTACTTCTAGAGCTGGGGCCGGTGATGGCCCCCACGTTGCGTCCCAAAGATGACGTCTTCGCTTTGGTTTGACTAAGGCGTGAGCTCACTAGTGCCAGATCTCCAATTAGGTGGTGAAGGTTATGTAAAAAAGTTGGGGCGTATCTTAGAGTGTATAAAACGCTGTTGAGGAAGCACGTGTTGCCCATGTTAGAGAGAGTGGCAACTGGGAAATCCTGGGCCGCGTCGTTGCCCCTCTGCTCGGACCGATAGCCGTTCAACATTTCCAGCTCCTGTCTTTTACTAAATGGAGCTTCTAGAAAAGAGCCTTCACGTTTTAAAAACTGTTTCGTGGTTTGATTTGCGGTCGACAGACGTAGTTTGCTACGCAAAGGTATGACGTTATCTTCCAGAATTGTCATCTTCTTTTCCAAACCTGGAAAATTCGTTCAATCGTCGTCTTTTGTTTTATGGATTTTGGGGTTTTTAGGCTTACATGTGTAACGGTGGCTCAATCGTTAGTTGGTCGGTTAGATAAAAATTGGAGATTTAAAGTCATTACAATGGAAAATTCCAAATTAATAGCAATAATTAGCAATCATCAGTAACACACTCCACACCGGAGACTTGCTCAACATTTCCTCAACGGATTGGAAATTAACAACGTTGCGGAGCTAAAAGCACTAGATTTAATTAAACACGCCCTGTCAACAACAATCGGCGGGAAACTTAAATTTTATTTGACAATTTTCTTCGAAATACTTTATTCCAATAAAAACATATACATATACCTAATGCATATAACCATATTTAATGTAAAAAATCTAAAAGTAAAATTTCCTAAAACTTCGTAATAATCATTTGTTCGTCAAATCAAGTTTTATATTCGCTTTTAATGCAACTAGTGTTCTTTTTTTTGCAGGGACGCAAAAAATATGTATTTACAAAATTGGCATTGTTTTTGTACTATAATCCAAATCCTGGCAAAAATGGCAAATGCAACTCTTAAAATGATCTTTTTCTCCTCTATTATACAAACTTAAAGTTGGCTATGATTTCTATTAGTGGCGCTCTCTAGCCATCAACCTAAAAACACAAAATAGAAATTTTTAATTTAAAATTTCAGCTTGATAAAATTTAAAAATTAGGAAAACTGGTTATAATTCAAAGTTCTGTTGTAATAATGAAAACCTAGGTGTTTGTTGTGTGCTTGAAATATACTCGTACTTCATTCATTTACAATTGGTCAATTTCAAGGTTGAAATTAATGATGAACAAGCTGTTTAATAAACTTTAAAAATAAGACGTTTAAACGCTTTTCTGACTTAAGACACGTATTAAATTTATTTATTAATTACGAGTATAAAGCAAAAAGTTACTATATTATGGATAATAAAAAATCGAATCATGGTAAGACAAAATTTTACGTGGTTTCAGTGATTATATGTATACCTATTGTGATTTTTAGAAACTTCTACAAAAGACAAAATAAATACCCAGAAAAACACTTCTATATCATTAAGTGTGCCGACCATAACTTTAACACCTGCAACTCCTCCAACTAGTCCAAATTCAAAATAAAAACTTTGTATGCAATTACTGTAATTAAAGATGAGCAACAACGACTGTTATATTAAACAGAAAGGGTAAATAAAACATTATGTCGTATTATTATTTCTATTAAAAATAAATTATGAAATTGTTTCGAAGTGATAAAATAGAGTAGAAAAAGCACAATAAAATATTAACAAGATGTACAGTTACACAACTATCACTTTATATTCTCTTTGGATGTCGAACATTTTGTTTTTGTTTATACAAAAAACGCGCAATAAAGTTAAAATGTAACAAAAAGTAATACTAATTTGTCTAGTAATTATCTAAGTTAATTAGTAATTACGCATGGAAATGTTCTTTATTATCAATTAACCACTTTTCTACGTTCTGATAATTCTTTTTCATCCAAGCCACGTTTCCTCGTACTCTCTCGATGGCACTATCGAATGCTTGACTTGCCGTACTCAAATTGTGTCTGACTTGATTTCTAAACCTTATGAGCTGAAAAGGAATTTTTTAAATGTTCGCAAAAATACGCAAAAATTACCTCGGAGAGTTGATACTCAGTAGTCATAAATCGCGGTAAACTTTTGACCATTTTGCTGATAATATTGAAACCTTCGCCGTAGCTAAAATTTGGGTAGTTTAGGTGCGTCAGATTTTGGAGATTTGCACTTACAATGATATTAATTTAATCCAATTCGTTCTCAAGAAGTCAAAAGCTAAGGTACTGGCAATATTGTTGTCACATACTGATTTGAAAACTCTGTCGGCATCTTGAATTCTTATACTGGAATGATTGCGGACCAAATTATCCAGATACCTGTTAAGTGTAGTTGTATTAACTTTATTAATTATGAAAGTTAGAAGAAATTAGTTGTGGCAGACAGAAAGACAAATGAAAATATATTTCAAATAATACCTTGAAAGTAACCATTTTTGGGTAGTACATCCCAATGCGTTTAGAAGAACATTTTTTTCAGAAACTGAAGACGTGTTTAAATATCTGTTGAAAGCAAATCTCCATTCGGCTTCACTCCCTTGTCTGATAGCTGTACAATAAACAACATCACGGATATTTGGAGGAATTCTAAAATCAATTATTTAAAGAGTGTTTCTAGTTTCAAAATTTTACTGACGGTCTTGCATATTCCATCCAATCCCTAAACATCCGATGGGACGTAATGGCACACTCGGAATCTGTTTTTCTGCAAGCCCATCTCAAAACCATTTTACGAATCTTTTGATGAAGATAATCTTCAGAATTATAGTCCAAATCTGAGTTTACAGTTCTGTAAGTATCTCTGAAGATAGTCGATATGAATGATTCAAATAAACCAAAAGCTGGAGTTGCTGATAACATGTCACTTAAAAATTCCAGTTTTTTGAAAGCGACATTTGTTGGAACAAACATGATGAATTTGTCACGAAGGGCCATATGTTGAACTAGTTTTAAAGGAATATCATAATCTAGTAAATTTGCTCGTGCAAGGTCCATGGAATCGCTAATTAATTGGGCTCTTATTATGGTAGGTAGTGACATTAGGTGTTGAGTCAGTGATTTCCAATTAGCCTCGTCGTAATTCACGATGTAATACCCTAAGAAAAAAAAATGCAAAAACTATGATTATTTAAATAAAAATACCTGTTTGATTAATATTGACGAGGTACCACGATGTTGCATTAAGATTTAAAGTGATCATAGGTTCGTTTTTTAGCCACACTGTAGGCTGAGTTTCATAGTTCCCAAATTCTGTGGTAACAGAAACTGGGACCCACCATGTGGAACTATCATTTTGATTATTTGTAAATAAAAATCTTTTCTACAAAAAAAAATTGTATAACTAAAAAACTAATTTTATTGTTACCTGAGACAAAATTAATTTTTGGTTTGCTCGATCCCTAATAGCTGTAATAACCGGAAACCCTGGCTGATTGGTCCAAGATTCCATCACATCTTTCACACTAATTGACGAATCTAATGCCCCTTTTTGGTGCGCTACTTCCGTCAGGGCCCCAAAAAGATCATCTCTGTTACCATTACCGTATTCATATTTTCGCAAATAATTAGTAAGGCCAGTTTTGAAAGTATCTTCCCCAAGAAAATTACACATCATTCTGACAACAGCGGCACCTTTGGCGTATGAAAGCTCGTCGAAAGTTTGCCGAATTTGCCGACTGTTCTTCACTTCGTACGAAATTGGTCTAGATGATTCTAATGCATCAAGGGCAAAAGCACGAGCTGTTTCGCTGAAAATAAACTCCGCTTTTATTCTCCATGCCGGTTCTGCCTGTAAAAAAATGCTGGTTTCTAAACAAAACAAAGAAAAAAACTTACAAACTCCGCCCCTAAATATTGCAAAAAAGTGGCAAAACCCTCCTTCAACCATAAATCGTTCCACCACTTCGGGGTTACCAAATTACCAAACCACTGATGGCCCAATTCGTGCGATAAAATTGTAGCAATGGTTCTTTTACTATCAACGTCGGGCTCATCGGTGTTGTACAAAAGAGAACTCTCTCTAAAATTGACTATAACTTGGAGAAAATTTTATTAAAATTGTACCTGAAAGTGATCAGTCCCCAATTTTCCATCGCGTTATAGCCGAAATCTGGGATCGCAACAATATCAATTTTAGGTAAAGGAAACGCAATATTGAAATAATTTTCAAAATAGTGCAACACTTTCGGTGCAAACTCAGCCGCGTATCTCGCCTGGATCCTTAGAGACTCCCTCGTCCATACTTTAATCAACTTATCCGAGGAGCCATAAGCTTGCAAATTGCTAATTACAAAAGCGACTAAATAGGATGGCATTTTCGGGGTTGTTTCGTAATAATCCCAGACCCAGGTTCGATCATTTTGACTAAAACCAAATCGTGATTTTGTGCCAAACGGGAGAAAAACATACTCAAAGTCAGATTTTTCCAACGGCATGTTTGCCAAAGAAGTCATATTTGACGGTCTTCCAATTATGAGAGAAAAGTTTGCTTTGAATAAAGGCTCATCAAAGCAAGGGAATGCCCGGCGAGCATCTGTCGGAGAAAATTGGGTACTTGCCAAATATCTAAAATACTAACACTTAGAAAAGTCCCAAAGAGCGATTATTTATTACTTGACACTATTATTTTCATCATATTGGCTTCGGTAAAATCCTTGCAAATGGTTGTTTAAATGCCCGACATATGTTAATTCGAGAGTGTACATAATATTTTTATCTAGAGGCTCGTCCAAAATTATTTTGTATCTCTCCCCTGGAACGTAATCCTGACTTGAGATGCCTAGAGGAGTGTTGCTTTTAACCGATCGCACTTTTACTGATTGTTTATCAATTTCAATGTCTTTGACGTTGAAAATAATTCGATCGGTTTGTTCTTTCACATTCAAGGACATTGTGACAGTACCATCGAAAGTTAGATTAGGCAATAGTGGCCTTACTTGAATTCTGGAAAGGTAATAATGATTTCAAAATCTCGTTAACTCAAAAGCAAACAACAATTAAAATATTTATTTTGGTTGTTGCGAATATCCTTCACCTAGATTACTGAAAAATATCAGATTCAAAAATAATTTTTAAAAAATTAACGTCATTCCACCCAACTGCTCCTGTTTATGCTTTCAGCAAAATACGGGATTGGTTTATTTGAATTAAAAAGCAATACGATGAGCTTAAATTGAGACAAGAGTAAACAATGGCGTAACAGCAATGAAATAAATCACCGTCATACTTCAGCTAATTATAGACTGATCATTTTTTTAATAGTGCATCTACGTTTCATGGTGCAACAACAATGACCATATTTAATAATCTGCCATTTGTGCTTGTTGTCCTTGATTAGACCGAACATTTGTCATGACAGTAAATGTCTTAATAAATAACTTAGCCATGATGTGTGCTAAATAAATCGACACTTGACTCAAATGAGGATCAAATAAAAGTTCAATTTTATAGACAACAAACTGTTTGTTAATTTTTACTGTGGCGAAAAGCGGATACACTTAATTGCATTATACTTCCTTATTGCAGCAATGACAGCTTCAAAGTGCCGAAAAACCCACCTATAATGCATCGGTTCTATACTCCTAGGAAGCCTTTCGTCAATTTCCAAAGTGCTTGGAATATTAACTTTTGATAAACTTTCATCAGATATGCTTGGCAAGCCATCATCGCCTACCCGTAAGTCACTAGGTCGAGTATCAGAAGCTTCACTACATCTAGGAACAACGAAGAAAAACACTAATAAACCTACAAGTATTGCTAATAAAAGGGCTCCTATCGCCATTAGGGCGCAAAGGGATTTGGGTATGACTAAACCGTCAGGTTTTCGGTTTACGGTGTATTTCTTTTGGTTGCTGTTGTTTTCCAACTCCACCGCAGTGGGCACACCTGGAAAAACAAATTATGAAATGAGTGAGTGATTCAAGAGGTGAGCAAATGTTTGAATTGTTCACTCTGTACACGAAAATCGTAAAAAGTGATTTATGATATTAATTTGCACATCGAAGATGACTAAAGGTTTTATGGTTTTGAGGGCCTTGAAGCGCTTTGCTCATCTAAAAGAGCAAAGTCTCAAAAAATTAAACAAAAAAAAAACTGTATTGACATTAATGGTTGGGAAAGTGTGAAAAGAAGCCACTAGCCGGGTGTTGAAAATGCGTGAAATGCATTTTCGCACAATTAAGAAATGGAAATGGAACGTAAAAAATCTATTAATAAGTCGATAAAACGCGACTGATTTAATTGACTGTCCAATTTTTGCGAATTGGGTCAGAATAATTGTGTGGCGTTTAACCTTTGAGGCGACATTTGTGTGACATTATTATTTTTCCCAATAAACTTTTTATTAGGCCGTTCGGTGTTTCTAGGTCAGTTGCAATTAGTGTAATTAAGGCACGAGTGCGAAAACCTTTGGGAAAAAATAAAATATATTTTTTTAAATAAACACATTGCTCCGAAAATAATTCGAAATTACCGTGATTATAGTGTCCAACCATGTTTTTCTTTCAGTCACTAATTAGCGCATTTCACTCTCGGCGACGTTGGACTGACGACGTCCACCCGGTGCACTGACGCCGATTCCGCTACGACGCCGGAAGTCCTAAACTCGCGCAGATTTTCTTCAAATCAAAAATACACAGTTCACACATCAAATTATTGTATTTTGTCGTCGATTTTATTTTTAAAACCTTGTTTACAGGTTGGCAGTTGCGCAACGCAATGAGGTAAGCTGCAAAAGAAGATGCGATCGGATGTGAATGCCAAGATTTTCACCATTTATTGGTGTAGACTCGCTTCAATTTTATTTTGCATCGTAACAGTTAAGTGATTTGTTTACAAACACGCATGAGGAAGTGGATGCTCTGTGGCCGTTGACTGTCTTATGGGTTCATGAAGAAGCTAATACATTTGACCAAAGCCGACAAAGGTCAATACCGCATATTCTATTTTTGAAATGTTGCCATTTCTCCCCTAATGTCGCAACCAAAGGTGTGCATGAAACAACACACTCAATTTTACTGCAGCATTTTTACAAATATTTAGCTAGATCAAGGGAATCAAGGCGATTTATTTTTGTAGCTTTTACACAATCTTCCGGTATCTGCGTGATGACGCTACGATACTCTTAATTGAATTGAATGAAACTGATCGATTGTTATATCAACGTTCTTCAAAAGTAAAAGATCAAAATTATTTATAAAACTTTCCCAGACCTGAAACAAATTTGCGATCATAATCCGATTTAGATTTGGCAATTTTAATATCTAAAAATAATATTTAGTAACATCAAGCAAACATTACTAGTTTTATTATATCCACCTACATAATAAACAATTAAAAAATAAAGATCTATTTTATGTAAAACTAGAGGCAAGAAATATATCTCTAACAACATGTGTAGAAACTAAGAATTCAAAGCGATGTTTATTTAACAATTTCTGAAATGTGTCTATTAAGCTTGTCATATTATGAAACACGATATTAAAACTGTATTTTCGCTGATGAGTTATATAAACTTACAAAAATCCCTAATAATTTTTATTTTGAAAAATCTTGCCAAACAGTGCATCTCCTGACAATATTTATTATCGCCACATACGTGCGTGTTAATCAATTTACCTCGCATTAAACACTTGGTAAAAGATATCAGAAATAACTTGCTTAAAATTAAAAAAATCAATTAAGCGCAGGTTAATTAATAGTCCAAAGTTTACATTCTTAGCTGAAATAATAAACAAAACGGCGACTAAAAGCAGAATTAGAACGGAAATTGTATAATCGATCGTTAAATTTGGAATTACTTGATTCGGAACAATTTTTCTAAATGATTTTTGCAAAAATCTAGTTTCGGCAAACCACCAAAAGCTATAAAAAATTATTATGGTTATGACTATGAAAACATTTTGCAGAACACAATATAATTATTTGTTTATGTAAATTAAAACCATATCTGCCCACATTTATCAAATTATTGACTATAATTCCACGTGACGTGACCCATATCTTTCTTCTTTAAAAAATTATTAATTAATCAACCTTTAACTTTAAAAAACCATAAGAAAATTGTAGTCTGTTAATTGAATAGAGATTTTGATTTTACCATATTTTACAGAAACGTAAAAATAAATAATGACTTTAGTAATACGAATATTTACATTTACGTATTTATAAGAATAACAGAGATAATATTAGCGATGACAGTCTATCCTTGACAATGACAACAATGGTTTTAATTAGAGGATGCAATAATCTGTTTTTCACACATTGTGAGATAACAAAAGATACATAAGTATTGTGATACAATTTTAGTATAGCTTAAGAAAATCTTAAAATAGACTAATCATTGACAAAACTAGATCACGAATGGTTATTTTGTGGAGAAAAAAATAGGGAAGGAGAGCTATTCAATATTTAAGGGAGGAGTGGCGAAATTAAACATCACCCGATGGCATCACAGGAAAAATTTAGGTCATGGACAAGTAAAGCGTCGCTGGAAAGACAATATTCCATTAGTATCAAATTCTCAGACATTTTTTAATAACAATAATTAACGACTAGATAAGACTAGACTATATTTTAATTTAAAAGGTTAATAGATGATAATATATACCGGCAGGTGAGTGTGATAGTGCTTTTGTTCCTGAGATAAAAGTGTTGTAATTTTATTTATTACTTTCCAGTTTAATTAAGAAAAAGTGGATTGGACACTTTTATGGCAATATAAAAAATGGAATACTTACTAGAGTAATCAGTCCGGCCCACCATTTTGTAAATTTTCAAAAAAAGTCTTCTAGCGTCTAAATCACCAACACATACCAGTCTCACAAGTTGTTTGAATCCGAAGAAGGTGTGATGTAAAGTCACACATTTATCTAATTTATTAGCAACAAACTAATCAGAATAAGCACGTTGCGTACAGATGGATGAGTAATTTCATTCAAATTGATTCACTCAAAACAGTGCACCTTATGGAGCGACATTTTAAAAACGGCCGGTTTGCCCACACGTTGTTCATTCACCTTAAGTTGCTGCTGTTGTGACAGCAACTAAATTGTTTGGTATATAGACAGTGGGACAGTTCTAGTTGTTTACACAACAAATGTAAATTATTTGGTTTAAGCACATGTGTTTCACACAGAAAACCTAGAAATAATGTACTGGATTTATACGTGTGGGTATTGTTATCGGCATATTTAACAAGCTCAAGATGATGTCATTTTACGCGTAAATATAATTTTATTGCTTGCTTACCCGCATTGTTAACGAAAATTTTAAGTTTATAATGAAAGATTCGAAGATTCAAAAATGATTTTGTAGGACATTTGATGATCCCTATAAACCACTTAAAAGTCAACATTGACAAAATCAAATTGTAAAATTTTCATTAACAGTTATGACATAATGTCGAGGATGACTTAGAGGATATGCAACAAAAATAACAACAATCATATTTATTTCTAAGATTCTTACATTAATAAAAAAATAAATTACTTAAATGCTTTATTTCATTTCTGTTTAATTAACTAATTAGAACTAATTATAAAAAAAAGACAGAAAATACTCATATGCTGTCTTTCTTTGTTTCCAACCTAACGTTATGGGACATAAATATTTAATAAATTTATTTTCGTAATTCTAAAACTTCTTTTAAACTTATTTGTAAAGAGACATGTGGAAAGTGAATTTATAATTAATACATTTAAAAATATTTTGAATAGTTTTACACTTTTCCTACCGCTGTTACTGCTACGTTACTTTATTTACTACAAAAAAATAGCTAAATTAGAATATATATTGTAAATTTGCTAACAATTTTAACTCCTTTTAGTGGTCAAGACAGCTAAATCATAAATCATCACTTTTTTTCTTTATATTTACCAATTCTTAATAGCAAAAGAGTTGAAATTAATTGAGTAAGTCCATAAGTGGGCCTTTGACATAAAAGTCGTACCTGATTTAAATGTTTCTGTCTTTCTCTTTAAGTTATCACTTATCAGTATAAAAAAGTGTCATGTGGGTCTACTTATTATGCGTTAAATGTTTCTACCATTAATAAATTAACTTCCGATTTTTGTAACCGCTTTCGTACTCCTTTTACGTATGTTTGTATATGTAAGTAGAGCTTTGATTGCATTTTAAATAAACAACATAATGTTCCTAAAACGGTTCCAAACCCAAACCAATTTTAATGGGAGTATTACCCCAACTTACAGTTACAAAATAATAATTTAAAGACAAAAAAGCTTGATATTAAATCTGTTTTTTTGCACACTTCCGCTTGTTTGCGGAACTTGAGGACGCGCCCAAAAGCTCATAAAATTGCACTAAAGCTAATTTCCGTGAAGGAAACAGTCGGATCGTAAACAATTTCATTTGGTCAAAGAAGTCAATAAAATCTTTGACAACTCCGAAAATAAACTTACAGGTGCACCATGCGCATTTTATTGACTGTCACTGAATAAAATCTGGGCTAGATAAAGTGTTAACGCTTCCACTCGACTAAACGACCATTTTTTATACGCAAATCTTTGATGATGAGTTTCACAGACTGAGATTATTTGTTTCGAAAAAAATCTTGTTATGGCATGATCATAATTAAAATTTACCGAGTTTTTTCAATTGAAACACAAGTTTAAGCTTGTAATACGATAGTTTGAAGATTTTTCACCGGTCATTTGACTGTGATAAATGTCCCTTGGACGACCGTGGGAGGGTCCAGCTTATCACGTGTGGTCCGGAATAATATTAAAATTAAATTTCCTGTCATACATTTTAACAGTTAGTCATCACCATTCTTTTAATGGCGATAAAATGATCTCATGTTTGATAGAGAATGCACCAGAATAAAAAACATTTGTTTCACATAAATTCCAAAGACAATACAAAAGACACTTCCGGCCAAACGCTAGACTGCTTGTCGACCGTGAAACGTGATATTTTTCGTAGTTTTCATGTAACAAATTTCAAATTTGTCACTAAAATGGGAATCTCATTTTGTTGAAATTATTCAAGCGGCGCCTACGGCAAAAAAAACATCCCCTGCGGCACCTCTAATATCCTTTTTTCAGGCAATTAATAAAATACGAAATGCGGCGGCACTACTGATCCTAATTTAAAACGTAAACAATTTTGGAAATGCTGACAAAAAGCGAAAATTAATGTGTGAACTGAATTCAGCCACTGAAATTTATTGCAAGACTAAATTTAACAAACCTGGGTTGGATTAAAATAATAATGACAATTTATAACTTACCAATTCACACACAATTTTGCTTGAGCAATAGATCGACACTGGAAACTTCCTGATGTTTCTTGTTTCTTAAACAAGGTGACAAAAATAGGAATAAACTAGTAACTAGTCGTGGAATCTTGAAACTAACTGTAGTGTTTTGATCGAGATCAAATAAATCAGGTGAAGTGGTTTTAAAGAAAAAAAACAAGGTTTTGTTTAATTTATTTGTTACTTATTTACAAGGTGAATTATTTAATAAATTTTTTTAATTAAATTAAAATTAAATGATATTTAAAAAAATGGATCACGACTTTTATTGTCTCATTTAGATTTTTTGCTTGTTTGGCTAACAACAACATCCCTTGTTAAAAAAAAAACTCTCACCTCATAACTCATCCCAGTTTAATGATCCCGTCCAATGATATTTTCAACTTATAAGATCCCTCCCCCAATCCCTGGAAAAATCTGTTCCATTGGCTGCATCCAAATGTGTCTCATGTAAATGAGATGTCCTCAGAAATTCACACAGTCTGTGTATAAAATTCTTAGTGGATGTTTAATTAGTTTGTGACGATGTATTTTATCAAAAGCGAAAATGAAACTTTCTCACCTGAGCTTACGAAAGTTTTGATGAATCCTTTGCAGTCATACAACAGTGATTTGTTAAATTATTTCTCTCATACCAAATATTCACAAAATCACATGTTTGATAATAGTTTGATGGATTTTGATTTTGGAAGTAATGAAGTTGGGGCAAGTTCCTCTCATCAAAACTTTCAAGATTATTTTTCGTATCAGAGGAATTATTACAGACAAGATTTGGTGGAAACTGAGAGAAAATTTTTGGGAAATGATTACACGAATTTTGAGACAGGTTTAGGACAATTGGATTTTCAAAACGAGTCGTCCACTTGTTTGCTACATGACTCAGCGAAAGAAGCTTATCTTGATGACACCTTAGACATACACAATTCATCTTATTCAGACAATTCAGCAGGTATATTTTTTTATTATTTTCATTAAGTCTGCTTTTGAAATCAACAAATATAGTAAAAATTAAATAAACTCTTCATCTAATAAAATACTTTGCAACCGGGAATTAGATGATTTAAGCCACCGACATGTTCTAATTGCAAAAAGTATTTAAAAGCGTCGTTACATCATAAAATTAGGTGGGTTGATGACGCTATTTAATGCAAAAGCGGTTTCTTTTGATGTTATTTACAAAATATTTATATTTGTACGAGAAAAGCAAACTCACATAAACACATGTATTAGATCTAATCTAAGAAAACAAGTTCTGCAAAATTTTTATTTCGTAACATTTCTAACTAAATTTTTTAATTTAATTCCGCCTACGCTTTGTACGAATTAAGATTTAAGGAGCAACATTCGGCTTAAGTTTTTCAAGTCACGGACGACTGATAAATTGTCTTTTGCTTCCGATGACTCAACTTTGAACACATGGGTCAACATTTAGGAAATCTGTTGTGATTGTTTTTATAAGGGTGTGATTTATTGTAGGTATGTTTTTGAAAGAATGACACCCTATTTAGTTGAATTTTGTGTCGGGAAAGAGCGGAAATTATAAAATTGATACCTACGTTTCGATGAAACTCTATTATGGTTACTTACGTGTTTTAAGGCAATAAACGCAATTTATTTAAATTTAAAATATAAATTATCGCACTGTTACTATTTTTAAGGTCATCATTATTCTATGTAATCATAAAACTAGTTTTCATAGTTAAATGGTATTTGATATAAGGCATAGGTGTGTAACATCTAATAAAATCAAAATTAGACATTGTAAAAAATACAAAGTTTCTAGAAAAAATGTATGCAGTATTTAAATTGTATATCGTCTGAAATATTTTTTATCCGCAGACGTGACAAACGTTTATGACCACTTTTATGACTATAAATGTAACAAGTACAGTGTCGAAACTAAGTATTAATTGACTATAGTTTTGCGCCCTTAAAAGTAGAATTTTTTTAATGTTATGTTATGATTTCTGTTAAAAATATTAAAATCAAAAAATTATGGGCTATACAAACAATACAAATAAAAATGTACGAATTTGTTAAAATTAAACCAAATTTAAAAATTTATGAAGAAATCTTTCTTGCTTTTGCAAATTCATTTATTATTTCATCATAATTTAAATTTTGTGCAATATCTACAAAAAAACTGCAAAGGAAAAACATATTTTTGATTCGAGCAAATCAGTGAAAAGAAAATTTAATTTTTTTCTTAATTTTGAACTTAATATTTTTCTGCTTTTTAAGTCCTATCACATTGGCAATTTTATTATTTTATCCACAATCACTCTATAAAGAGACTTTATTCCACACTTTAGATGAGTATAAAGTAACTTTATTAATAAAGTAACTTTATTCCACTGTTAGTAACCAGCGCACCGCGTAACAGCTTACTACGTTTAACTGAAAGCACATTTGGCGTGACGTTTAAATGTCAGTTTAATTTTTAATTAAGTTTGGAATYATTTYGGCCTMTGAWTGTGGATYAAWCGTTATATTGCAYTCGTGTGTTAGTCGCGTTTTATCCACTTAAGAAAATTAACCGCTCGAACTGACGTTCTCGCGGTTAAACATTCTTGCGTGGATAAAACGCTATCTAACACACTCTTACAATAAATAACTATTAACAATGATGTCACTTTGACAAATGAGTTAAGCCAGTTAAATAACAAAAATCTTTGTGAAAAACATAATGTTAATAAATCGAAACTAAATGAAACAGTTTTAAGATAAAAACCAAAGTCATTTTTAACAAGAACTATCATTATTTAATTAATAAATTAATTGTCAAAGTGACATATAGTTGTCATATAAATAAAACCGTTAATGTGATGGGATTTAAAAAGCAGAGAAAAATTATTCTAAGTCCAAAATCAAGAGAAAAATTAACTTTTCTTTTCACTGAATCAGAATAATAAAGTTTTAATTACAGATTTGCTCGTTTCAGATGAAGCAAAAAATGTTTTTCCTTTGCAGTTTTGGCGTAAAAACAAAGATATTTTTTTTCCTCTTGTAAACTCAATCCGGAGACATACTGTATATGAACGTTCAGCTTCGCCACATAAACTATCACTTTTACTTCTAATAACATAATATACTATTAAATATCAACCCACATATACCTATGTTTTAGTCTAGTTAGAAAGCTAAATGATAAAAAGACTTCCTGACAATAAAAAAATAGACTGTAATGTGTTTTCTTTTATTTACTATTTTACTTATTTAAACCGGGCGCCACCAACTTTTTCCTAAAAGTTGGAAAAGAACTGTTTGGAGATGTTCTCCAGGTTTACACTACATAAGAATGCCTTTCCGGCCAGCTTTTATACAGTGGAGAGGAATGGGGAGGTTCGATTGATTTAAACACAGGTGATTGAAAAGAGAAATTTATTTAGTAACCATAACAACAGTAACAACAGATAAAATAACAAACTTTACAAAACAAAATCTAACTTGGACCTAGTGAACCCTAGC